GGTGTTGTATGTTTCTTTTTTCCCCTTTTCCTTCTTTGAATCAACTTTCATGTTCGTTCCTCTTTACTACATGTCTTATTTTATATTTATGTGCGTCTGTATGTGGGTGCGTGCGTTTGTACTCACTACGTCTCGCGGTGGTTATGATAGAAATAACAATAACCACGAACAACGAAAAGACGCGCGAGTTTGCTCACTCCGGCCAAAAGATGTGAAACAGAGTAGTCTAGATAGTTTACTGTGTGAGATAACCCGATCACTAAGAGGGAGGGTTCAATTAGATGATCAATTGCCTGTTTATCGTGGCTTACCGAGTGCCGAGTGAACGGTTTCAGATGATAGCAAGGTCAGACATACATGTTCTTGAATAATATCCGCATGTCTTGCACAATGTTCCCAGGTAGCCGGATCGTGGCTGGGCCTTGATAAGGGAACCAACCAGAGCAGCAGATGATGGAGAGGATGACTAGGACAGGCTAGATGGAAAGATGTTCGATTTGAATACTCTAACAACCCTTTTTGGTTTTTTTAATATCCCATGACACCAAACCATACTTGCAAAACCAAACCAGAACCCAGCAAGTAGCACCCGCAAACTCCGCAAACAATGTGGCAAAGCGAATAAATGACCACAAGAATGGCAGTGAGTCAGTCGCTGGCTCCCTCTCCAGCCGGAAAAGAAATGACGTGATTAAATCCATGATTCCCTCACCAACGCTTCTTTCGTCAAGAAAGATTGGTGAACAGAATCCAGGCCGCCCTTCTCCCTGATTGCGCCACACACGCTATACCTCGCTTTTCTCTCACTTTTGAAACAGCGTAAGGGGGGTATCTACACGGCCATGCCATGACCGAAGCATATCCTATCTCGAACTCAACTCGTCGCATCCCTTCGTCATCCCTCTTTACAGATACAGACTGTTGAAAGAAACAATGTCACGTCTGATCTTGGACAAGCTGAGCTCAAACTTATCCTTGAGCTCTTCGCTGCCCATGACGCGGGCGGCCTCAGCCATTTGGCGGAGAAGCTCCTCGAGACGGCGGAAGAGACGGATGAGCGAGCCTTCGTAGACGTTGGTCATTTTGCTGTTACAAATTGGTTAGCAAACATGATTCAGGGGGGAATTGGGGGTTGACAGGCAGACATACCAAATCTCGGAGAACGGCCTTCCCTGAGCCCAAGCCAGGACAGTCTCCATAAGCTGCCACTTGAGACTCTGAACGTACTCGTCCTCATTGACATCCAGCTTACTTTCCGCGCTGACCTTGGCGATAATCCTGGCCTGGGCCTGAATCTCACGGAAGGGCTTAGCCAGCTCCTCCTTGAGCGCCTGTGTCTCGATCTTCTCGTCGAAGATGAAGCAGCTGAGAATGCAGGCGCAGATCTCAGGGCTCAGCTCGTTAAAGAAGCGGTTGAAGAGCAGCTCGGCAAGAAGAAGCTCATGACCCTCCGTCGAGGAGATCTCGCACGCGACACGGGCCTTCATCTGGACAACCTCAGCATCGTTGATAAAGCCCAGTCTGCGAAGGACACGCTTGCGAGACTTGAGCTCGTCAAGCTGCGCAACGCTGTGGGCCCGGGCAATGGCCTTTTTCTTTTCCTTGATCTGCTCGCCAAGTTGCATCTTGAGGCTGTACTGGTTCCACAGTTCAACAAGGAGAGGAGAGTTGTGGAGAGGGTTGGCCACCAAACGCGACTCGAGGACCTCAATCTTGCGGAGCAGCTTCTTGAAGCTGTCGTCGTTGATGCCCATGTTCTCCATAGGATCCAGGATAGGGATGCCATCAGGGAAGCGACGGCTGATCTCGTCAACGGCTTTGCCCACGCCGTCCTTCTCGTCGGCGCTCTCTAGCCTCTTGGGCAAGAAAACACGCAGCTGGCCAAGGGCCCTGAGACAGTTCAAAAGGCAGGGGACAACCTCCCACCTAGCATTCTTGCTATCCTTTCCTGCAGGCATAATGCCCTCAGGCATCGGCCCCTCCCCACGGGTCTTAGGGTTGAAATCGCCAGATACCTTCAACAAAACGTCCAAAACGTATGACTCTTGCTCTGGATAAGGTGGTTGGCCATTCTTCGGGGTTTGTCGCTGGATGTGTTTGATCAAAACACCCCAACCATAGTCTACTCCACTTGGGCTCTTGATGTGGATAAGACGGCCCTCCTGGAAAAAGCCAAGACAGTTTTGGGGGTGCTGAATGACAAAAACCATATCCTTGTTGTACTCTTCCAGTTGTTGACGCACACCGTAATAATCCTTGACAATGCTCTCGTCAGGAATGATGATGGCGTCTCTCTCTTGTTGCAGGCTGATGAGCTCACGCTCGAGCTGCGGTACGCTCGCAGCGTTCTGGAATTGGAAGAAACACCTCTCCAGCATGTACTCGGGGGAAATGGCCTCAATACGGAGCAGGTTGAGGACCATGTTGTAGCCGAGATGGAAGGCAGAGTTGAGCTTATCCTGATTTCCGACAACGATAGCTCTGGCCGTCTCGGGCTCGAGCTTGTCGTCAACCATCATGATAACGATACCGCGGTCATCGAGACCACGACGACCAGCTCTGCCAGCCATCTGGATGTACTCGGAGGAAGTAAGAGGGCGGCGTTGCTGACCGTCCCACTTGGTGACCTGGGTAAAGACAACGGTTCTGGCAGGCATGTTCAGACCAATAGAGAAGGTTTCTGTGGCGAAAAGGACCTTGATAAGACCCTCCTGGAACAGAATCTCAATGGTCTCCTTGAGGATGGGCAACAAGCCGGAGTGATGCACACCGATACCCTTGCGCAAAAGGGGAAGGATGTTGGAGATCTGGGGGAGATTCTTGTCGTCCTCGGACAGCGAAGCAAGAGCGTTTTCAAAAACCTTGTTGACCATGTTTTCCTCATCTGGGGCGTTGAACTTCATAGAAGAACTGGCCAAGGCCATCTGCTCGCACTCCCTCTTGCTGAAGTTGAAGACGATGACAGGCTGGAAGTTCTTTTTGAGAATCATTTTGATGATCTTTGCGATATCCGCCTTCTCATCAGCAGCCTCTCCGCCCTTGTTCGTCTTCTTGTTCTTGCCCTTGCCCTTTTGCTTGGCACTCCAGTCGTTGGAATCGGTGCCCTTCTTCTCTTCGATCATGGCCATTGCTTGGTTGAAGTTGTTCTCCTTGAAATTGCCCTTTTCGTCGACAATGAGGAGGATACCCTTGCCACCAGCGGGGAAGAAGTAGTTTTGTAAGGGCGTGGGACGGAAATCAGTGTAGACGACGTGGCAGGCTTGCCGATGGATCTTGGCGATCCATTCGGCGAACTGGAAGGCATTGGGAATGGTGGCGGAGAGGAAGACATATCTGACCTTGTCGGGAAGCAAGATGATGGTCTCTTCCCAGACGACACCTCTGATCTTGTCGCGCATATAATGAATTTCATCAAAGACGACCCAGGCGACTTCGCGCATGATTTCGGAACCACGGTACAACATGGAGCGCAAAATCTCGGTGGTCATGACGAGACAGCTGGCAGTGGGATTAATGGTAACGTCACCAGTCATGAGGCCGACGTCGCCAAACTCGGCCTGAAAATCTCTGTACTTTTGGTTGGAAAGAGCCTTGATGGGACTCGTGTAGATGACTCTCTGGTTCTTCTTGAGGCACTGAGCAATAGCATATTCGGCAACAACCGTCTTACCAGCAGAGGTATGCGCGGACACCAGGACACTCTCTTCGCGCTCAATGGAAGCGACGGACAGGGCCTGGAAGGGATCGAGCTTGAAGGAGTATGTTCGCGCGGGCTCGGCGGGGGGCTTGTGTTCGGACAAGGGGATATACTCGTAGTCCAAATCGGGGGGCAGGGCGACCTGATGCTGAATGTTGTGGGAGAGAACAATGGACTCGCCCTCGGTGGGCGCGAAACCCTGGGCGCCGGTGACCTCTCGGGACTCTGCCGTTTGGAAGGCATCGGTCATGATGGGCTCGGCCTCGTCCGTCTTCTTCCTGCGCTTGTTGTCGCCCTGGCCATGGGGGCTCTGTGGCGACTGAACATCGTCGGCAGCGGCAGCGGCATCGCCGTTGGGGATCGTGGGCTGGACGGCGCTGGTGGTGGTGTTGTTGTTGTTGTCGTTGTTGTCGATGTTGTCTTTTTGCGGCGCGGGGGCGGCTTGAGCTTGCGGGTGAGTGACGGCGGCAGCATTCGCGACGGGAGCGGCAGCGGCAGCTCCATCGGCCATTTCGACATCGGGAGAGGCCTTGCGCTTTTTCTGAGCGCGAGGCTGCTCCTCGAAAACCTCAAAGAGGTCATCCATCTTGACGGGTGTTGCAGATGTCGCCAATCAGATGATGTTCGTATTGGCCGACGAATAGTAGTGCGAAAGGGTGAGAGATGGAAGGAATGCAGCTCCAAGCACCTAGGCTTCCTGAGCCTTGGGACTGTTGGCTGAATTGAAGGAAAAGTGGCGTACGTAGACGGCCGGGGATGTGTTGGATGAAGGGGGGGGGGTTGGATGGATTAGAAACCCAACAACAACGACCCTACGAGAGAGACGACAGACGGGGGGAGGCCGATAAACTGTTATCGCTAACGAAGGAAAAAAAAGTTGAAGGCACAAGGAACCAGGACGTTGACAGTGGCAGAATTATCTGCGGGTCTCCACAGGCGGTCAAGCCAATGGATCGCTCGATACAGTGGGCATCGATCGATGGGAATCGATCAGCTTGGCCTATGCATCTACGAAAGCTCCTCCAATTTGCTTAGATGCATATAAGACCGTCACCTCAACTGAATTACTGCCCTGGGCTCAGCCAATCCGAGGTACTATTGGAGCTCAACGGTGGGGCCGTCCGCCAAAACTGAATTCTCGGGAAGTGTGGGGTGCCCCCCGACGTCCGTGTCCCCCCCCCGCCACGGGAGCGGCCACCTACTGGAGCGCTGTAACTCCCGCGGACACCCGACCGCGCAACCCAAGGGCCCAACCTTCAATTCCACCATTCGTTCCCTTTCGTCTGATTGAGCAACCCTCTGTCCTCTTTTCCCTTCCCGGATCCCGTTCCGTATCATTCGATCTTGGTCGATAGGCAAACAAGTCAACATGGCCGCCAAGCTCTCTCTCAAGCTCTCCAACAAGTCGCCCAGGCAGCCCATCCAGAAGCTGCCGGCTTCCCTTGAGCTCCCCGCCGATGCCACCGTCGAGGACGCGAAGCAGGCTGTTGCCCGCCAGTCCGGTATCAACGACTTCAACCGCATCGGCCTCTTCGACCCCGAGACCAAGAAGATCCTCAAGAACCGCAAGGCTCTTGTCCGTGATGAGGCCGGTGTTGTCAAGGCCGGCGAGCTCGTCGTCAAGGACCTTGGTACGTCATGATTTCTCCAAAGCATGTGAAGGTCCCCCTCCCAAACTCACACAACCCACAACAACCACAGGCCCCCAGATCGCCTGGCGCACCGTCTTTGTGATCGAATACTTCGGCCCCATTCTCTTCCACGTCCTCGTCCCCCTGCTCCGCCCATACATCTACAGCTTCGGCCCGTGGGCCTACAAGAACGAGGCCGAGACGCCCATGTCCAAGGTCCAATGGCTCCTCTTTGCCCTCTTCAACCTCCACTTCCTCAAGCGCGAGTACGAGACCCTCTTTGTCCACAAGTTCTCGGCCAACACCATGCCCGCCTTCAACATCTTCCGCAACTCTGCCTTTTACTGGCTCCTCGCCGGCCTCATGTGCTCTCTCGACATCTACCGTCCCGGTTCTTCGGCTGACCGCAACGATCTTGGTCTTCTTGACTACTTCGGCATCGCCCTCTTCGCCGTCTGCGAGGTCTGCAACTGGATTGTCCACCAGCACTTGGCCAGCCTCCGCAAGCCCGGCGGCACTGAGCGTGGTATCCCCAACTGCATTGGTAGCAACCTGGTTACCAGCCCCAACTACATGTTTGAGGTTCTCGCTTGGGTTGGTGTCATCTTGATCAGCCGCAGCCCTGCTGTTGTTATCTTCATTGCTACCGGTACTATCTACATGCGCAGCTGGTCCCGCGGAAAGGAGAGGGCTCTTCGCAATGAGTTCGGTGACCGCTACAAGGCCAAGCGCTACACCATGCTTCCCGGTCTTATCTAAGCTAGCCTTGTAAGGAGGGTTTGGTTTGGGTGTAGGCGTGGGGTATGTCGCGCATAGTTTTTCCAGCTTAGAGCGGGTGGTTTGATGTGAACATTCTTGTACACTCGGTGTACGACAATCGAGAACGGTGACAGTGATCATTCTATGAGGTGTCACTGCTATCCAAACTCGTGTGCTATAGGGTGTTAGATTTAAAACTGGTGATGGAAATGTGTAACAAGATGAACAAGTCCCTATACTTAAATATTATCATCATTCAGGTTTTTTTGGGCATCTTCTGGTCATAACTTCGTAACATCGTTAAACACCCTCCAAACAAAAGGGAACTCATACAGTCGCAGGTGTCAAACTCAGAAACTGTGTACCTCCGGAGCCATTGGGTTCCGGTGATCGGGGTAGAGGCCCCATCGAAGGGTATGATATCGTGTCATCGACCGCCTTCCCTTTCCCCTTGTCAAGTTTCGTGTGTCTCTCGTGGACATCATCTTCAGTGACCATGACCACATCCCCCTCATCGTCTCTTTCTATGTCCTCTCCTTCTCTCTTATCACCGTTGACATCCTCTGCCTCAGCGGCCCTTGTTACACCATTATTCTTACTTCCACCCCCCACTATCCCACTCTCCTCATCACCTCCACCATCATTCTCTAAATTCCTTTCACCACCATCCCCAACCCTCTCATCTTTACTATCCCCTTCTTCTGTTCCATTTTCCATATCCTTACTATCCCCATCCCTATCATCCCCATCCCCATCCCCCTCCCCCTCCCCCCTCTCAGACCCCTCATAACTCCCGGATCCATAACTCCCAGACCCATAACTCCCAGACCACTCACTCCCACTCCCACTTTCATATTCTCCATTCGCCCTTTTAATCGTCTCCTCAATCCTCAAGAACCCCCTCTCCAAAACCTCCGCCCAATTCTGCACGTCCCCCACCTCCTTAAGCCGCTTCGTCCCTTCCCGCGCTACTTTCTCCAACTTATCATTTTCTTTCCTAAAACTCTCCACGGCTTTGCTCATCTCGCGCTCTTGTTTCAAGATGGCGTTGTGGTTCTGGTGCAGCAAGGAGGCGCGCCCCGTGAGTTCTCTGTCTAAAAGGTTGGAGATGGATGCGAGGACTGCGGTGCGGGCTTGGGCTGTTGGGAGGGTGGTGGTGGTGGTGCTAGAAACAGTAGGCGTGATAGGAACAGTAGGGGTGCGAGGGGTTGCGGGGACGGAGGGAAGATTGCCGTGGGTTTGAGAAGAAGTTCGGGAGGAGGGATGGGGATGGGGATGGGGATGGGGTTGAGAAGGATAGGGGGGAGGGAAAGTAGGTGCTGATTTCCTGGCGGCGGTAGTAGTGGTGGTAGTGGTACTCGTCGAAGTAGATGATCCCGTGGTTGTCGTTCGCAAAGATGTCCCTGAAGTTGGGGAGGCTACCGGTACCGATTGCCCAGTATAAGCGTGGGCTTGAATATTCGGAACCGGAATAAGCGGTTGCGGCGCTGTTGAGACCGAAGAGACACTTGGGGCAGTTGATCGCTTTGATGAAGAGGAGCCGGCGAAGAAGGGGAGGGAGAAGGATGAAGAGGCGCGTCCGGTTGTTGTGGTTGTTGAACCGGTTGTTGATGGTGCTGCTGTTACTGATCCCGGACCTGGACCCGGTCTGTGTTCCGTGTCATGGTGGTAATCGGAACTGTCAATGTCAATGTCAATGTCGCCGGGGGCGGATACCATGGCCGCGGTGACATTGGTGTTGGTTACTGATGCCGGGGCCGGAGCGGACCGGGCTGGTTGGAGGAAGTTGGGACGAGATGGTCGAGACATCTTGTGATTGTTTTCCGTTGGTTGTCACTCATCAGTGATTGTGATGGGAAGTGAGTATAAGTGATAGCAATCCCATGTAGGTGGGCCGGGAAAGCGAATTCAGATCGAGTTTGGAAAAAGATAAAATGACGCCAGCTCTCTTTCAGCATCGATAAAACCAGCCACTGAATCGAGCAGACGCTAAGCAGAAGCAGAACCAAGTAGGCGCAAGTTTGACACCTGCCGCCGTCCAGCGTGATATGTATATGTAAGTATGTTGTACGGTAGTTTTCAATATTAAATGCAGAAAGGTGGAGACGGCCATTTATACGACTGGCGAGAAACTGAGCAAGACACAAAAAGAGGCAAAGCACAAATGTAACGCGGGGTAGCTTCCGCGGACTTAAGCGTACCGTTGCCGGGGATGGCCTGGTTTGAATTGGTTGTTCGAGATTAATGCACGTCATTCGTTGGTTCTTTTGGCTTTGCAGTTGGGACTGTGTGTAATGCATTGAGAGGTTTGTTTGTTGACACCCCTTTTTTTGTGACCAGGCCGGCAGACTACAACCAGGCACCTCACCTTAACCCTGTTTATGATTCTCTCTGCACAAGTGATGAAGACTCCGAGGAGTTGAAGTGGACTTGAAATTGATTGTACACATTATAGGTTTGTGCTATACTTAAGAACTTTTCCTCTCTCTTGCAAATGCCAGTCTTGTGTTCACCTTTACTCGCCGCTGCGCCTGCCTCCCTTTGTCATGCAACCTGTATTTGCTCGCTTCTAGTCCCATCCGTCTCAGCCGGCCTGCCCATCAATGCTCCCTTCCTCCAATCTTGTTTAGGAAATAAGAACGCCTAGATGCTGTGTGTAGATAGACATAGTATAGGAAATGAGACCAAGAAAAAAGGAACGGCTTGTCTTTTCAAAGACTTAGACTCTGACCACCTATTTCTGTATCAAGACAACATTGTAGCCTCATGTGTGAGAGAAATATCGCATCCAACCAACCGCTGAACCCGCAGCCTGGGGGAGCTCTTTTGATAACTGTATGAAAATCCTGGTGCAATGTGTACGTGCTTTTTTCTGATGAATACACGGGCCCTCGCTTAGAGGCCCACTTTCCCACTGTTCATTCGAAAGGGAAGCGGCGTTAGTGAACCCGGACCCGGACTTAGTGCCGAGTTCGGAGTCATAGCACTGTCCCCGGAGAGCGTTGTGCCAATCGAGTTCAGACTTGCTGCTGACGACGATTGCATGGTTCCACTTCGGCTGCCCATACCCGGGCCTCCCATTTGAATGAGCGTCTCAGCCCTCTCGAACAGTCCCCCGTTGAACGCGGCCGAAAACGAACTATTCTTGGGCGTCGATGGTACCGTGGCCTGAACGGCTGGACCAAGGGCCGCGCTCTGCGGCGTCATAGGCATCAGTACCGGTGTATTGGTGCCATGCGTGCTGTAAGGGCTTGATGTATCTTCAACTCCTTCCATTCCTGGACCTGGCATTCTCCCTCTCATTCTGCCCCTTCCATGCCCGCCGCTACTAGGCTGCGGCTTCAAGAAGTGAGACCACGGCGAGTGTACCATGAGCTCCCATGCATCCTTCATCGCCTTCTGGATGGGCCGCATCCTGGATTTGGCATCGACTGGCAACTGGATATCGGCTTGAAACTGCATAGTTTTCTTACCCAAGACATACCAGGCGTCGATGTAGTCGTTGCACATCCTCCAGAACCCCGGCTGTCCACGGATCCCCGGTTCTTTCAGCTTGATAGTCGATAGCCTCTCCCTCAATATCTCGGTGTGACGGATCGAGTCGTTACACTTCACAATGAGTGCTTTCCAACAGTGCACTACATGGTCGGACGCTCGTTGCGTCGTGGCATTTCGCAAAGCTACGCTGAACTGCGCACTAAGATTCGGCAAAACCTTGAGGGCAAGATCGGCAGACTTCATCAAAGCCAGGAAAATCCTCTCGAAGATTCGATCCTCTTCGTCACTGGGTATCCGCATACCACCCGCACTCATGGGGAAAGGATCCCCAGACCGAGGCGTAACAGCGCTCATAACCTGTCGGTGCATGCCGTTGTTGTACGGCATCAGTGGTACATCCGTCGCGACACGGAGATTGGCGTGAGGATGCATTGGTCCGGGGTTGCGTAGTCTCGCGGTCTGAGGTGGACGGTCGATCGTGGGAGTAACCGAGTTGTCTCGCGAATGCGGTCGAATGGTCTCGAGTTCTAGCCGATGGGGAACGGGCGGGACGGGCGGGACATTGCGCGAAGGCATTCCGGGCGATGGCTGAGAGCATGTAACACGCAGCTCCATAATGCTATTATAAAGCTGCGTCAACAGAGTGCGAATGTACCTAGGGTCACCGTTATCGAGAAAAAGATCAACGTTATTAGCCAGCAGGGAGCACACATGGCTGTATGCTTGCACCAGCGTAATGCATGCCCTCTGCACGTTCTCGTTCTCTCTCGGCCCCCCGCCGTCTCCTGCTTGGTCGTGCTTTTGAATCTCCAATTCCAATTGCTCCACATGAGCATTGGTATTGTAAAAGACAATCTCCAGACTCGAACGTTTGCTGCTGCCGTCATTTGCAAGGCCCATCAACATCTGAATCATGGGGTGAATCTGGAAAATGGAGTAGAGGATACCCTTAGCAGCCTCCAGTACCGGATCAATAAACTTGGATTCACGCCTCCTTTCGGGTAGGATCGAGAGTCGTCGGACATAGATGGGGCGTTGCAAGGATATCGAGTCAGCTGGGCTTGATGGTGCTGTGCTCTGACCGGGCACACTGCCGTTACCAGGCTGCATGGCCGACCCATGACTGAGGCCACGATAATGGATGCTGAATCGATCCTTGGCTTCTAACTCGTCAAGAGTGCCCAATTCAGAGCCCTTTCTGGAGACAATACCCATACGGCGGGACCTGCTCTCGGATCGCTCGCGGCTCGAATGATGGGCGCCAGTTGTTTCCGAGTTGCTGCGTATTCGCTCGTTGGGGTTACCGATGGTGAGTGGCATGACACCAGGTCTTCGTTGGGCCGAACTCTGCTGGGAAAGACCTCGATAATGCGATCGGCTCGGGATAGGCGGAGGACGGATCAAGTTCGGCGACCTAAGATCTGGAACATCTGTGCCGTTGACCTTGATGGGAAATCGTCCACTAAACACGCGCTTGATGGTCGGTCGTGGTGTCTCGATTCCGTCGGTTTCGTCATTGGGCGATTCGGCCTGTTCTCTTTCCAATATGCTGTTGGCTGTTGCTTTGAGGTACTTCTTGACGTGTGCCGTAACCGTGATTTCGGTCAATTCACTTTCTTTCAAGATACCCTCGTTTTGCACACTTGGCGGCGGCACCTGGAAAACTTGTGGTGGCGGGAAGACCAGGGGATTGCCTTCGAGTTTGATGACGGAGAGCGATGGCATATCGGCTAGACAAAGCGGTAGCTCGGAGACCTCATTTTTCTGTATCGAGAAGACCTTGAGTGATGATAGTTTCACAATATCTGGTGGAAGGACACGAAGCATATTTCGACCTAGATCTAGAATCTCTAGTGATTTGAGGTCGCAAAGCTGTGTAGAATCACGGTCAGCGTCAGACCTTCTGTGAGGAAATAATGAAAAGAACCTTACCGCGAGCGGAAACTCCTTTATCCTATTCGACCTGACATTGAGGTAACGAAGCGAGGTACACTCGGAGAATCGGGCAGGGAAGGTCTGGATGTAGTTGTGTGACAACGCAAGCCTGTTGAGTCGCAGAGGAACATATTAGCTCATGGGCCGACCAGCAGGTAACTGGGAAATGATGTAGTACCTCTCCAACTCATCCTTGATTATATCGACCACCTCATCTGGTAGCTTCTGTATCCTCTTTCTGCTCAAGTCGATGGTGAGTCCTGGTTTGAGGGTGCTGATGCCCTCTGTTGCCTTTGCTTCGTTCTCATGGGCAACTCGCATGGATTCGCGCACAAGGGCGATGACTTGGTTGGAAGATAGCGGCGGCGAGGCCGACAGGGACGAATTCGATGCATCGCGATGGGGCGGGTGCGGCGGATGGTTCCCATGGGCATGACCGGCACCAACAGGTGGCAGTCGCCGAACCAACCCCGGATTATCAGGCAGACCGCGCGGGCGATCCATCGAGACGTTTTATATATTATGGTTCGTTCGCGTTCGTATTTGTCGGAGAAGCGGTTCGGGACGGGGCGAGCAATGATATTGTTGACAGAGGTTCCCGCTGCGGAACTGGGACAGGGAGTCGGGGTCGATGACGGGGGAAACTCCTATGTCTTTTGGAAGGATGGAAAATCGACGGGTCGTCCGACGGGTTGGACCGGGGCGAAACAGGCTGGTGGTGCTAGGTGGGATCGAAGCGAAATCTCATGGCATAACTGATCGGCCTCTAGTCGGGGCTTTTAGGGCGGGCGGTGACAGTTCGAGAAGGATCAATTCCAGTGTGGCGCGGCGGTGAAAGGGAAGGAAGCGAGCGGTCTCTTGGCTACACCATCAATGCGTTCCCTTGTTGACTTTGTTGGGTTGTTGTTGATACGATGAGAGAGCTGGAGCAGCCGAGAGATGGGCGAGAGAGGTACTCGAGGCGGGCAGTTGTTCTCTTTGCTGAAGCCGTTGCCCGTGTCTCTCTCTTAGTTCCGAGTCTCGGATCTCGGGGGAGATGGGCGTAATGGTGTAGCTTCAGAGTTTAAGACCACGCCAACAGCCTGGAGTCCTGGGATGTAAACTTGACCGGAGCTCCAAAATTTCCCTTTGTTAGTAGCTAGAGACTGAAAGAGGGTCAGCCGGGTCGGGTAGCAAAACAACACCCACGTCTCCAAGATAGGGGTTAGCGCGTCTTTGGCAAAGGCCAAGCAAGGGGTGGTAGGTACCTACCTCTGACCAGGTGTCTCTCAGTGTTGGGAACTCGGGGGTTGCATCAGCACCAGCACCAGGGCACCAGCAGGGCAGCATCCACGGGCATCAACGGGCATCCAGTTGAAAGCATGGCACAGGGAAGCGATCATGGAAATCCAGCCAGGGTCGACAGGGGCAGGGTAGCCTTGCGGGGGGCGGAAAAAGAAGGAAAGGAAGAACGGAAGAAGCGAGGACGGGAAGGGGGAATCCACACTAGAGGTAGGAACTGGAATATTCCACCCAGGGGAGGCCAGCAAGGGAAGAAGAGGTCGTCAGTAAGTAGTAGCACTGACCTGATGGACCACGACGACACCCACTGAGAGGAAAGAAAGTCCAGTGTCAACAATGGAATGGGGAACTGAAATGATCGATGCACACCTGCATGGACGTGGTGTATTTTCAAAAAGCCAAAGACCCCGCTTTTTCCCTTCCCGCCCATTCATCCCGTCTTGACGGGGTTTGGCCAAACTGAGGTGCCTGTCTCACCAAAAAAAAGCACAGCAAAGGCACAGTACCTACAGTGTCTTGTGCCTGCATTTCGGGGGTTAACATCCAAGACAGTGGGCCCGTGCGGCACAGCGCTGTGTGTACCTACCGTATCGAAATATGTACGAGTAGTGCACTGCGTACACTACACATATGTGTCTCTAACCGGGCATCCTTTAGCGCGCCGCACCATGCACACCCTGAATGACTGCAAGGGACAAAGCTCCCATCCCCATCAAAATGATTTGATACTGTGACGCCCCAACCACTCTAGCACAACATCAAAGCGAGGGACATCGAGATGAACTGCTTCAACCTATTAAGTTCATTGGGTAGACGATCGGCCGGCCGTGGTAGCCGGTAACCCTTTTTTCTCTACTCCAATTGTGACTCCAAACACCGGCAGACAGACAACGTCGAACCAGCACCTAGACATAGAGAAGACTGGTATTCCGGATGAAACTCTGAAACGAAGCGCCGGTAACAGAATTGATCGAAACCGGAGCCACCCTCATTACCGCCCCATGGCACACTACAACTCACATCCCCGACCATAACCACTGCAATATCTGTTAGATCTTATTACTTACCTACCATACCTGCCTTCTATCCATTCAACCAACCTTCTACTTTTTCTGGATGCAGTGTACATACATATAACTAGGTTTTGGTCAGCCGAGATCCGATCGCTGGTCGCATCTGGAAACTTGATTGTTTAACAAAACGAAACATCCGAAGCCATCGCTTGCCTTGGCAAGTCGCATTTTACATGGACCTTCCACTCATGGTGCATGTTTTTATGCTTCCTCCGAGAGAGCACCACACGAACAACTGAACTCAATGATTGAAAGATTCTTTTCCCGAGAACGCCATCGTGACACCCGCCGGGACTGTGCGCAATTGTAAGAGCAAACTTTCAGTTGTCAGTTGAGGAACCTTTTTGAATTGAAGTAGTCACACAAACAAACAGCGGAGAATTCGATGGGATATTTTTGGCAACTCAAAAGTTTGATAGGTAGGTAGTGTACGCAGTACACATCCACGAACCAAGTGATCGACAACAGACCCATCTAGCTGTCTGTCTGTCAACAGAGAGGAAGATCAACTGAACATCAAACATTTCCTCCCGCCTGCCAATCTGCCTCGGCCTGTACATCCGGATGTTTAGCTCCGCCCGTGTAGCCGTCCAAGACCACATGCTGGCACCTTGAGGCTGAAGTCTGAATACAGAGTGTTGACTGACTTGCTTTTCAGCCTCAAGTGGCAGCCTTCGTATAAACTTTCCGCCTTTTGTTTTGGTACTGTAGCGTCCGAAATCAGCTCCGAAGCCTCTGTGTTCCAGTGCCAGCCAGAGTGGCTTGCTGAGTGGATTGATTGTCCCACGCCACGAGACATGATGCGCGCGATACATCATACGGAAAATATCAGAAACACACAAGATCATCGTGACTGGAAAGTTAGGTACATGCCTAACTGGGAGGGGAAGCGGCCGTGAATGTCAAGGATAGAGAACCATATATTTAAGACATCAATTCAGCTTCGCTATGGGCAGACTGTTGCGGCTTACCTACCCGACCAAGCCAGTAACTATGTAAGAGCGGCGATAGCCATCATCCTCACTATCACCATCATCACCACCACCATCATCATCCATGGGGTAACAAGAGGAAGTGGTAGCAAAAGTAAAAGTGTACTACTCCTAACACAACACACAAAAACGCCATCTAATGCCTCCATCCACACCTACTACCTTTATCCATCCTCCCATCCAATCTTCATTCTTCCTCGTCCTCATCGATTTCTTGGAAAAGAAAATGATGCGCTTTGTAAACCCAACATAAAAACATGAAAAGAATCATAAAAAAAACCTAAAATACAATTGTAAAGAAAGTGCCTGATTTGATACCCTAACCCCGCTACCCATTAGAATGGTGTTGTTGTGTGATGTGAGAAACATGCTTTTTGTGGTTTGCCCAACTCCCCGAAATCGAGGAAAGAATTCAGGCTTTTGTTTGTTCATGATTGATTTATAAGAACAAGTTATGTCCTGTTCCGCACCTTTACTTACACCCACCACCACTCACGCAACTCACTTCTGCGCTCCTCACGCGGGCACAGGCGGCGGCGGGGCCGGTCCCGGGCCACTGTCACCCGGAGGCGGCACATCGCCAGGTAGGGGTGGTAGGGGGAGGCCCGGCTCCAGGGTGTCGCTGGGCTTGGGGATAGCCATAGGCCCTGGCGGCACCGAGATGCGATCCTTCAACTTTTCTCCCCGAATCACCCTCTCAACCTCCTTCTTGTCCAGTGTCTCGTACTCGACGAGCGCCTTGGCCAAGTAGTCGAGTTCATTCCTCTTGGAGGTGAGCAGGTTACGCGCACGCTCGTACGATTCGTCCAGAACTCTCTTCACCTCGGACTCAACCATCGCCCTGGTCTCGGAGCTGAGCTGGTTGTACTTGCGGAGGTACTCAACGGGTCCGAGCTTCTCAGACATGCCGAGCTGAGCAACCATCTGCCACGCGGTTCTGGTGGCCATGTCAAGATCCTGAATACCATGTTAGTTAACTCGTCAAATCAAGTGGAACAAGGGGAGGGGAGAACGTACAGCGCTAACACCGCTAGTCACAAGCTCGTTACCATAGACAATCTCCTCGGCGACCTTGCCGCCCATGGCACGGTCAATCATACCCAAGTAATCCCTGACAGTAAACGAGTGCTTGTCCATCTCAGGGAGGTAGGCAGTGTGGCCCAGAGTCTGGCCACGTGGAAGAATGGTGACCTTGTAAAGCGAGCTTGCGCTGTCCTTGGCGTAATATCCGACGAGGGCGTGACCAGCCTCATGATAGGCAGTCATCTCCTTTTCCTTGGCTGTGATAACCATACTACGCTTCTCAGCACCCATGATGACCTTGTCCTTTGCCCATTCGAAATCCTTTTGAGTAACAGCCTGAGCCTTCAACTTGCTGGCGTGAATAGCAGCCTGGTTGACAATGTTCTCCAGCTCGGCACCAGAAAGACCAGAAGTTCTGGAAGCAATAGCCTCCAGGTTGACATCGGCAGCAGCCTTGATGCGCTTGGCGTGGTGCTGGAGAATGGCCATGCGGCCGCGGACATCGGGAAGAGAGACAACAACATTGCGATCGAAGCGGCCGGGGCGGGTAAGCGCCTTGTCAAGGGACTCGGGGAAGTTGGTGGCGCCGATGATGATTACACCACTGTTTTGCTCGAAACCGTCCAACTCGGTAAGAAGCTGGTTGAGAGTCTGACGTACGTAGGTAGCGTCCCTGGAGTTACGCCGGCCACCAATAGCATCAAGTTCGTCGATGAAAACAATTGAGGGAGCCTTGGCCTTGGCGGCGGCAAAGAGATCACGAACACGCTTTGCGCCAACGCCAACGTAGACCTCTTCGAATTCGGAACCGGACATGTTGAAGAAGGGAACGCCAGCTTCGCCGGCGACAGCACGAGCCAAAAGAGTTTTACCAGTACCGGGGGGTCCAACGAGCAACACGCCCTTGGGAAGCTTGCCACCAAGAGTCGAGTACTTTTCAGGGTTGCGCAAAAAGTCAATAAGTTCCTGAAGCTCTTCCTTGGCCTCATCACAGCCGTGGACATCAGCGAAGCGAGCCTTCTGGTTCTCAGGCTTGACCTCGCTGGCCTCAAGCTTGCCACCGGGGCGCTTGATGCTGCTCAAGCCCTCGAAAACCATGGTGATGACAACCATGCTGAGATACGTGAAGAGAGTGAACCACATGAGAAACTTGACCCATCTGAGAGCGGAGCTTCCGAAACTTTCGTCAACTACGATATGCAGAGGACCAGTCTTGGCACCAGCAGCGATCGGCTTGACCATGGCCATGTTTCCACCAGTATGCTGAGCAGCAGCGGCAGTACCAGCGGCATGGATCTGGCTAGCGGTGAAACCGGAGGGGTGATAGCCGTTGTTATCGACGGCGTTGTTCGCAGGCGTGTAGGGTTGACCGGTAGACATGGCAAGGGCTTGCTGGTAGATCTGGTCTACCTGCTCGTTCGTGGCGAAACGTCCAGACTGATACCTTTCGATAATAATAGCAGGCATGTTCGCCTTGAGAAGAGCCTGGTAGAAAGCATACTGAGCACCGGCGCTGGTTGGGAACTGGTTGGCAGCGGCCTCGCGAGCAGCCAGGAGGTTGTGCGAGAGACCACCGTTTCCAAAGTTGCGGGCCTGGAGAGTGAAACCGAGAGGAGAGTGTACTGGCGAGCGGAAGAAAGACGGAATGCGACCGGGCTGGTGGGTGCTCATGGACCGAAGGGTGTTGACAGTGCCCAGGGGCCTCGACATGAGCGCCGAGAACGAGCGCCGGAAGAGGGGGTTCGCCATGGCGAGCTGGCGGGAAGACATGCTTGAGATTTCCGAAAAGATGTTTGTAGGCGAAGCATTTGCTAGACCCTGAGAGACAACGGGCTGGGGTAGAGGCGCCGTTCTCAGGAAGGCGGGCAGCGCCGAGGAGCTAGAAGCTTCGCGCGCGGGGGAGCTAGCAAGGTTGCGGGAGGCGTTTGAAGATGCTGTCGAGCCGTGAGAGTTGTGGGAATGCCGTTGTTGCGCCTTAAGAGATGTCGATAACCCGAAGGGAACGGCCAGGGTTGTCGCGATGGATGGCCACAACTCGGTGGTTGCCGCCGCGATGGTCTGGCAGGCGCGCGGAGGGGTCAGCTTCATGGAAGAGGACGGCAAGGTAGGTAGGTAGCTAAAAGACGGATTGCGCAAGACTTACCGGCAGCCCACTTGCGTGGAAAGCCATGGTGGATTGTTTACACCCACTCTCTCTCTCTCTCTCTCTCTCTCTCTCTGTTTGCGACAGACGGGACGGATGCGAAGGAGCGGATATCTCACAATGACCAAACCCAAGTGTTGGTGGTGGAAGTGACAGTACAGTATTCAGTGCCAGTCACTCAGTGCAGTGGCAGACTGCAGCAGACGGATGCAACTGAATGGACGGAACTGCCACTTGCTTGGACGCGGCGGCGGCGGAGAACGAAACGGTTGGGTGAGCAAGTTGATTAGCTGATCAAGGGCCATAGTGCCGCCTTAAATGCTGATGCCGCCGTGGCAGGTGGCAACCGCTTATTCTGTAACGCAGAGTCAGTCCGTGTCAGTGTTCTCGCCACTTTGGACATCTGGCCTCCCGCACTGCTACACTAAAAGCTCGGTGCGCATATTGCCCCACAATGTTACGTAGTTCTTAGTTACCTAGGGAGCAATTATGCACTAACAGGTGCGCCGACAGCGGAGTCTCGACACGTGATTTGGCGTTTTAGTGTACATGAGGAAGAGTCTCGTCGCGTCACGAAACTCGGTCTGTTCTGTTTGTTCACTTTCATTATTTGCAAGGCTCATAGACTGACCTTATGATAAAGAATTCATACACATGTTAGGTTCGAAATATAGCCTACCAAGAGTACAAATACAACCATTACTTCAGAACTAAGCTCACTTCTCATCATATCACCACCCCCATCACTGATTCTGAAAAAAAAAAAAAAAACAAGTAAACAAATCACCTCCTAAAGTGTGGAAGCCAAGATGAATCGCTCTATAGAACAGGCGCTCTTATCACTCTTACCAACCCACAACACGACTCTCCCACAACCACTCGTCGACCTCGCCAGCTCACTCCTCGCCCAATCCCGCCACCGCGCAAGCACACTCAAAGCTGAGGAGGAGATTGCACGCACTTATGCCTGCGCCCACCTGGCATGTGATAGGTACGATACTGCATCTCATCATCTCAACTCATCCCTTCACATCTCATCTTATCTCAGCCTTACTTCACCTTTTGTCTGTGACTATACAAAACCAACACTAACACATGCTCACAGACTCAAAATAACCCTGAATCTCCCTCCCATCGACCCCCGCCCTCCCATTCCACCACGCATCTACAAGCGCCTCTACTCCCACCTCTCCAACATCCTCCCCTCCACCTCTTCGACCCCTGGCCGCGGCGGTGGAACCCCCAGAAAATCAGAACAATCGGCCGCCGCCACTCCACGCAGCCAACGGACAATCAAAACCCCTACCTCTCGACTTCGCGACCAGCAAAATCGCGCTGATGACCTCACTGCTTCCCCCTCAGCAGGACGAAGCGCGAGGAGTAATCGATCAGCTGCTACTGGCAGGACAGCAACGCCTGGCACTGCTGGGCTAGGAAAAGATGAAAAACCCCTTCATCAATTCCGCGGCACACTCTTTCCCCGCAAGGATGGGGCTTCCGGAGGTGAGGGAGGAGGAGGATTACCAGGATGGATGAAACCCACCCTCCGCTTTCTGCTCAAAGAACTCGGTCCGTCACACATCGGGCCAGTGGTCATGTCAGGCCTTGAATCCATCGTTGCCCCGCGTGGTCAGCGGACCAAGGACGAGTGGGTGAATGCGAATCTGGTATCACTGTTGGGCGCGCTATACCTGTTAGTCTGGCGCAGAGTTACTTGGCCTGGATCGGATGTTGACGGGGGCGAATACGTGGCGATGAGAAAAAAGGTCGCGGCGGCGCTGAAGAAGGCGAGGGAGAATGTAAAGGTGGCGGTCAAGCTTGGAAATGGGAGGGAAGAGGAGGAAGAACAGATTGAGGAGAAGATGTGGGAGGGTTGGGCGGATGATGGCGTGAGGGTGAAGGATTTGAATATGGCTACATTGCATATTGGAAGGGAGGGGTGGTTGGAGATGGATTGGGCTGCCGGTGTGGAGGATTTGGCGAGAACGGTGTTGGAAAAGGAAGATTATGATGATGCGGCGGAGGATGAACGGGGCTCAAATAATGTCGAACTATTCCGGGTTGGGCAGGGAGATAGCATGTTCCAGGATCGGTATGATTACTTGGGCGAACGCAAGCAGAAGGAGTATGCGATTTGGAAGCAGGGAATTCTGAGGAAGATCAAGGCGCTGGAGAACCCTTCTGCTAGCACCACCGCAACGCCTCGGAAGAGGAAAGTGCCGGAGGCCAATATGGATATTGACGAGGCTGAGTGAGAAGGTCACACATCGCTCAAAGGGGTTGAACCAGGTTCGTAACCAGAATCTTCTTTAATTATTTCCTCTACATCACTATATGCTTTACGCACCATGCTCCTTCAAGCTCTTAACCGTGTCAACCACCATCTGCTCCACACTAATGAAATCGATCTTCAGCAACTCATTCGTCGCCTTGTTATCGACCTTGAACCGCTGATCGTCCGGTGGCAGCTCGCCGCTCTTGAGCGCCTCTCCCTCCGGCAACTTATCCCCATACTCGGGGAAATTCTTGCGCACCTTCTCCGCAATCTCACTGTTGCTGAACGTGCCAGCAGTGGTAAACAATCTCTTCCCACCCGCCTCTGGCACCTCCAAACCTGCACGGATATGCGCCCTAGCAACATCGCGCACATCAATCCAGATGGTGGCGGCACCGGTGGACGGCACGCCCTCCTTCCACTTGCCCTGCAGCAAATCAACAATGCGCTCGTTGCTGGTGTTGATGCTGCTCAGGCTGGCGAGGTGGTGGACGACAGGACCAAACACCATGGGCGGGTTGATGGTGGCCAGGTCGAACTTGACATTGTTAGCCGGGTCGCGGACAAAGTCCCAAGCGGCCTTCTCGGCGAGTGTCTTGGAGGCCCGGTAGGCGGTCGCGGGGTTGCGGTGGATGTCGTCGATGGTGACGGGGTTCCAGGAGGCTTCGCTGAAGGTGTGGTTCGGGTCCGTGATCTTGTTCTCGTCCAAGATGGCGGCGAAGGACGAGGTGATGACGACGCGGCGGACGGTGGGCGCGGAACGGGCGATGGCTTTGAGGATGCCGGTTGTGCCGTTGACGGCGGGGTCGATGAGCTCGGTCTTGGGGTCCTCTTGGGGGTTGTTAGGATATTCACAAGCAGCTTGTCAAGGTGGATTGGGAGTCACTTACTGAACTTGAAGTGGAAAGGTGAAGCAGTGTGCAAGACAACCTCAAGACCGGGCTCCTTCACAACCTCATCGAAAGCATCGAGCTTGGCGATATCGGGAACAATGACGACCTTGAGCTCGCCGCTGCTGGCCTTGTCGGGGTAGGCCTCGCGGATGTTTTGCGCCTTATCTTCAGACCGGACGGTGGTGACCACGGTGTGGCCCTTGGCGAGAAGCTGCTCGAGGATGTGGGCTGTCCATTGAAGTCGTTAGCATCCATCCATTGCTCTCTTATATCTCAACATCTATATGTCCGTCCATAGTGTGATCCCTGTCTGTCCTTGCGGCCGTCCGGCGCACGGTCGATGGTGTACACATATTTTTTTCCCCCGTTGGAATCAAGATAAAATAGTATCATTGTTTTGAACATACCAGCAATGAAGCCCGAACCACCTGTAGAGAGACATCATGAACAGTCAGCGATCCGCATATTCACGATTCAAACGAGATTCATCTTCAAAAGTGAAGAGAAAAGAGGAAACTCACCAGTCAACAGAACCTTGGTCATTTTGTTTGGATTGTATAACACGCAGAAAACAGACACAAGATGGATGGGTATCAAGATGCGTCAAGTCCTAGAAATCAATGTATGTGTATATGTATGGTAGAAAAAATAGCACAATATCGATGATCCTTCTCGGCTGCTTCCACTCTACTCTACGGGGCATTCATCCCGCTTTTATACAATTACAAACCCGCGGCGCTCCCCGCAATCCCGCCATCCCGCACTCCGATCCCGTGTCTCCCAGCTTTGTTCCAATTCCCGACCGGCAACCCACCCCCACATAACCTCATCCCCCAAATTCCCATCCCCATCCCAGGGGCATCCTAAACCCGATTATACATACAGTACAACCACTTTGTCCCATTTCGATTCCGGTCCCATCACCCTCCCGCGATTTCGAACTTTCCTCCTCGGATATGTAATGTGAACTGTAACACGGAGCCCCGCCCCTTCCCGGGCAAGCTACCAAGCAATTGCTAAGCTCGCCCCGTAGCTCGCCTAAGCACTGTGGGGTCATTACACTAACTGTACTATGTAATGGAGACATTTAGGTAGCGTGGGGTTTCAAAAACGTCATTGATGCACAGGTGCGCTCGCTACTTTTTGCCCCGAGGTTACACAGTATTTCTGTACTACACTACAGTACACTATACTACGGCGGGTGATAGAGTCAGTTATGAGAATCGATGTGCATTTGTTATCTGCTAACTCCGAAACTGCCGTCTTTTAACGCCGTTTGATTTTGTAACACCCGGAGTGGTCTGGTGCGACAACTTGATTGGAATTATATTGAGATCGTGTTTTCATTGACTTCAATGCCAAATGTCGATTTAGTACTTACACTACAGTCTGTTTGTCGGTGATAAAATATGATGAGGTGGATCGGCCCGTTGAAACTGTGTTGCTTACAAATTGGTTATTTCATGTCAGCGACGGGAGACTCTTTTTTTCTCGTGGTCAATGTACGCTCATGTCATTTGTATGCTGGTGGGAAATTCCACGAAGCCCATTCTTGTGGTGTATGATGTCTTGCCCATGACAAAGTTGATGAGACCTCTGATCGAACAGGGACAGTCCAATACCGTTCGTTGTAACTAAGAAAGGCTGTCACAAAACCGTAGTAGGAATTATAATATTATGAAAATACATTAGCTAGAGTCCCTTGGGGATGTTTTCATACAGGAATTGTCTGAAATTTGGGTTCAAAGGTACAAATCATATGCGTAGACACAAGAGTACACCTCAGGCATAATGTACAAACCACAATTGTGCAGACTAACTGGGTTTCAACAGGTTTGTCAGGGACGAGCCAGGATGGATAACGATATTATTTACGCTTCTTATATTCCGCCTATCTCTTATTTGCGCTGATGCTTCATGTTATACCTACCAACCCAAAAATGTGTGTCTATGTAGGCATGTAACCACAACATCCACCCCGACCTCTTACTCGGTAGTGTCCATAGCATCTCCGCCTGTCGCCGCCTCCGCTCCGGCAATATCACCAACAGCAGGCGTCACTTCCTCGACCTTGCCGCGAATCTCTGCCCTCCTGTCCTCCATCCACTTCTCAATTTTAGCCTTCAGTTCCGTATCCGGAATAACATCATCAATAGTCATGGGCTGTCTCGTGAACGGGTCCTTCGGGTCACTGAGCAAGTGCTGCACGATAGTCGACCGATCGACGACGTGCTTGCTGGGTAGAATCACCGGTTCCTTCATCAAATCGCCCATGATGGGATCTTCGAACTCGGGCGGTGCGTCGCCAAAGTCGAGATCAGCCTGGTCGACGATGGCCTTGGCCTCTTCGAAGCTCTTGCACAACACCTCCCACGCGTGCATCTCGGTAGGATTCTTGAGTGCCTTTGAGCGAAGAATGTTGGTGGCTGACGCCATGGTCTCAGGCTTGTAGGATCTGCCGTCTGCAGCAACGGCCTCGACAAAGGCAGGCGAGGAACCCAAGTTTAGGTAGATGTCCACGAGCTGCGGTAGCAGAATCTTGGGGTTGAAGCCATACTTGTCGGGGTTCTCAACCTTCAACGTCCGGCTCTTAGGACCGGTGAGGAGGTCAAGGTTGAAATCGAGCATACCGGCCAGGCGGTGAACGATTTCTGGCATGGTGAAGGACTCAGCCAGGGTTTGGGTGAAGAGCTTCATCATGCCGACTGTCTCGTTCGCAAGCTGCATGTAGGAACTGGCCTTGTTTTCCGCGTCGTGTAAATCGCTCTCCATCTTTTCGCGATCCTCTTGCGAAAGACTGGGGTCCTTTAGCTTTTGCTGGAAGTCATGGATCTTGGGAAAGTTGCTCAATGCTTCATCCAGAACGTAGGTTGCATCGTTCATGAGAAGATTGACAAAACGAACGAAGAAGTCGCGGTCCACCCTAGGTCGAGTTAGTCGGATTCAGCAAAGATGGTAGGATAAAACATATACTGACCTGCTGGACTCTGTCAACTGCTTCTTGTAATGGTCATTAGTCCAGACACACTTGATAACCTGGAAGATCTCAAAACGTATGTTGAACTTTTCGTAGAACGCGGAACTGGTACCATTCGACTCGCACTCAATATAGTACTTCATCACAGCATGTAGCAGGTAGTCATTCGCGAACTTGGTGCCGGTAAGGATGTCGCCAAGAATGCCCTTCTTAAGATGGTATGCCGGCCAGGTGCCCTGATAAAGGAGGGTAACCAACGACGATTTCAAGTATGGGTTCTTGATGTACTCGGACGACTCCAAAAACGTTACGCATAGAGCAACGACCTCGTCACCAATGGCCGAGACCATGACCTCTGGCCTATGGCGGAAGGTGAACTTCAAGTTATCAACAATTACCTGCAGAACATACTCGGGAAGACAGCTGAAAGCTTCTGGCTGGGTTTCAGGCAGCGGAAGGCTGATTTTCTTCCATGGGACGTAGTCGGACTGACTGGCTACTCGCAGTAGCCAGACAATCGTGTACTTCATGAACTGTAGTGACCGCGTTTGCAGCGTCTTGTCCGTCATAATGCCTTCGATGGCAAATTTGGCCGACATGGCGCTCTCCAGCATCTTGATCAGTCTCCTCTGCGCCGCCTCTAGCATAGGTACTCGTTCCGGATGATTGGCGACCAGGTTGGGACGGTCGGCCTCCATAAGTGTCAAGTTCTTTTGGAAATGCTTGATTTGCTTGTCAAGTTCCTTTAGCTTGTTTTGGGTGGCTTCGGTGCCATACTGATGTGCCGCCAAAGCGAGGAAGAAGACCTCTGTTATAAAGTTGTTCTCCCCTTCGAGTTTTGTAGAGTAAAACGCGTCCGAGTGCTCCTGGTCAGCGTTGAGCTTGGTCTCTTCCTTGATGTCCAATCTAGGCTTCCGCCTGAAGTAGTCGACCTGAATACGGTCAATCTTGGTAAAGGAGTTATCCATGAAAGGCTTGCATAGATTGTCGAGGACGACAGTGACATTGACCATGAAGCCGTCTGACGAAACGGTCTTGGGGTCGACATAAGTGGCTGTGCGCTTATGGTTGACATTCATGATGTAGGCGAACCAGTCCAGGAGCTTGTTTCTCGAGCTAGTGCTTGCTCGTATGAAGGCATTAGCTATCGTCGTCAAGTGTTCCTGATGGGCAGCCAACGTCATTTGTAATGACTGTTGGGTTGTGCCAATTCGGCCCTTGTCAAGAGTCCTTGGTGCGGCAAAGTCGTAACTGGCCGCCTCGGGGTGTAAGGGCGACAAGCGGAAGAATGGACCGAGCAGCGTGAACCGTTCAATGTTGGGGGCCGATTGCGCCATGAGGAAAGTAGGGTGTTCTGCCAAAGCGTTCACGAGAGCCGGATATCTCGAGTATGTGAAGAGGGCCTGCGAGGTTCCAACGTCAACGCTCAGCACAATTCGTTCAAGTCGCTTGTCAAACTCACCTGGACGTGTGGCTGATAATCCCCGTTCATGTTTTTGGTAGACAGCGCTGTGCTGATTTCCACCATGGCCTTGGTGAAGAGAGGTACAATGCTATCGTCGTCCTCGATCCGTGTCATGGCCTCGTTGTAAAACTCGATGTCGAGGCCTTCTTCCTTTGCAACACCTTCCAAAATGTAGGGGACCATGGTATCGTGCTTTGGGTTTGGTTCTCGACTTTTTCAAGTTTGGATCATGTCAGCTAGAGCAAACAGGGAAGAGGACACGGGAGATAAATACCCAAACATCTCGGGCATGGTAACGGCGAAGATGCAGTTCGAGAAGCACAAGCGCTTGGCCTCCTTGAGGGCTTCTTCCTTCTCAGGAGTCGACGCCCTCAATATCCTGTATCTGGTGACCCGCTTCCAGCATGCCAGGAAGTATTCGAACAGGGGCTTGTGCGGCGGATAGACCCTTCCGGCCTCCATAACAGCCTCTTGAAATCGGTCGATCGACAGCAAGGGCTCCTGATCCTCGCCCCGAATTTCCTGGCTGAGTTCTGGCAGAAAGGTTAAGTTATGGCCACTGCTATCGAAGGTCTGGTTCGGATCGAGAGACACGCGAAGGATGCTGGTGAGTAGCTTGTCGGTCCATTCCTCGAGCGTCTGTTCCCTGTATTGCTTTCGCGGTGCTGGTGGGCATGGAATATCATCAATATTTGAAAGGGATCTTTCTCTCTTTCGGGAAGCGGAACTACCTGGTGGTGGCTCTGGCACATCTCGTGACGCCGGCTTGATTATCGACCTTGGCTGAACTCGCGGTGCCTTGTCTTCGATCTTTGACGAACTCGCCGCCGCCGCCGCCGCCGCAGCAGCAGCGGGAGGGGTTTCGGTGCCAGGCTGAGGCGTGGAAGAGGACGCAGCTGGCGACGTAGTAGAAGCGGTACTGGGGCCACCGAGCTTAGCCAGTCGTCGGGCACGGATCTGCTCCATCGTCTCTTTATCAGGCGCATCCGGCGTGGCCGCCGGCTGTTGCTGATTCGGATCCATCTTGTCGTCGTCGTTGGGCGAAGAGGAAAGGGATTAAGGATGTACGGATGTTGTGATTATCGTGACGGAGAGAGCCTGGGAGAAGAAGGGCTCAAGCTGGCGGTGACGACGTAAAGCTGGATGTGCGTTGAGAGGTTGAGGCGAAGGATGAGGAGGAGGAGAAGGAGGATGGAGGTGACTGCCCGAAGCTGGAGGTTGTCTTCGGCTGCAGGTGCTCGAAGTTGGTACTTCGCTCTTGAGCTAACTACGGTAGTTTGTGATAGTGTGGGTGCCGAAGTTAGGTAGTAATAAGGGATGACTCTAGCAGCCTCTAGCGGAAAGCCCTCGGATAGTGATCAGGAGGAAGTAGCAATTCCCATGCACCTTTTGCGCTGACAAGATTACGTTGACATCTGTGAACGTGACGTGGAGCCTGCCTGCCCCGAACAAGCCTACTGCATGGAGCTCCTGCAGTTCACAGATTGGCGGGGTATTTCGGGACGTTACTTACATTTAGTGCTTTTGGCGGGACATGATTCACTGCACTGTAGTACAGCAATACTGGTTCGATTGTTAGCTCCCGCGGGTCTTTGGATTAACTTCCTTAGAACTGGGCGTTTTTGTCCTATGAATACCTATGCTTATTCTCCAAAATGAAAGAGACTGAATTGGATGTTGTTTATGCCTTTCATTCAGTCCTTGTACGGTTTGGGACAATTTGAAAGACGGGAGATCTCGTCCAGTGTACTAGGAGTACCTCTAGGTACTATGCTAATAAACAGACCAGCACTATTGTACTACATATGTATTCTAGAGGATGCTTCTGGGTATGGAACCTCACAACTGAAGCAGAAACGGGCTGAATGACATGAAAATGATTACTAATTATTCGTTGGTGCTTCTCATGGAAGGACCCTAGAATTACTATAACGTTGGATGTGAAAGTGACTTTCCTTCGCTGTAAATGCAGAATGCAGCTGTCGTTGCTCAATGAATCGACATGAATGCAAAAGTTACGGGGAGCCAAGAAAGTCAAAGCATTCCAGATAATTTTCAAGCTGTCTTGTCCAAGACACTATGGTAAACAGGCCTAGACCATGAAGCCATTCTTTCCGTTGCTATTAGCTCTTTCAAGCGTGCCAAATCCCAATATAGAGATTTGATTCGTTTCCTATATTCTTTGGTCTATAGGCCATCTAGTCTAAGCTTTAGACCAAGGCCCGACGTTGCAATAAGACAACCTCCTAGTGCTCTCCCGATCCATCCCAAACGCCAACATACAAAACACATGCTTACCCGTTCTTCTCCTTCAGACCATTATAGTATGTTTCCAAAACCAACAGACACTGTTACTTCCGTTCGGGACGGCTCGGACACTGAGGCACAGCAGCAGAAACATATGACCCCAGTGTCTGCCCCAGGAAGGTGAACCCAAACATCCATCAAAGTCGAGGTGGATTCTCACCCCTCCCAACACTACTCCTCCTCAACGGCGGGATATCACTGGTATTAAGAAACCTCCCTCTCGCACTCTCTCCATCACCATTCCTGCTACCCTGCTGTGTCTGTGTTGCCGTCCTTGACGAGCTGGAAGGACCAGCCGCCGCTGTATTCGTCCTGCCTCTCTCCTCCTCGTTATTACCACCAGTACCGCCACTGCCACCACCACTGCCACCACCACCAGCAGAAATATTTGATCTCGTAGTCCCGGGCGTTGACCCAGAGCCATTTTGCTGTCCACGACTTTGCCTTTGCATGCTCATCAACCACGTAGTATGCATTCCCAATACTCCTACTTTACTCCCAAGCTCGGCGATTTGCTCGTTCATCCTCATCGTATCATTGACCAGCCTCATTGTGTGTCTCCCGTCAAGCTCCACCATCATCTTGCGCAAGTCTTCAATCTTGGCCTCCATGGCCTCAAACTGGGAAAGCATGTAATCTTCTGGTGACTCCCACGGCCCGTCGCCACTGTTGTGTGCCCACGGGGCCGGGGGTGCATCCACCGCCATCGCTGCCGCCGCCGCTTGTGGGCTACTGTAGTTGCTGTCATTGTGGCGGTTGTTTTCTTGGTCGAAAGTTTCGAAAAGGTCATCCAGTGTGATGTTGTGATTGGCCTCATCGATGTCTGCGTAACCTGACGTGGCCGACTGCATACGGTTCAAGTTGTTGAGGGCATCGGCGGTTAGGCCTGACGATGGCGGCGCTGCTCTGGTGAATGCAGATGACTCCCGTACCCCGCTGCTGCCACCTCCACCACCACCATATCTTTCCAGATGCCGTGTTCGTCCGTCTAGAGCGTCTAATCGTCCCTTCAACTCATTAATGATCTTGTGGTCTTCCTCCCGTGCTTGCATGAGATTCGCAATCGCCTCATAGATGCACCCGTTCTTTAGATGCTCCTCGATATCTTTCCTCCGCGCAACCTGTTTGCACCCAGCGCTCTGGAACTGGCAGTGTGTTTCGACCTCGCGGCAGTCGGTCGCAATGTGCTTGGCCAGACGGTGGCGGACGAGGACAGCGTCGCAGTGCGGGCACTCGGCTTCTTGTCCCGTACACTCTTGGTCGCAGTGCCTCTCGAGGTCGTTGAAAGTAATGGCCATCTCGCAGTAGGGACAGGGCGTAACGTAATGGAGACACCCGTTCTCGGGGCGCGCGTCTTTCCGGCAGATCATCTCGTCGCAATGATGGTCGGGGCAGCGAACAAGGGTTTGTCCGCAATAACGTTCGACGTGTGCGTATAGAAGCTCCCGCGAGCAAACATGATCGCAGCCGCTATTTGGGCACTTGACTTTGAGACGGTCGAGCTGGTCGAGTATCACGCGGGTTCGGGTCTGGCTAATGTCTCGGCTGATGTCGAGGGGTCGGCGGTCAATGGGGCATACGTGCTGGGCCTCGAGAGCGCGGTCGAGGCACGAGGCGCAAAAGGTGTGACCGCACGTCTTGGTCGTCATGGGCATGAAGAAGGGCGTGTGGCAGATGGGACATAACAAAGCCTCGTCGATCTGTTGGGCATAGTCGAGCGCCTGGTAGTCAATTCCAGATTCAGACTGATCGTGCGTATGACCCCGTGAAGGGACTTGATACGGGCCGTAATCGGCAACTGAGCTGCGTCTGGAGCCGCCCGGGGAAGAAGCAGGAGAATCGTAGATAGTAGAGGGGACCCCGGAGCCGAAAATCCGGCGTGCGTCAGCTCGCGAGGAGATGGTAGGGGCTGCTACTCCTTCTTCGGGTGTATTCGGTGGCGGCATTTCGAATGACATTGGCAGATTGGGGTTTCCTGATTATGGTGATGAGGGGCTGCTGATATTGTTGTCATCCATTCGCCCGAGGCCTGCTATTCCAATTGGTGGTTTGTTGATTGAAGATCGGAGAAGAGATGAGTATCACGGCGCGAACTGTTCGAAGAAGTTGGAAGCAATTGGAAAATGAAGGTATATATAGACTGTGTTTAACGGCTGTAGGTGTGGTGGAGTGGGCAAGTGTCTTCGTTCGAGGCGGTCACCACTTTCCAAGAATCATGTTGATGCGGAGATGGAGAGAGGGGCTCAGCGGATCTGGAGAAAAGAAACAGACACAGATTTGATTGTGACTAGTCTCGGCGACTATCCATGATTCAGGTCAGCCGCTGCAGGTAACCACCGAACTGTCTTACACGGCGACACAGAGTATGGTAGTCTCGGAGGTGCGGTGGTGGTTGATGATGGCGAGAGGATGAAGTCGAAAGCCGAAGACGGCGGAGGGGGCGAGCGACGCAACCGACGGGAAGGAACAGCCCCAGGCGATAACCGATAAGGCGCTACTTTAGGGGACTGGATGCTAGGGCCAGACGTCAGCCGAGGTCAGATGCGTTTATCAGTGCATGTTAAGCCAGGTACCCGAAGCCCAACAAAGAGACTGTTGTTCGAAGCCAACACCTTGGATATGACGGGCTGCTTTGCAATTATTCACGGATTCAAGATCATCGAGGCCAAAGCGGATGAAGAATTGGCTCTTTCGTTTGACAAAACTGCCCGGAATAGCCTCTTAATCCTTGATTCGTAATGTATACCATATCTTAGAAGGTCCTAGTAGAGATAATGCTCCTATCGTGCCCCTGCGCTAGCGGTGCTCTCCAGGGAACGGGAACCTTGATAGCCAACACACCACCCCGCAGTCCCTTCTCAACTGTAACTTTAGTTTGACGTCAACATAAAATGGTTGGGGGATTATATGGCTACAAACATGACGGCTATCCAATAGATGCTGGTTACAATAGGGATAAAGATGGGCAATAACAACATTCAAGAATGATGAAGACTGGGAGTTATCCCGAGACCATCGCCATATCCAAGGGCTTCGAACGCAATGCTGGAGGCATCAAAACAATGAAAATATTTGGGTCAAAAGCAAAGCACTGGTCTGACAGTTGTCATCACATGCGAGCCCGCTTATGAGAGCCCAGTGAAGCTTTCCAATCAGTCATTCACATTCGAACCAAGTAACCCCGGGAGAAGAGATCATTTTCTGCCTTACATCATGACTACAGCCTAGGTATTTTGTATCCTTCAGAGTCTCCAACCTGTTCTCATAAAGTCCACCCGGCTCACAATCCACGTCCTCAAATGGTAGCCCCAACAGCGTGCTGATCCAAAACAAGACTAGCACCCTCCTCCGCAGTGTTCGGAGTCGCCAGCGTGACCGTGACATCGGGATCCTGAGCATACACCCTCAGCCCAACGACGCAGACGGCGTTCCAGGGAATCTTGCCCTCCTCATATTCGATCTTGGGCTCCTCCTCTTCTTCTTCCTCATCTTCGGACAGGTCTTCCTCGACCTCTTCAGTGGCAGCCGCCGTCGGCCTCGGCTCCTCAACTACCTTTTCTTCTTCCTTCTGTTTCTTCTCTTCCCCTGACACCTTCTCCTCAGTCTTCTTCTCTTCTGCAGCAGCATCATCTTCCTTCTTTTCACCGTCCTTCTTTTCAGTAGAGGTATTCTTTCCTTCACCAGCCGCAGTGTCTCCGGCGCTCTTGGATGAGGATGAAGGAGCACTTACCTTCTTGGGTTGTTCCTCCTTCATCTTCTCATCATCCTTGGCCTTCTCCTCCACGGCATCCTCAAACTTCTCCTCTTCCTCCTTCTTGTCCTCAGCCGTCGACTTCTTTTCCTCCTTCTTGTCAGGCTCTGTACCGGTACCGGAAGTATCCACAGTAGATCCTTCAGGCATGTTGATGGTGATCTGCACCTGCTTCTGCTTCCTCTTCTCCCTACGCTCCTTTTCGCGCTTGGCCTTGGCCTTGGCCTTGGCCTTGGCCTTCTTCTTCTCCTCTTTCTTCTTCTTTTCTTCTTTTCTCTGGGTGATGATCTCGTCCTCATCGGGGACGCCGCCCTTGGCGTGGGCGAGATCATACTGCATGCCGATTTGACGGAGTTTGGCAGGGTTTTCCTCGGCCCTGGTATCAGTCGTCGTTAGTTTACAAGCAGTTTTGAAAGCGCAAGTCAGGCCTTCGAGTCAAGCATACCATCGGGTGACAACATCCTCAACCATACGCTGGCTGGTATCCCGTTCGACCGTAATCTTCGGCAAGACTTCGTAGCGCCCGGGCTCGAGATCGAGTTCGCAGCTGACTGATCGGGAACTCCAGTTCAGGGTAGGACGCACACGGCAGAGCTGCTCCTGTCCATCCTTGTCCTGTAGAACGAAGTGGAGAATGAACATGTATTGTCCTTCCAGGCCTTGGAAATAACGCTCATCGAGCTATGCAGAACTCAGCTGTTAGCGAAAAGAACAGCCGGATGCATGAGGGTAAGAGTCACGAACCTGGCTCAGTACAATCACCACCGTTCCTCCCTTCTTGATTTCGATGACAAACTTCTTGTTCAGGTAGCCAGCAATCCAGCCAACTGTGACAGTGGTCCATTGCTGAACGACCGTCCATTTGTCGTCGAAGAGACGGGTGCGATAGAGGTACAAAAAGTTATCCAACATGTCTTGATACGACATCCAGAACTCGCCGTCGTCACCGAACTTGTGGTCGAGTTTCTTGAGCCTATAGAGCACGGTTCCTTGTCAGTTTCTACCATCTGATAGCATTGTGATTATGTCGGCGAGGGATGAAGGTGACATACCAATAGGGCGTCCATTCCTTAGATCCGTCCGACCAAGGCCCATCCCACTCGCCAGTTCCCGCCGACGTCCGCTCACCCCATGGGTTTCGAATCTTGACCAATCTGACCTTCCTACCATCCTCGTCAACCTCCTCTGTGGCTTTCAGAATGGAATACGCATGACCGTTGGCCATGCTGCCTCTCGTAGAGGCATAGCCGTGGGCACTGCACGAGAAGACAAAGTCGCCATTCGAATTCACCAGCTCCTTCCACAGCTTGTCCTTCCGCAGCACTCTGTTCGACTGCAGCATGGCAGACACACCGCCCGTCATGTCTTCGACGCCCTCGCCAGGCCAACCGCCGGAAATGGCTTCGTAGTCCCCGTGAACCTTGGCATATGCCTTCTCCAGGAGGGGCAGCCACGTCTCGTTCGGATCAGAGCATTGGGAAAAGTAAAGGGCCCCAGACCCCGTCTGTTTGTCTTTCCGGTGCTTACGTCCCTTCTTCCCTGTCGGGTCGTACTCGTCATAGTAGTGCCTGTAGTCCTCTTCCGTCAGGTAGAGGTTGTCGTCCACCACAGTGCTAATCCACTCGCCGTCCTTGAAGAAGACAAAGCCGTAAACGCCGATTTCCTCGTCGCGGGCAACGCAGACTTTGTCCATGAGATCCTTGCGATGAGCGATGGTGGCCACGGCAGCCAGCCACCAGCAGTCTCCGTCACAGCCCTGCTTGATATCGGATGAGGAGTAACCGTCCTTGGTCCACTGGGGCGATTCAAAGATCCAGTCGAGGCGATGGACGGAGCCCGGGGTGAAAGTTTCACGCCAGCCAGCCTTAACACCCTCATGTCGGCCTTTTGATCCTTCGGGTGCCGGCGCTTCGGGAGCATCATCGGCACTGCGAGCAACTCCGCGAGACTTGATGCCCTTTTTGGCGCCTTTGCCGGCTCCTAGGTCGTACAGCTCTTGGAGCTCGCCGAAGAATTCATTCAAGTCAGCGTCATGGGTGAGTCCGTGGAGACAGTTCCGGACTTCAAAGTCACCCTCAATGTCGAAATCCGGATCAGTGAACTTCTCGTTGGTGCGCTCGCATTCCTTGACAATGCGCTTCACCTTCTCCTTGCATTCCTTGACGGCGGCCTGGTAGCTATCCGTGGCATTGCGGGAGGAGCTGACACCTTGTGGCTGGGAGGGTGGCAGGAGAGTCTCATAGAGGCTGCGTGGAAAGATCCGAGTAACTTTTCCGGGTTTCTTGACGAAGAACTGGTCCCAGAATTCGGTGACGAGTTCTTGGGGGGTCTTGTTGAAGTCTTTCTTCTTGGCGGAGCCAGCGGACGAAGAAGTGGCCATGGTGATATAGCGGCGTTTGTAAGAAGGATGACCACTTAGAAAATAGTAGGTACCTCTAGAGTAAAATGACTGTGGCCTTGGGTATCAAGTGGCTGAAGCCGTGATAGCAAGTAGTTAACCCTGAGCCAAAGACAAGTATAGGAAGCCTCGAGTTGGAAAGAACAACGCTCCCACATGGGCAGCCCTTGTAACTTATACATCATACCTAGTCCGAAGCCTATCAGCAGGCCAAGGAAGAGGCTATCAGCTATAGGATGGCAAGGTATCACCATCTCATCTCCTGGGGTTTGGCTGACAGCCTTAGAGAAAGGATGATATGATCCGCAACCCATACACGTCAGCAGAACTAGGCAAGGTATATTGACTATTAGTGCTCACAAATGACACTAGGTAGGTTGTGATCAATCAAGTTGCCCGTTGGGTTACCGGCCAAGGTGGCTATCTGACAATCGATTCGTCCTCCATTTGATTGATATACTGGAGGTGTTGCAGCGAGGCTTTGCATGGTGCCATTTCGTCTCCTCGTGCGGCTCTCATATGGGTAAGCCAATGGAAGCAGGCTAATCAAAAGAATGTTCATCCTAGCAAATCTGGAAGTTATGAAGATGACACCAGTTCACGGAGTGGTGACCGAGACAACAGGAGAGACAAAGAAGATTTTCATAGATTGGAAGCTCACCGTTGAGACCCTGCAGGCTCAACAGTTGAGGTGAATCAAGTGCTGGGCTGAAGGATGAGGGATCAGATGTCGTGTGGTCTGGCGGCACAAGCTTCCAGGAAAACGAGGAGGGGTTGTGGAAGGGCTGAAGAAAAAGGATTACACTACATACCTTACTGTAGAGGTAGCTGTATCCTTGTAGGGCAACTAGCTCCATGCAGCTGCTGTCCAATCGTTTGAACATGTTCACGTTCTCGTTGCCGACCCCGGTATCAACCCCCCGGGACAGGGGCTGAGAAGGGCTAGAATCCTGCTGTTGCAGCCCATCTCTGTTTCGGCCCGCACCCGGCGAGAGGCAGTCTCTACAACAGGTCATCGCCCGTGCTATACGATCCCTTATGTCGACTTTTAAGTTATATGTTTGGGGAGGATCCAGCCAACGTGAATTGTGGGATTAGTAAGATATTTCGAGATTATCATTTCAAGTTTGCCAAGCGTCAGAATCATGTCATCACGAGGCTGGCCCCCACTTAGACCGTCTCACCTACATCATGCAGTCAGCAACTGTGGATGGGGCTAGTAGCCTACCATCATCAGTGGCGTAGTATACGATCCAGGCACTCAACCGTGGACAATATGATTTGGTAATGTTTGCATCAACCTTTGTTCAGCTCGTCTCAGCCTCTGGCCTTATGAAAATGATAGTATCGATTTGTTCTCGTAGAGGCGAGCGATCACCTGCTTTTCTTCAACAGGCAGCCGGAAAATGTGCACAGGTTGGCGTGACTCCGGGAAACCTTCACTTTTGGGTTAACAGGGGCAGGCAGTGGCACTTTTGCAGCATTTTGAAGCTGACGCTACCGTGACAACGTTGAAATAGCCATGGCTCGGCAATTAAAATGGCTGAGTAAAGCTGTTGCTTGCTTCATGAGCTGTCATCAGGCTGTAAGCGTATGAATGAGAGGGGGGGGCATCCTTCTTTGTCTTTAGTGCGATGTTTCACCCTTATTGACGCCGAAGCCAGGAGGAAGAAAGAAAAAAAAAAAGAAGAAGAAAAAAGAGAAGAAAAGAAGGGCGTCGTCTTCTGGTCATCGAGAAATTAGTGATGCCGTTTCAGATCTTTACAAAGGTTGAGATATCAAGGTTCCCTGTCGCTGTCAGGGTGGCCCCAAAAGCAGGCTCCGGCGCGAGAACAACAAACTTAGATGATGAATATTTTTTGCCAATCATCCATCGCCTCTTCAGGATCCGTCTCGTACATTGGGAGCACCAACGACTTGGCTGCCAATTTGATCTCCATCGAGGCTATGCACGTCGCTCTTTGGTACTCTGTTGCTGCATCAATGTTGACCTTTAACACGGACGCCGCTGTGCTCGAGTTTTCTGCGTGCGCAGTATCCATATACACCAGAGCCTGTTCAAGGTAGCTGGCAGCCTTTATGGCGTGGATATATCGCATGTTGTACCAGTATAAACTGACGCCCGCAAAGTCGTACCATCTTGGACAGTATCTGTCACCTTCCTCTTGCTGTCGAGCTGGCAGCTTCTGTCTGTATGAGAGACGATCCTTAGCAAGTGAATCAAGTTCTTCGGAAATGCTTGCGTCTGGGGCATTTCCCGCCTCCGTTGCCTTGCGCGTAACACGCAATAGGCGCATAGTCTCGCCCAGTGTCTGTAGTTGCCGCCGTTGTTGTCGGAGCTTCTCTTTCATTTCTTCACGAGATGACATCGAAGCAGTCATCAGTTGACCAATGATCTCGGACCAGAAATTTGCCTGTCTTGCAAATGCCTCTTCTAGGTCGCTCAGTACTATGGTTTCGGACCAGAAATTTGACGGTCCTGCACATGCCTCGTCTGGATCGCTCAATGCACCACGCCAAGCTGTCAGGGCAAATGCATCCTTTCCGAATCGGTGTAGAACATTGTCCCAAATCATGTTGACCCGTTGTCTGAGATCTTTGAAAAAGGCTACTTGCCACGCAGAATATTCCGTATGGGCTGCGGAGCACATTTCGGCTAGCTTCAGATGGAGAGCTTGAGTGTTTTCCATCCGCAACCCTTCGAAGAAACCGGTAGAAGCATGTAAAACAGTCCACTGTGATATTTGTGCAAGATCATCAGGATAGTCCGCCCTCAAATCCGAACCTTCTAGTGTGATCAAGGAGCCGGGGCTAACATAGCACAAGCCGACGAATGTAAACAAGTCTTTCCTAGGAAGCCCATAGCGAGTCTTCTTTCGCACCGGGCGAAGGGCTACCGGTACGTCAAACCCGCGGAGAAAATAGATGCAGTCATCAAATTCTGAGTTGTGTGGTGCGGTGACGCTGAAGAAATCCCCCCAAAAGACAGCATGTGTTGAAAAGTCATGTCGTTTGAACTTTTTCGTCAGGCTTGTTAGCCTAATTCCATGGACGCACAGCGTACCAGTAGGCCCATGAACTGTCGCCTTTGGAAGGGTGAGCTCATCAGATATGACATCATCAGTCTTGTTCCGAACCCATCCATCTTCACCCCAACGACGCAGCTGCCATGGGTATTGGATGCATTCATCGGGCGCTGGGACAGATTGCAGCTCTACATGTTCCATTCGTAGCATGATTCCCCAGTCGCGTGAGAGGAGGCGCCAGTCAGGTACCCAAGATGGCAGGTTCCTCGACTTTGTGTATCCGCTGGCGTAACGGAGGATGTCGACTTCTCCATGTTTGGTCAAGGCAAATGCGGCTAAACCAGTATATCTGCAGCTCAAGTCAGCGTCTATAGAATTCCTGATGATCAAGTGCTCTTGTCAAGCAGCCACCTACACCTGTTCGACTGAGAGAGAGTAGTCCCCGACTAAACCATCAGCTGCAGCCCCTGTGACAACCCCAAGAAGGGCGAATATTTTGTCTCGTGGATCAGACGCCTGTGAAGACCAGGAGTCCATCACCAACCTCACCAAGTAACCGGGCAACCTGTATTTGCGTGTCTCGAAGTCTTTGATCCAGGGAAGGAATGTCCTTGAAGCATATCCCTCAGCCTGGGCATCGATGATGGGCCACGGTTGCCACGATGATCCGTCGGTAACCCAAGCTTTTCGAGCAGCGGCAATCTCCTGGATTATCCAGCTTCGGAAGAAGTAGTGGCACTTTAGTCGGCTGTCCATCTTGTCCCATTTTTTTTCCCATTGGTTGCGAGTTATAGTTCGTTGTTGTCGTTCGATTTTGTAAGTCCATCCTATATCTACCTCCCATTTCTCGTTGCCAATATAGATGACTACCTGGGTTGCGGTCGCATATATTATGGGCATCAGCTGAATCTGGTGGGTGCGCTCCGTGTCGTTTTCCTGGTTGATACAAATTGCATCGACCCATATGCGTCGGTCGGCATCAGGAAGACGGAGGGCGCGTAGAGCCGCCTCACAATTGATGGTGATGGGAAGCATGCTCCATTCGCGTCCCAGGTAAAGTTTCCTCGTCCTGCTCGAGTTTCCTGATGCAGTGCCCCAGGTGTAAGATAGCGCCTCGTATTCAGGGAAGTATTTGAGTTGGCAAACTTCCAAGCGGCCATGCAACGGATCAGACTTGTTGCCCTTGCTGAGATGCAAGATTCGAATACTGTCGGACGCGACAAGATTATCTTCTCGTGGATTTAGTGACGGCGGGTTTATGGCCCCTTGTCTTGGCCTTTGGCCTGAAGACAATGGTTCGCAAGACGAAACTCCATCGTTTGCTATCATACCTGAGGGCCGCTCGCTGGATGGCCTGCTCGTCTCGTCCCATGGTTCGGTACCGAGAATCTCTGCAAGCTGTGATGAGATATCGCAACCATTGGAGTCGTAGCAATGGGTCTCGTAGTCAACAGAAGCTGGCCAGTGCAGTGATAGGGCCTTTGTCTCGTCATGATATAGTACCGATGGGTTTGACGGGACCTGACTGGGTGACAGGTCGTCCAAAGGCGCCAACGAGTCGCAACTCATGCAAAAGGGTATGCCTCCGTCAACCAAACAGACATCTGGTCGACCACACGAATTTCGGTGCCATGAGATCATATTTGGCTGACAATTGGATTTTGGTGCCCCCAAAGCTGGGACGAGTTGCGAAATACACGACAGGGAGTTGAGGATCTTGAATCTGGAGAGTGAATGTCAGCAGAAGGCTCGGCGTGGGTTGATGTTGAACTGAGTGACAATGATGGGGTTTCAGCGCCCTTATGATCAGGCAATAGGTCAATAGTCGGGACGAAGATAGCCATCTCGTATGTAGTATGAAGTCTTAGAGGTAGTAGGTTCACCCGCCTGGTTGCGGTCAACAGACTTCCCCGCTCTAAACATAGTGCATCAATTAGGCTCACGATTTCTTACTGCCTGCTGTGAAACGAAACGGCCCTTATTGGCTGCTCTGGCTAGTTAGACACAGCCTGGTAGAGATCGCCCGCCTGTTGGATCTCTGCAGGGAAATCGAAGCAAGACTCATGCGCTACTCCTGGAAGATGGAGAACTTGAGCACATCTGCCTTCTGAGTCAACAGGGTACTGCGCATGACTTTATGTCTTTCTTTATATGTGCTTCTGCAACGTTGGAGTTGTTGTTCAGGCATATAGGTATATCAAGTAAACCCAACACGAATATGATGGTCGGCAGAAGAGTCACATGTAAAAGACTGAACATGGAGTATTGTGCACTAAAATGCCGACAAATTGGATATTATGTAAGTCATAGCATTGGCCTCGGTTTTGATTGGAGACTCCCGAAACGGAAAGAGGACGCATGATCACAAGGGCACTGAACATTGGTTCTTGGTTGTTTTTGTTTCCCTTTTAATTCTGTATTGATGTGGCCCTCACTCTTTACTTTATTATTCAATAACCGCAAGGATATGTAATGGCTTAATGATATTCCTGGTACATGTAAAACACCGATTTTCAGTTCAGCATTAGGTCAACATCGACATCTCGAAAATTCATCAGCTGGAGAAAGGAATCCAGGCTTCAGGACCCCACTTGCTGTTTTCGACTTGAAGGTGTGTAAGGAAAGTTACAGCGGGTCACACACTGTGGCCAGCCCTGCAGCAAGGCACCTGTGGGTGTCCATCCCCTCCTGTCCAGCGGTCCTGGCGAATGAGGGCTGGCGGACAAGAGGAACCCCTGCCGTTCTGGGTGTCCCGGTCTGGCCGTCTGTTGCATCCTTCAGGTTCCATTACATGGGAGACGCCGCATGCAATTGAGCTTGCGCGACAGTGGAGGCCAATGAGGTTCCCTCGGTGCCGGCAAACAAAAAGTATCGATTACGGAACTTTGACAAGAGAGCCATTTTCCCGAGACGAACCGCCAGAAACCTGCCCAGTACCGCTGCCAGTCTAGACCATTGCCGTCTTGAATCAATGTCCATCGCAGTCGCATGACCGAGCCCGTAACCACTTGCGAACGACCCAGTCAGGACCATAACCACAAAGGAACGCGACCGCTACCTATCCACTGAGACTTGGACGAAAAGTGACGAGCCGAGGCAACCCTAACGAAACGAGCTTACGAACCGACCGGGGAACCCGAGCAGAACACCAAAGAATAATACCGGAGAAAACATCCGTCAAACGTCAACAACGCCCGAGGTTGTTAAAAGAGAAGATTCGTATTTGGGAGAAAGAGGTGCAAGAACAAACCACAACAAAGGCTGGCTCGGAATCAACATCAAACTGCCACCATCCCCCTGCGAGGAGCCGCCGGCCTGGCGTTAGATGAGCAGTGAACTCAACGGCCGTTGCGTAACCACCAGATCCAATGGGAGCCTCTACACTCGATAAGCAATGACGGGAACAGAAGCCACGGAAAAGCCCAACGGCAAAGAGGCGGGAACCAAGGACATCATCAGGTCCGGAAGCGACACCAAGCCCAAGGATCACCATCCCACGCCCGCAGACGATGTGCAAAAGGCGCCCAAGAAGCGCCGCAAGGTCAATCATGGTACTTTTTCCGCTGTCTTCCTGCCTACATCACTTGACCGCTCTTCTTCAGCTTGCTAACTCTGTCTGGTGCGCCTGTTGTAGCCTGCCTTTACTGTCGCCGATCTGTAAGTCGACCAAAATGCACCACCGACACCCCATCTCCTGCCGTGCTAGTTACCCAGGCTTCGTACATGGGCTACCGTAACTGCCATAGTACGGAGTCCTGCAGAAGACCCCGCTCGGTCTCGATATACACACAGACTTTACTAGTTATCCTGGTGGCTGACCATGTTGTTTTGGCTGCCTTAGCACATGACGTGTGATCTTGTATGTGTTCTTCCCCCCCTTCACCAAGGTAGAGGAGCTCTAGCTAACGAATTCCTCGTTACCATTCATAGGAGAGACCTTGTACAAGATGCATCAAGCGAAATATCGGCCATCTCTGCCACGATGAGCCTCGCGATACCGAGTCGCGCAAGGCCAAGAGCGTGCTTGGGACTTCGACCCTACATGACTCCGAGTCCCAGCCGGACATTGGGCGCAACGCTACGGACAAGACCATGAGACCACCCGGTTTTAATGGCGGTATGAGCAATGGATCTGTCCAGGTAGCAGGTGCTGCAGCGGTAGGCCGGGGCGCTCCTCTCCAGCTCGTGCAACCAGGTTCTGTTGCTGGTATACAAGCCAGCGCCCTTGGCGGTAGCATGAATCAATGTGAGTGTTGGCGCTGGATCCTCCTTTTGCCTTTCTCCACTATGGTCAGTCAGTTGCTGAAATTGCCCAACATAGTTGCCGGTCTTCCGGATTCTTGGTTAACCACTCAAAACCACTATCACGACATGCACAACTTCCATCCAAACTACATGGTGGCACCTGAGGTTACGAATGAATTCAATCTATTGAACGAATTCTTGTCGGCAGGCTTGCTTGAGGAGTCGGCCTTCATGTCCGACGATCATGGCCTAATATTGGGGGCAAACCAGTCTGCGGTGTCGGGATTGCCTAATGCCAATAATAACGCCAACGATGCTAGCAGTAACAGCAAGGGAAATAGCAGCAGCAACAGCGGCATGCTCCCCCCAAGTGCCACACAAGGGACCTCGATGCTACCACCAAGTAGCGACCAAACAACGGCGATAGGGAAGCCGGCGAGTACAAACTTGGATAATGCCCGGGATGCATACTATCTTCAAGCGGCAGATCCGTCCGGAAACGACACACCGGAGGAACGCATGCAGCGCTTGCTACGAGCCAAGTACGAAGCCGGACTATTAAAGCCGTTCAACTACATCCTTGGCTATAAGAGGCTCTCGGATTATCTGGATGGACACGTGTCGCCGACGTCAAAACAAAAGATTCTGAAGCAGATCGACCGATTCCGACCCAAGTTCCGCGAGAAGATACAATTATTGACTGATATGGACCTGCTGATGGTGGAAATGTGGTTCGAGAGGACGCTGTTGGAGTACGACCGAGTTTTCGCCAGTATGGCCGTTCCAGCCTGCTGCTGGAGACGAACCGGACAGATTTTTAGGGGAAACAAAGAAATGGCGGAGCTCATAGGCGTGCCAGTAGAGAGTTTACGAGGGGTAAGAGACACAGCACCAATGCGCCGACGTGGAATATTATCTATGATGCTGACTTTGGTTTTGCTTAGGGTCAAATCGCCCTGCATGAGATCCTGACGGAAGAGTCGAACGTGAGATACTGGGAAGAATTCGGCACAATAGCATTCGACCCGGCTCACGATACCCTGATCACCGCGTGTTCACTCAAGAACCCCAACGATGACAAGGGGACCAAAGTTGTGAACTGTTGCTTTTCTTTCAGGATCCGTAGGGACGATCACAAGATGTAAGTGTCTTTTGTTTTTCACGGATCCCCTGTGTTTGTTATAGGCGAAGTAGTATGGTGGTGAGGCTAACAAGTACATGTAGTCCGAGCTTGATTGTTGGCAACTTCCTCCCTCACGACCCATGACAGTGTTTTGTATACACCCTGCCACAATATTTATTCCCCAAATCAGTACTCCTGTGATCGGCAATGCGACACTTGTTTGCCATCAGCCATTGCTACGTAGCTTTGGTCGGAAAAGAATGAAGCGCGGAAAACAGTACCTGGGTTTGCGACAATCCACAAGAACTACCTCGCGTTACTGGTATGGCCATGCTCGATACGGGACTTCGTGCTCATCGTGAGTGGGCAGGATATGCATTTAGTTCGCGCAAACTAGTAATAAATGGCGGAAGGAGTAGGGCAACGTAAAGGCAAGAAGAAGGTCGCGCCTTCCGCGGAAAGACAGGAAAGGGGCTGGCGCTTCTTCGGTGATGCCTAATTTCGATGGGTACACCTGGGCAAAACTTGATCAATTTCACTGCAGCGTTCCTCACTTGACACTGCAAACCTTACCTAATCATTGCATTGCAACTTGGAACTACATGGTCTTCTGAGCAACCCAAAGAAAAAAAAAGAGAATATCAGAAGTTACCCCCTGACGGCAATTCAAACCAGGAGCCATATCTCAGCGGTGTGTTCCGTTAAAGGACTTCACCTGTGCTTGACCTCGTGTTCCTCCAGCGTTCTTTCCTTCTCTGCTTTAGTATTGTATCCTGCTTTTGAACGGCGTGCTTTCCCGCTCCGCTACGCAAGGTTTTCCAGACCGCCTCATCCGCCGGCTTGTCCGGTGAAGACGACTTGAAGATAACCAGTCGCAGACAAGGCAATGTTGGTAACACGTCGTGTTGAAGCTTCTCGCTCCCAAATTACAATATGCCCATCCCAACACGAAACAAGGATGTGTCGCAATCAGCCAACAAGACAGACAAGCACATAGAAGCAGCGTTGGGTGCGCTTCCATCTTGGTTTTTCTTCCTCGATTCCTACCGTTCGCCAAGCTGACATTAGCTCCTCTTCTCTCAGATTTCGTTCGCCATCTATACAAGATCTTGTCGAGTGACCCAAGCGATGCACCGGCAACAGACCAGCTGGTTGAGGAAATCAACCAACATGTCAAGAAACTTCACAATCACACTCACAAGCACGGTGCCGGAGTCTCTGGCCACCCCGAGATAGACCAGCAGGGTACCCGCCTATGGAATATTTGCACTCGACTGCGCCGGGACTGCGAACCGACAAACAAGAGACTGAAGAGGCTTCATCTCCACGGGCGCGTCCTTGCCTTCCATTTACTTGTGGTTGCAAACCCAATCAAAACGAGCAAGGCACAAGATCTGATCTATGTGGTCAAACTGGCGCTCAAGGCGGCGCGAGACTGTGTCGGTATGGACAAGCCCTCATTCACTGAATATGTGCCGTATTCCATGTGGCTGATAGAGAGCGTTAACGTCTAGAAAGCTCCGAGTTTGAACTGGCCACAAGGGTACTACAAAAGGCCGCCGACTACAAAAGCCAGCTTCAAGATCTTGCATCAGGGCTTCCCAAGGAGGAGGTGGACGAATGCAACTGTCTGGAAGTGGAATACTTGATTATGAGAACGGCTCTAGTGGGTTCTGGCCAGCACTGGCATGATATTTTACACCTACAGTGAGCTAACACCGAGTGTCAGTCATGGGCAGATAATCATGTAGATGTTGCCGAACACATGTACACAAAGGCAGAGCGCCTTCGCCAGTACCTAACCCCCGAGTACGCCGAAAAGCTGGCTGATGTCCTTTACGAAATCGGCAAGTCACTCGCCTCCCGCAACGACTTCCCTCTCGCCAAAAAATGGTTCCAACGAGCAAACGAAATTATCAACACTCCGAATCTCGAGCATCTGTCTCGTGAAGGACTCGAGCTCCGGCTGGCTATCTTGCAAGCACTCGTGAGCGCCCTACTAGCCACAGGCGCTTCAGCAGATCTGGACAAGGCCACGAAGCTTGTTGAATACATCGAGTCCGAGATGGGCAATAGGCCAGTAGTGTCCCTCCTCAAACTCGAGGTGCTTCGGAAGACGCCGGCGGAGATATTTGACGATGACGCATACGCTGATGTCTTGCGACGACTGATTAAAGACTTCAACTCCTCTGACGCTGGGTTCAAGTTGATTATACACCACATAAGGAAACTACACGACAAAAGTCCTGGCGCTGCTTGCGCTGTACTAGACGATTTCACTCTCTCGCTACGCGGAGTTGACGAAAATGTTTGGATGGAGAAGGCGGTTATCACGCGGATGTGGATGATAACAAGCCAGAGAGACACAAACGAGACTATCGACACTGTAAGAGGTGTTCTCTCAAACTTGACGAGGCCGTTGAGCGCAGAAGCTGCTGTTGCGGCGCAAGCGGTATATATATCTCGAATTTCCGTTCCAGGTAATTACTTACTGACTGTGAATTAGTTGATATGGAAGAAACTAGAGTCCAATTACAGCCAAAGACAATATGACATAGCCGAGAACTGGTGTCGTTTGTCACTCCATCACATCTTTCAGAATTGCGGACCTGGGAATGTGGCAAAGCTGGAAAGGTATCCAGTCATGTTCCCTTTATTACCTTGGTTCACAATAGTCTGACTTTGAGTAGGAAGTTGCTCCTTTGTGCGCTCGCAAGGAATGAGATGGGAGCAGCTATATCAGTGGTTCACAATCTGTCCAAGCAGAGTTGGGGAGAGCCTATGACTGCATATCTGGCATTCAAAGTAGCTATTCGATGCGAGGACCGCAACCTAGCGGAACAATGCATTCATATCATAGGCCAGGCGCCAGAGCACGTCGACTTTCTGGGGGCTTGTATTGCAGAGTCTCACAAAAAGGGAGACATATTCTGTGCCATCGCCGCGCTGAAGAAACTTCAGGAGAATTACGAGTACAAAGATCCCAGCCCTATCCACCTACCAGCGCTTTTCAGATGCTTGATACGGCTCCTAAATATATTAGCTGAGAAGCCAGATGAACGACAAGGAGATTTTATCAGCGATCTTTGCCGTCAGTTTGACATTGGTAAGCCCCGGTTTATCCAAATTACCTTTGCCTTGTTGCTAACAGCATCAGTCGTGTATACCCTTGAGCGGCAGTCAAACGACCCCCAGACTCCAAAACTCTTCACCATCGACGAACTCGAATGGTTTAGCAGAAATGCCTATAACCTCGCCCTAAAACATACCACAAGCTGGGACCTCCGCTGCGTGGTGCGTCTACTAACGGCTTGCGTCAACATTATCAACCACTTCCCCTCCGACATGAGATCTCAAGTCGAAGTTACCCTCAAAGCCCTCTTCTCTCGCTTCATCATAGCCTCGGCCCTTGTTTCCTTTGCCAGAACTCAGGACAATGTCAAGGAGCAACTCGAAGATTACCAACTGATGCGAAAACATGTCTCGGCTTTTGACCGCCTGGTTCCTGAATACCTGTCACGCTTGGATGAGCAGTCGCGAGAGGATATGGTACGGAAACATGCGACATTGCTGACCTTCGACTTTGAAGCGGCGGTTGCGCTCGGTCAGTGGGATGATTTAGGAGGGATCGTGCAGAGGGCAGTGCCATGTCGAAGTGCTGTGGCATTTCAGACTATGGCGGACAGTCTTTTGAGGGCACAGGTTCCCGGGCAAGGTACGATGTGATCTTTATCATGCTTATCTTGTGTTCGGTTTGGGGGCTACTGACACACTGGCTTGTACAGTGCTCTACTCAACTATGCGAAAGCTTGTCAACGAAATCTGGGATTTGGAAAGCTTCGACGCTGTCAAGCTAGCCAAGTACACAAGGTGTTTGTTCCAGGCGACACTTCCGCTGGATGATACGCTGGCTATGAAGCTGCTTCAGGAAGCTTGTCGCAAGGCGAGGGAGTTGCATGAGGTTAGTTACATCTTGACTCTTTTTGACCACTCTGACGTTAAATCACATCTCGTTGCTAACCATGAACAACATCACTAGAGCGATGCCCGTTGGCCGGAAGAAGAGCTAGAGTGGATGGCAGCCACAGCTTTCAACCATGCCATTGACTTGTATGGTGCTTACGAGCGAGATCGAGCAAAAAAGTGGGGATCTACTGCCATCAATCTGGCACATTATTGTCCTGATAAAAGCTTTGAGAGGATGTTGCAGGACAGGTTCATGAGATTAAGTTTTGAGGACGACGAGAGGAACAGGGGAAGATGATCGCGGACCTAGTTGAAGAGGGAATAGTTGACAACTATCGGCATTGTCATTGTTGGTGTACAACATTCGAGAACATCAAGACTGTCACACCATGTACTTGAAATTTTGTTTGTATGGTATGCTTGACATCAATCATTGACTCGCATAAGAATCTGCAACAAGCTACCTTGCAATGTCACAAAACCCGGTCCTGTTTCCCCATTCTTCGTGAAGTACATATAAATGCTCCCGTCAGTAAGACCTAGATTTCACAGAACCAACCCCAGTAAATAATCCGCAGTAAGCAAACAGAACAATAGCTCAGATAGCAATAAAGAAGCTCTTCTCTCCCTCCTTCGGCAACACCCTCGCCCTCTCAACAATAGGATCAACACATGCCAACCTGATCCTCTCCGGCGTCGCCGGGCTCTCCAGCCTCAACAACCCATCATCCTCTCCACCCTCGGCCCCAACCTTAGCCTTGACACCATACTGCGCTCTCGCCGCCTTGAGCGCATCACGAATGGCAAAGAAAACCGCACTGCCCATGAACAGCGGCGGCTCGCCAACACCTCTACTCCTTTGAATCGTCCTCAGCTCCTTCCACTCCACGTCCTTGAGCAAGCTAACATTCCACTGCTGCGGGATATCGCGGAAGCCAGGGATCTTGTACGTGCCCGGGCCGCGGGTGACCAAGTTACCCGCCATCGGTCCGTTGCGCATCCACAGCGATTCTTCCATGGTAAACAATCCCAGACCTTGCACAAACGCGCCCTGGATCTGCCCATAGTCAATGGCAGGGTTGATACTCTGCCCGACATCCATCTTGATGTCGGCACGCAAGCACGTCCAGGTGCCCGTGAGTGTGTCAATTTCGACTTCGGCGGCCGTGACGCCCTGCGTGAAGTAGAAGAACATCTTGCCCTTGTTCTCACCCCAGGTGTAGCCGATCTCGGGCGTCTTGTAGAAGCCCTGGGCAGACAGATTGACGCGGTCAAAGTAGGCGGCGTGGGCAAGGTCCTTCATGGTGGCGTCGGGGCCGAGCTTCTCGCGGTAAGGGGCGAGACGCTCGTTAAGTTGTTGGCAGGCGTTGTAGATGGCGTAACCGTTGAGATCGGAGGAGGCGGAAGCGGCAGTGGCTGAGGCGTTGGCGACGGTGTTGGTGGCGGTTTCCGAGATGAAGACGTTCTCGAGGGGGACGTTGAGAGCTTGAGCGGCGATCTGCGTCATCTTGGTGTGTAGGCCTTGACCCATCTCGGTACCGCCGTGGGCGACGAGCACGGAGCCGTCGTGGTAAATGTGAACGAGGGCACCGGCTTGGTTGAACCACAGGGCAGTGAAGGAGATACCGAACTTGGTGGGAATGATGGCGAGACCGCGCTTGCGCCACTTGTGCTCGACGTTGTACTTGGCGATGGCCTCTCGACGGGACTCGTACTCGGCCTCCTTCATGACTTGTTCCCACATAAGAGGAACGTGCCAATCTTGAATCTCTTGATTGAAGTGGGTACGCTCGCCAGGCTTGTAGAAATTGATCTCACGGAATCTCTCAACAGGCATGCCGAGACGGTCGGCAACTTCATTCATATACGACTCGGCAATGAACATGCCCTGAGGGCCGCCAAAACCACGGAAGGCGGTGTTGGACATGGTGTTGGTCTTGCAAATGCGGCCGGTGACATGCATGTTGGGAATGTGATAGCAGTTATCCGAGTGTGTCATGGCACGCTCGCAGACGGCGGCACTCAGGTCCCAACACCAACCACCGTTGTTGAAGATATCGACCTCAAGGGCTTGGATCTTGCCATCTTTGTTGACACCCATCTTCCACCGGCCCAAGAAGGGGTGACGCTGTCCGGAGATGACCATGTCTTCTTCACGAGTCAGCATGCAGCGGACTGGGCGGCCAGTCTTCTGCGCGGCAAGGGCAATGATACTGCTCAGTTGCACCGATCTCGTCTCCTTTCCACCAAAGCCACCTCCCAACCGCTTGACCTTGACCACAATCTTGTTTGCCGCAACATCCAAGACACGGGCAGCATATGCTTGAGCTTCGTTGGGATTCTGGGTACTGGAGATGATCTCCATTTCGCCGTCTTCGTGCTTGGGGATCGCCAACGTGGCGTTGGTCTCCAAGTAAAAGTGCTCCTGACCGCCCATCCTGGCAACACCAGAGAAGACGTAGTCGGAGTTCTTGAAGCCTTCTTGCGTATCACCCTTCTTGATCTCCCTGAAGAAGTCAAAAAAGCTCTCCTTCTCGATGGCCTCCTCCATGGTGTAAATGGCAGGCAACTCCTCATATTCCACCTTGACAGCTCTGGCACCCTCGGCAGCACGGGCAGCCGATGTAGCAACAATAAGACCAATAGGCTGACCAGCCGTGTAAACCGTGTCTTCGGCGAAGAAGACTTCTTGGTAGTGGGGGGCACCCCAGTGATTGGCTGCGGCATTGGGCATGTCATTCTTGTCGATGTAGTCAACAACTCCTGGAATATCCAACGCAGCTGAAGCGTCGACGGACAAGAGTTTGGCATGCGCCTTGGTAGAGAGGACCAGGCAACCGTACAGTTCATTCTTGAGTGGTGGAATGTCGTCAGTATATTGAGCCTCTCCCGTTACCTGCTTCAGCGCCGCAAGATGAGGATTTGACTTTCCAACAGTCTCCTGCATGTAAGCAGCAGCCGCCTCTCTATCTTCCTGACCAGTAGAGATTTCCCTCTCCAGCTCGGGTACAACCTCTTCATCGGCGGTACTACCTAGAATGAGCATAAACTCGTGGTAGAATCGGTAAAAGAGACCAATGGCCAGCGACTTTCTGTAAGTGGCCATGCCTCCCGGTACGCTGAATGAAAGGTTGAAGTCCTGCTCCAACGCATTCATGACACCTTCTAGTGTCTGTTGTTCGGCGAACTTCTTGCCCAGAAGATACGAATTTGCCGTCTTGGCACCGACGGTTGTAGGCGCCATACCGCCGTAGACAAGGCTGCATTGGTCGACAATGCCGTCCTCGTTCAGGCGAACTCTGAAGGCAGAAGTAACGATAGCAATATCGTCATCCTTCCTCTTGGCCTGCTTATAAGCCCTGAAGAGCTCATTTTTCTCCCGAGTTAGCGGGACACGGATAGCAGCCAGAATAGCGTCCTGTGGAAGTGCCGTACGGCGATAACCAGTAAAGAACTGGGACATGGGGATCTCGGTTTCGACAATTCCGCTTTCACCGAGAGACTTGGCCACCAGAACAGCATCAGCAGCCAGCAGTACTGGGTTCAAGTCAGAAATGGGCGAGGCAGTCACCAAGTTCCCTGCTGGTGTACCGACATTTCTGATCTGCCTGCCAGCAAAGTACTTGAGCTGCTTGTACATGGCATTGAAGATCTGCCCCCTCTTCTCTCCGTAGTGCTTGATGGCTTCCTGGCAGACATTCTCCAGATCGGTAAGAGTGATGTTGCCGCCCACCTCGAGATGATTTTCCTTGAAGGAGTACTGTCGTAGTTCGGGAATATCGCCAACAAAGACAGAAATGGGATATTGAAGAGCCTTGAACTTGATCTCGATTTGTGTTTCCGTGCTGCCACCAATAATCTTGGCATTGGGGTACATTTTCTTGATCTCCAGCAGCTGCTCCAGCTTGGTGGGACGGAACCATCGTTTCCGCTTGTTTCCAAACGAAAGTGGCCTAAACTCTTGCTTCTTGAGTGCTGGAGGGAAGATGAGCTCCGTCTCTGGGTTGTACTCGATGAATCCTGGAGGCGTGAAGCGCTTGATGGGCTGGTCGTCTCCGTTCTGATTTGCTCCTCCGCAGCCACCACCACCACCTCCCTCCATACAGCATCCACTGCCGCCATTCGCCTTGCTGTTACCGCAAGCCGAAGGCGCCTTCTTGGTGAAAGTGTGAGCAGCGTCTAGGATAGGGCGGTATCCGGTACACCTGCAGAGGTTTCCATCAAAAGCCTCTTCGATGTCGTGTTCTGAGGGGTTGTCATTGTTACGCAGAAGAGCGTACAAGCTCATGACGATACCGGGCGTACAGAAACCGCACTGGGAGCCATTACCCTTTGCCACCCGTTCCTGGGCGGGATGTGGCTTCTTGACGTTGCCGATACCCTCGACAGTGATGACATGCTTGCCGTCGACAGATACTAATGGTGCCAGACAGGCGTTTACACTGGCATGGTAAATTTTGTTTGTTGTTGGGTTGAACTGGGAGACGACAACAGTGCATGCTCCACACCCACCCTCTCCACAGCCGCTGTCAGGGGGGAATGTCAGTTGGCTACCTAACGGCCTTTAGTTATCCACATAAACCTGAGTGACAAACATACAGTTTTGTGCCCGTCAAACCGATACCGCGAAGGTATTCCAACAAAGTGATTTCCGGGTCGATGTCATCCAAGACCACCCGAGTGCCGTTGAGGTAGAATCGAAGAGTGTCGTCGAATGTCGTCGTTAGGGATCCGGGCAGTGATCCCAAGTCTAGAGGGGTGGCGCCCGACTCCACGGGGACAGCGCTTGGAGCCATGATCTGGATGAAAGAAGCTGGGGACACACAACAACAAGGACGGAGAGCAAGACAAGTGGTCCCTTTTGGTGTTGATCCGGAAAATTTAAATAAATAAAAAAAAAGAAAATTAAAAGCAGAATGCAGAATGCAAATCTTCACAAGTGGAAGGGTCCGGAAGAAGAAAAGTAAGCCCAACGAGGTTGGATCGGGGGAAAACAGTTGGCCAGATGTTGCTGGTTAGTGAAACACTTCGTCTATCAGTGCGTTCCATTGATTATAGATAACCAAGTGTCAAACATGATGGGAGTGCCGAGGGAAACCACAGGTGGCAACCCACTCGAGGACCGAATAGTGTAGTGCCCGTTGTTATCCTTTGAGGGGGGAGCCTTGAGGTCGGTGTGCCCCGATTATGTACAAGCCTCACAAAAAGCGGCAGAGAGCGGCTCCACGGTGGACGTGGGAGAGATACTGTAGGTATCACCTAGGACGGAGCAAATCAGAACTCCAGGAAAGGATCCAAGCTTATCAAAGGGAAGGCGACATGAGGGAGACAAGGCCGTCAATAAAGTGGAAGTGGGGTAATAAAACGGCGTCGGACGAACATCTAGGAATGCACAGATTGTGGAGCACGGGTAGTCTTCGTCTTCGGCCGGTTCCGCCACCGTCCGTCCCCTCTGTTTTCACTCCAAGTTCGCTGTGTGCCGTGGACTCGTGGGTTCACCCTTCAGTTCTTCCTCTCCGCAGCTTGTTGGGCTTTCGGAGCACTCCACTTGCCTTTGACCCTAACCCTTTGGCTTCCTTACGTAGGTAGCACTCTTGGCTAGGTTCCCCTCATTGCAGTGCCCCTGTCGCCGTCCCTCTCCAAATTTCACGTTCACAACTTCAACAGGTCGACAACATGTTCTCGTCAGCTGCCGTTGCACATGATGAATATTCTATGCCATCCTGGCGCTTGTACACTACGACCTGAGATGATCAACGGGTACTGGCCCCCCCCTTACACACCTCAAACATACCCTTCCCTTGGCATCACTTGCGAATAGGGTCATGACTACCATCAGCCGTCGCTTTGACGCATGGAAACCAAACAATGGGAACCTCCCACCCCTCCTTCTCCGCATCGCAGCCCTGCAGTGACAAGGAACACTTCCTATAAAGACTGGTCTCTCATTCACAACCTCGATCGAGCTACATAATGTCTTCGTGGTTAAGTTCACCGGGTATATCTTGACCCGGCTGAACAAAAAGGCCATGCAGTAAAGCCGGGGTCGTATACCCGCTCAATATCATGGCAGTGTGTTACTATGGAAACGTGGTTGATCGTCGTCGAGAGGGAAACACTAGGCAAAGTTGATCTACACCTCACGAATATGTAGAGGTAGTGGTAATAGCCCCCATATGATCTGTTAAATACACACTTGATCCCCTCTCGAAATCATCTCCGTTGATATTCTCACCACAAGCTTCACCACAAAGCGGCGTTCAGAACCAGATCTTCAAACAAAATGGAAGAACTCGAATTCCACAACATAATCAACGACACCCTCCGCTCCTCCCCCACCACCCACACCGTCACCGACCCACGAACCGAATCTTCCCTCTGGCCTTGTCCTATTGCCTCTCCCGCCGACTTCGAAGACGCCGTCGCCTCTGCCCAAACCGCCTTCAAAACCTGGAAGCTCACCCCCCTCTCCGAGCGCCAAGCACTCCTCACAAAGCTCGCCACCAACCTCGAAGACCACCTCCCGCTTCTCTCCCAGATCCTCGCTCGCGAATCCGGCAAGTCCCTGCTCCTCTCGGAGCTCGACGTCCGCACTTCCATCGCCCAATGCCTTCACTACGCCCAACCCGCCAACGCTTTATCCGACCACATCCAATATGAGGATGAAACCGTCAAGATCATTGCCACGCACGTTCCCCTCGGCGTCGTAGCCGCCATCTGCCCCTGGAATTTTCCCCTGATCCTGTCCAGCATAAAAGTCGTTTCGTCGCTGGTCACGGGGAACTGCGTCATCGTCAAACCCTCGCCCTTCACGCCCTACGCCGTCATGAAATGGATCGAGCTCGCTCGCGGTATCTTGCCACCTGGTGTCCTGCAAGTCCTCAACGGCGGCGCGGATCTAGGTCAGATGATGACGTTGCATCCGGGCATCGCAAAAGTGAGTTTCACGGGCACTATTGCCGTAGGTAAGGCAGTCATGGCAGCCTGCGCCAAGACGCTCAAGAAGGTCACGCTGGAGTTGGCAGGGAACAATGCCTGTATTGTTTGTGCGGATGCCGACTTGCCAAAAGCCGTGAAGAATGTGGCTAGTGGTGCGTTTTTTAATGCTGGGCAGGTGTGTGTGGCTACCAAGAGGGTATATGTGCATGAGAGTGTGTATGAGGAGTTTGTGAGGCGGTTGGTGGAGGAGGTCAAGGGGAATTATACGGTGGTGGAGGATGCGAGTGTTCCTAGTGTGTTTGGGCCAGTGAGTAATATGGTCCAATTTGAGACGGTCAAGAGGATCGTCAAGGATTGTAAAGGGAAGGGGTATGAGATCGTGGCGGGAGGCGAGGTGAGGGAGAGTGGGAATGCGGAGGGGAAGAAGGGGTTTTGGTTGGAGCCGACAATTGTTAAGGGACCGCCAGACGAATCGGTGTTGGTTAAGGAAGAACAGTTTGGTGAGTCTCATCTTTGTTCTTGTCGGGTTTGATGTGCAGTGGTTTACTGACTAGTTATGCGCGCTTGCAGGACCCGTCCTCCCTGTGATGAGCTGGTCCGACGAAGACGATGTTATCAACCGCTCCAACTTGGCCAATGCTGGGCTTGGTGCTTCCGTTTACTCCTCCGACCTGGCTCAAGCGGAACGGATTGCTCGTCGTCTGGAAGCCGGGGGTGTCTGGATCAACAAATCTGAAAGGCCACACATGGGCGCCTACTTCTCCGGCTTCAAGGACAGTGGTTTTGGCGGTGAAATGGGCAAGCAAGGTCTTCTGTCTTACTCGTATACCCAGAGCATTCATTTTGCCAAGTAACACTAGAAAATAAAGGTCAAATGAGGACTGATCATCACTCATGATACAGAGGATGGGGTTTTAAGAGTTTGGCTGTGCTCTAAATGCTATTAGATCGTTTCAATCAAGCCCTACCTAATAGACCCTTAAAATGTGTTTTGAGGGGCAAAAGGAAGAGAATACGCACTCTGACTGTCTGAAATGCCTTCATATGGAAGGTCACCGTGTAGTAGCAAAGGTATTGTCTTTCCAAAATCCTCTGTTCAAATCATCGCAAGATCTATGACCACCATCTCTATTCCCCCTTTTACTGCTTAATAAACTTCTTCAACCCCCTCAGCCTCTCCTTAGCATCCTCCAACACCTCATCAGGCTTGCACACCGCGAACCGCAACCAGTCCTCCACAATATGCGCATTCACATCCGTATAAAACTCACTGGGTGGGATCGCCGCCACGCCCAGCTCCTGAATCAAGAACCACGCCAGCTTGAAATCCCTCGGGCGCTCCGCCACATGTGGCGGGAAGGGGTACCCCTCAGGAATCTCCACCTTGTTCAAGTTGGCCATGACAAAGTACCCGCCCTCGGGGATTGAGTACGGCAGGCCGAGCTCGTCCCAGATGGCGTTGAACCGGCTCATCTTGTTCTGCATATCCTCGATGCATTGCGTCCAGAACCCCTGTTGGTCGGCCTCCTCGAAGCCGATGGCGCAGGCTTCTTGGAGGGGCGAGACGGACGAGTAGCAGATGCGCGTGTGCGCGGCGGCCACGTACTGGATCAGCTCGGCAGGGCCCATGAGCCAGCCGACGCGCCAGCCGGTGGCGTAAAAGTTCTTGCCGGCGGAGCCGACGGTGAGGGTGATCTTCTCGACCTCGGGGGACAAGGTAGCCATGCGGGTAAAGGGGGTGTAAAAGAGGCGGTCGTAGACTTCATCCGAGAGAATGATGATCTGGTTCTTGACGCACAAGTCGGCGATGCGCTCGAGCTCGGCGCGCGAGAAGACCTTGCCAACGGGGTTGTGCGGGGTGTTGATGACGAGCATCTTGGTGCGCGGAGTGACGGCGCGCTCGAGCTCGTCAAAGTCAATGGTCCACTCGGACGCCGACAGCGTCTTGATGTGGCCCTCCTTGGGCGGGTGCATGGGCACATACACGATCTTGCCGCCGGGCATCTCGATGTTGCTGATATACTGGTCGAAGAAAGGCTCAAACACAATAACCTCGTCACCCGGCTCGATGAAGGCCATGAAGGCGCTGAGCATACCCTCGTTGGCGCCCGTAGTGATGGTGATCTCGGTCTCTGGATCCAGCTCACGCCCCCAGTGAGGCGCATAGGCCTTGGAGAGGGCCTTCCTTAGCCTAGGACGGCCGCGGGTTGGGGAGTACTGGTTGCATTCGACTCGGTCCAGAGCCTTCTTGGCCGCGTTCAGGATGAACTCGGGAGGGTTGTAGCCAAAGAAACCCTGGCCCATGTTGACGATGGGCTGTCTGGGCGAGGCGGCGGCGGCCTCGTTGACGATGGTCCTGAACTCCACATGTTAACCAAGCCATTCTCTTCCCAGTGTAAGTGAGGCTTCTTTCTCATGATCACTCACCAAACATCCTGGCGGTTGCCGGCCACGCGGGCGGCGGGCTTGAGTTTTGCGCTCATTAGGCGGTAGGAGTAGTGAAGATGATGACGCTGTGGTTGAAGAAGTGGTTGAGGTGATTTCACGACAAAGCCAGTGGAAATCAACGACGAAGGCCGACGGAGGATTGGGAGCAGCAATCCGCTCATGAAGACAAAAACGACAGAGTCACAGGGACAAGGCAAGTTGGTTAACAGAAGAGGTAATACTGTAATTGTATTGAGATGCGTAAACCTTTTTATCTTTCACGGGTTATTGCACCATTACGCTTTTGATACACCATAGCAGTCAGTATGACTCCGTAATCGGGCCTCGCACCACGGAATCCCTTCTCCGCTCAAATGTCGCAATCCGGGGAAGTGGGGCTTATGCCGGCTCCTGCCGGGCGGTACTATATGTACCTCTAGTGCACAAGTACATAAGCGTGTGTGTGTATGGTTACTGTGATAGTTGCATATATCATTATGCATATACCCAGCATATCAACAACATCCCTCATGGTCACCGGCTCTTGTATCTTGCATTGTCAGCTTGAATTGGGGGATCATCTCTCAAGGTAAACAAAGGAAGAGATTCGGAGCAGAAGATATTTGGACTGTACCAGATAACAGACTAGTTGCGAGAGTAGGCCACTTCTTCAACACGACATGATGGAACAGGTTGGTTAAGGATGATATTTAATACCGAGACGTCGAGATACATACATACCTCTATGTGAACTCGGCGATTCCAGTCTTGACCTTGTTCAAGTGTTTGGCAGACCTTGAGCAAGTCACACAACTTCTGTGGGATTCGATGATGACCATCGACGCTCGACGACCAATATGCTCTTCTTTTTCACCGTTGGTCTGTCCATCTTATCATCAGGCCTGATCTCATCCAGCGAAAACGACATGGTAAACTGGAACCAAAACCATCGTCAGGTTGCTTCGATCATGTTCCTGCGTGAATGTGTCGTCCGCCTGTCGCTAATGTCTCCTAGGGCAACCAGATAACTTTTGCCTTTCATCCCATCTACCCTGCCCAAGGACCTTTAAAACCATTCCACCTTTTGCCGGCCCGATCTCTGCACCAGCCACAGCTTGTTCAGCTTGCTGTGTCTTTTTTGCTTGGATCAGAGTTGGCTGTGGTTAGGCGCTTGCGAAATTGTAGCTAGATTGTTTCGCGAAGGCCTTGTTCTCATTTTTTTTGTCCATTCTTTGCATTCGCGACCTTGATCACCCCAGCAAACAACCAGACATCCGATCACGATAGTTTGCGCCCCTCTTTCTTCTTCAATCATCCGTCTTGTTCCAGCACTTTTTCCCTTTTCCATTGATACAGCTTCTAGTCCTTCTTGCTCTTCTCCACCGTCGCCGCCAACATGGTGCGATCGCCAACTCCTAGCATACCGTTGCGTATGGTCGGTGGTCATCCCCTTCCCGCCAACGGAATGCGACCACCTCCGTCACCGAGCTATGAATCGGCTCCGTATAGCTTCAAGTTACGGGTCCCTCCCCGCCTTTGTCCTGCCAGACAGCTTGACTCGTCTCCAGCAACCAACACAGGCGGTGATCAATCAGCGCGCTATCAATCTCGCAGTCCTTTCCCTCATCCTTCAACCTCAGAAGTCCATCATACGTCCTCGAGGGCGGGTCGAGCCCCTTCCAGACCCCATAGAGACTATCATCCGAATCACCAATTCGAAACAAACATCCCTGGCTTGGATTGGCGCGAGATTCAGAACATCAAGACTCGTACCAAGGCACCTTCATCGGGTCACCAGAACCACCACCACCACAGTTATAGGTACATACACTCGGGATCCCGATCCCGTAGGCCTTGCGACAACATCGACCACCAGATTAAGGATCCGGTGCCTATGTATGGCGTAGCGCTTGTTGACGATAGAGGCGGTGTTGAATTCTTAGCCACCGACAGGATGGACGACTGGTTGGCGGGTGTCGAGAATGATGACTTCATAATCTATGAAGACCCTGTGGAACACGGACCAGAAAGAGACGACATCGAAATGAGCAGTGCCGAACCCCAAACTGATGAATCTGGACTGGCGTCCACCGTCGTTCGTTATGCGATGATGGAGATAGAAGACGGCGGCGACTCAGACAAGGAGAACCAAAACGACGCCCCGAAGTATCGCCGCATTCGCAAACCCACCCCTATAAAGCCTACTATCCTGAGGGAGATCAAACTGAACCAGGTCAAGACTGAAATTGTCAAGGAGGACGATGCGAAGACCATTTGGCCGAAGGTGGACGACTCTATGCTTAGCGTTCTCAAGCGGAGGAGCATCAAGCGTCAAGCTGTGCGTCCATCCTTAGCCCAGCACCATAACGTAGATGAAGTGGCTGCTAACGGTTTGTCCAGGACTCCCAAGCCGACACGCTGGAGCGACCTGCTTCCAAGCGCAGCAAGCTTACCAACACTCTCAAGCGTGGCTTGTCCAAGATGAGCCTGAGGAGTATCAGAAGCAGCCGTGCTTCCAAGCAAGCAGGTACTTCATCTGTCGGCACCCGGGAGGTGTTTAGCCGACTGAGCTCCTGGTCATGGGTGCCTGGCTCCGAGAAGTTGCGCTCCGTCTCAGGTTCTTCTTCTGGACAGGAGAGAAAGATCAAGATTTGCCTGGTTGGTGATGCTCACGCAGGCAAGACGGCGTTGGCCAAGTGAGTACTCTCGTCATGATAATGGAAATGGGGAAAGATGCTAATGCAAAGCGAATAGTCGTCTTGTTACAGGAGAATTTGTCGAGGCAAGTAGGCACTCGCCATTGACCCTACCACAAAAGACATGCTAACACCCAATCTAGGAAAAGATATCAGATGTCACTCCTCAGCACTCGCCGATTACCGACCACCAAATCCCAACCGCTCCCTCGTCCCGTGCTACGGATTATCACAGTTTCTCCATCATCGCTGATGACGGAAAGCTCGTCACTATCGAGCTCTGGGACTTCCCAGGTAACATTGCTAATGAGCGGACCACCCAGCTAGCTTCCAACTTTTTCCAAGCTGCCATCATCTGCTACAGCATCGAGGACGTCAAGAATCTTCCGTCCATCTGCGATACAGTACGTCTCCACCATGGTTTTCAGGATGAAACCGCTTAGGTGACTAACCCAATGTCTTATCCAGTGGAAACCCAAACTCGACCGCTCCCTCATCGATTGCCCTCGCTTTCTCCTCGGCCTCAAGAAAGATCTCCGCCCTGCCTTCCCGCCTCTCGGCCTCAGCTTTCTGCCTCGAAAGGAGCCTGTCATGGCCGACATGGGTCGCAGCGCAGCCTACCACTCCCGTGTTGCCGGCTATGGCGAGTGCTCGGCAAAGACGGGTGAGAACGTCGACGACGCATTCCGCGGCATTGTCAACTTTACCCTGAGCCACATGAGAAAGAAGGAGATAGGCATTGCCCATGGAAAGCGTCGAGACAAGGCTAAGGAGACGGTCAAGGATGCGGGCAAGGTCATGGTTGATGCGCTGTGTGGATTCCCGAATGGCCCGACTCCGGGCCGTGCGTGGAGCCGTCACTTGTAGGCACTCGCCGATGCTGAGCTGCTGGATACGATTTCTTTCGTCCGGATATCAAGATGGAGTTGCTAATTGTCAGATGGACATCATCTTTGCTGTGGAAAATGAATTGCCTAAATAATGTAGGATATTTACCTATTGGCCGGTTGAGAGGAAAAAGGGTCTGGGTCGAGGTTTAGGAGGCAAGTATGCCAAACAAGGGAACAACCAGCGACACGTAATTTTGCGGTTCTTCCAAAAAGTCCAACTGGAGGGCTTGTATGAGTACGTTATAAAAGGGTGTTGATGTGGAAAGGAACATGATGTTGTACCGGTACCTTAGTGGTGGTTGCAGTGTTGAAGAATCAGGCGCGTCGTTAGGTAGGTTCTCTAGTTCATGCAATCAGGTATCCCCGCTAGATGCATAAACGTCATGGAGATCTCCAAGTCAGAGTGGGGAAGGTTGGGGGAGCTTGGCCTGTTCTGGGCAGGTACCTACTTCCACTTCCCTTGTACAACAGCACACTCACTTCCTTTCTCAAAGCTCACAAACCAAAAAGTCAGTGAACCTTGATGGCCTCATAGATCTACATAGGCCACTATATCACATAACTTGTAATAGTTAATACGCATGTCTTAGCTGCTCTGCCTTTGACTCTCATCGGCATTACTTTGTCCTTGATCCTTTCTATTTAGACCACCGTGCCAAATCAGAGCCTAGGTGCTGTGTCTATTCTCAATTGTCACTTCATCTCTTGCTTGCGTTCCAAATCATCGACCATTTCTGACAGCCGCTTTCATCTTGCTCAGCCCGAAACCGGAAATCCAGTATATACGGTCGGTTTTCTTACGCAAAAAGCCTCCATATCGGTGGTCTCACGGAGCTACTCGAAATTCGACCATGAGTGACGACTGGGAAAATAGCTCGCCCTCCAATCGAGCTTCCAGACCACCAGTTCCCCGGATGATTACAGCCTCATCATCAAACAAACCATTTTCACCATCCCTCCACCTCACAGTCAGATTCAGCGCCTCCCTTCCTGACCTCCACCTCGACATACCCTCCCCCAACCGCACCACCATCGTCGCTCTCAAGCATCGCATCCGCGAGCGCCTCCATTCTTCCAGCAAAGACAGTAAAGATGAAACAACCGCCAAAGCGGCCCGGAGCCGCCTCCGCTTCATCCACGCCGGCAAGATTCTTCCCGACACCGCCGTCGTGAGCTCCGTTCTCCGACCGCCACCGCCGCCGCCCATGGTCATGGACGCCAAGGGCAAGGGGAAAGCCGTTGATCGTCAGCATCAGCAGCAACGTGTGTACGTGAACTGCAGTATAGGCGACGAGCTCACAGACGAAGAATTAGCCACCGAGGCAGCAGCCGCGGCGTTTGTACCTGCCCCCGTTGGATCCGTCGATTCCAACCTCTCGGATATTGGTTCCGGTGCCGGCAGCGGGAAAACCAGCCGCACCACCGGCCTTCAACCCTCCTCCTCCTCCTTGTCAACAGGAGAATCCAGATCCCGGATCAACGCCTCCGCCGGCCAAGCAACGACAACAACAACAACAGACCGCAACCGCCCCCGTGGCTTCGACCGCTTTCTCTCCGCTGGCTTTACACCCGCAGAAGTGAACCAGCTCCGTCTACAATTCACCTCCATCCAAGCCTCGCGCTTTACTCCCGACACCATGCCGTCCCCTGATACTTTGCGATCCATGGAGGACGCCTGGATAGACAACAACCACGGTGGCGTCGGCGGACCGGGCATGGTAGAAAGCGATGACGGCAGCGGGTTGGTTCCGGAACCAATAGGTGCCGAAACGGATGGGTTCAATGGCATGGTGGATACGCTCGTCAAGGGCATGTTTATTGGGTTTGTGTTCCCCTTGGGGGCCATTGCTTGGTTGTTGAGGGAGGAGGGGATGCTGTCGAAGCGATGGCGGGTTTCTATTGCGTTTGGGGTGGTGTTTGGGTTTGGGATCGGGCTGTTGAGGGTGTTCTCGTCTGATCAGTAGGGAAGTGGTCAGGATCCGCTGGTGAGGTGGATTGGGGACGTCTTTATGGAGATGGCGCATTGGGTCGGAGCGTGGGACTTCTGCCGGTTCGTGGCTGCATTTGGCATCATGTCCTGGTCTATCTACAGATTTGCTGGGGGGAGGGTTCAGGAGTGGGTAGAGGAAGAATGATTGAGATCTAACTAGCATTACAGAGTAGTAACCTTTGGTGGAGGGGTTGCTCGTTCTGGGAATACAAAGACTCGAGGACGACGGAGGTTGACGAAAGACCAAGAGCGAAATACAGCGGTTTGCTTTGGGAGTATGCCGTTCGAAGAGTGGCCAAGAACAAGTTTATGAGCCATCCTTCAGGGTAGTTAAGTATATATATAAGAGAAGGGCGAGCATTGTATGCCTGAACCACGCGCAAACACCCCAATATTAAACACCGATCCCCGTTCTAGAAGGTATCCTGAAACACACGCGCCTCTTGAATCCATTATGTTGGTGTTTATCTGTATCGAGCCCGTACTTCACACCTCATATACGGCCATGACACCGCTGGTATCTATGCACATGTACAAAACGCCCATTGTTATGCAAAAGACTCCCATGTTCCTTAAAATGCAAAAGAACATCCATTGCCTAACAAGAAACCCAACTCCACAATGCAGGACCAACCAGATAATGCTCAACAATTATTCATTTCAATAATCTCAACCCAAATCCCAGCTTCACTGGTCCTTTTTCGCCGGCGTCGACCTAAAAGTAAGCAACCCACCGCCTAACCAGCCTCTACTCTTCTTCTCAGCCTCCTCCCTCTCCGCCTCGCGTTGCTCCTCCTCCTCCTCCTGACTCAGGCTAAAGCTGCGACCTAGCATTTCGGAGAGCGAGTTCCTGGGATCGTTCTGCGGCGGAGGCACAAAGAACTTGGGCGGCGCAAAAGCAACCCGTGCCGGGGTGGGATCGATTCCCGTATCCTCTCCAGCATCTCTCCTCATAGTCATGGTCATGTGGTCGTTGTTATTGATCCTCCCGAGAATCTGTTTCTGCGGAGTGTTGACAAGCGCAGTACTTCCGAAGGATGGTATCCCTGTGCCTGGCCGAGGTGCCGTGTGGCGGGGGGCGATGATGCGTGGTTGTTTTGTGAGGTAGTTATTTAACCTCTGAGCGGGCGCTGTTGGCGCTGGTGGTACACGATACCAGAAAGGTCCCTTGTTCTCATCGGTAGGAGCCTCGTTAAAGCCTTGGTTTTCTCGCTGGCCGACGGTTTGGAAGGCGCGGTACTGTGACTGAGTAGGCGTCCAGTCCATTTCCTGCGTGTAAGCAGCCGTTGCTGACCTTGTGTTGGCAGCTGGACCAAGAGACGAGAAGGAAGGGCCAGTGCCAGTGCTAGCACCAGTACCAAAGCGGCATGGTGTTGGGGAGAATTGAGACCCTGGAGTGGTCGGAACATTAGACCTTCCTACCCGTGGCACGAAGAATGGTGAATGGTCTATTGATGGTGTTGGAGATGCTGGGCTAGATGGGCCATTGACTATCTCGTCCAGCAAGTCAACCATGACCTTGATTTCGTCTGGTTTTTCGTCCGGTGTCGGGGCCGGAGCCGCAACCGGAGCCGGAGCTGGCGCTGGAGCTGGGGCCGGTGGCAGTGATGATGAGAATGAAGATCGCGCAGCAAGTAATTGGGCCGATGGCTTCACTGCTCTTCCTGATCGTCTCGGACCCGTAGCTGCTGCTGCCGTATTCGCCGTTGTCGGCCTATATGTAGACGGTTGTGTTACAGATCCGCCTTGTGGTGCGGATGGTTTAGAGGTGGTCCCGAATAGGGGCGCCATGTCAATACGGATAGCACGAGGAGCGAGGAGGTGAACCTGAAGCAAATGTTAGTCATGATTGGACTATGAAGGGGCCAGCAAGATGACTTACAAGAATTGCAAAGCCGGCCCAAAAAACATGCGCGGCTGCCGGCATATTCAGCTCTGCTTGCTCCGGGCCAGCTAAGATGGGTAACCTCCTGACCCAAAATCGCATAAAGACTAGAATGGCCTGATACATGTACCAGGCTCGAAACCCAGTTATGTGTTTTGTAAAGCCTCGGTGTAGCTGAGGATACTGTGGATTCCACCAGACGCTTAGGATCGCAGTAGTGAGACTCCAACCACTTAGCCGGTCGGTTGACGGCAGAAGGTTGAAAAACCAAAAGCATGTATTCACAGCTCTCAGAGTCCACGGGTTCGGCGTTTCACCCAACCGCGTCACGATGGCCGCCTTGAACAGCATGAGCATTATGGAGAGGTGCCAAAGGAGTTGAAGCACCAAGCTAGCAGTCCGTAGCCACCTCCCCAAAGAGTCGAAGACGTTCAGCCAACTCCATCCTGTAACTTGCTGTCGCTGCTTGTTGCTTCTCTCGATCATCCAGAGTAAGACATCGGTTTTTGCCGTGTAAGCTGCTTCGCCTAGTTTCTTCTGGACGCGCGGTTCGCATTCGGCGCACATTTGAGGATAGAGGCGCTCTTGCAACCGTCGGAACTTGTAGATGTTCCTACATCGCTCTTCGTATTCAGAATCGTCGGGATCCGGGAGATACTGGGCCAGAACAGCTCGAAGCTTGTCCTGGTTAGCCAAACACTTGTTGCAGAAGACGCTGGCGCTCGAGGAACCGACGGTGGGCGAAGTTGCTCGCGTCGTGGCAAACTTGGCAGGACTTGCTTCGTACTCGGTCGCTACAGGAGGATCAGTGATGTCGCCGTTCTAGCGGAGCAAAGAGAACGTGTCAGTATACAGGTGCAATATGCGCCAACCAGGTCAGCTGGATAGATTCAAGACAGCAGGGAGACCTACGCCATCAAGGTAGTTTGTTGCGTCGCAGTTCCGGCATTCGAAGTTGCGGATGGAGCTGTTCCATGGGGTCGAGGTCTTGCGGCCACAATAGAAGCATGTTAGATATCGAGTCCTGTTCAGTCTGGGCATCTCTACGAGTGGTTGCGCGTTCACGCGATGCCCATTGCAGAATGTGTTGGGTTTTTGGAAAGCGGCGCGCAATGTCTTTTCTTTCTCTGCGACACGGGCAGAAAGCTTCCTTCTTGATATGTCCCCAACCGCTGAAGATAATCGCAGGTATTCGAAACCGAGAACTCAATCTGTCGTGGAATGGTTCCTCTGTTTATAGGTGATTGCTAGGTCGCTCGAAGGTCGTCTAAGTGGGGAAGGGTAGTGGTATTCATTCAAGACGGATGGAATGTGAAGATGGAAGCGACATGGGACTTTGGGGTTACTCTGCTGAAGGGGAGCTCTCTCTCTTGAGGTTCCGTTGACAACAAGCATCCATGTCGTTCCCAACTTCCCGCTTTCTGCCAGGCGGTCGGTCAACTTTTTAGCGGCCTGGGCCGCCAAATGCGCCCAAATCGCAGCCCTGGGGCAGTCACCAGTGGGCCACCGTCGTCATTCCCGTCCAGGGGTGCGTGTGTTCTCCAGGTCTCTCTTTCAGGGGTTTCAATTTGGCCCAAGCTTGTTCCCGTCATTCATTCCATGTCGTGCCCCGGACAAAGTGACATGCACTGGCTCATTCTCGTCATGTACATAGTACATAGCTACAGAAACCACACTAGGTTCCATCGCCTTTTGCTCAGTGTCATCTTTCCACATGCCTCTACGACTTGAAAGCCTTTCATCTTGGTATTAAATATCAACCTTTAAATCTTGCCAGATCTTAAATACCCATCAACCTGGAGTCACATGTGTCAAGTCGGTAAGGGGCTTATATGAGCGAGTCTACATGTTCACCTCCAGACGGCACCAAATAAGCCTCTCCTTCTTACACCAACTGGATGTGCCCCTTTTGTGATTGTTTATTAGCCCCTTTATTTCGGAGGGCGTGACTCAAGGAACCTTCGAACAAAACACGTTGATAAGATTCGACGAGGTGACAACATCAAGTACCCAGACTCCATATTCAAAGAATGTGAAACTAATTATACCAATAGACTTTTTAATTTAAAGAAACCTCGGGCTTTCTAGAATGGCCCCTACTACTTCAGCGTCCGTTCTGACGGGCAAGGAAGAATCGCGCAATGATCAAGAGCTAAAACCCGACACCAGAGCTGAGACCTACTCTCAGTTACATGTTGAGACTGTGAGCGGCATCAACTTGACAGCAGCCGCCTTTGTTGCGGGTGCTGCATCCTCCACCGCAGCTGGGCTTGTCCTCTCTGGTCTATCATGGCCATGGCTCATCTCCCTCGTCATCACCGTCGGGATAGTGCTTGTTACCTTCATTGTCTACCGGCACTTTGAAATGATACGGCGGCGTCAAAAGCCAGGTGGCAGCTGGCTCATCCCCAGCAATACGCCCCAACCCAATGCCGCTGGCACACAGGTTCCCAACACCACCTCTCTTCCTGCTATTTACTTCACATATATACTTGGCTCTGGCGGACACACTGCTGAGATGATTGAGACCATCAAGCAGTCATTTCGCGGCCAGGCAAACATCCACCGGCGGTACATCATCTCCATCGGAGACACTTCCTCTCTCGCCAAGGCCCGCCTTCTGGAAGCGACTATCAAGGACGCCTATCCCGGAGAAGATGCTCGAGCAGGCACCTCTGATATCTTCTTAATCCGCCGTGCGCGCAAGGTCCATCAACCGCTCTATACGGCACCCTTTACCTGCCTCATATCCGCCTTTCATGCCGCCAATGCCCTCACACGGATGCCCAACCCACGGTCGACAGAGGATCATGGAAAGGGGTTCAGATACCCGCATGTGATTGTTACAAATGGGCCTGCCAACGGCTTTATTGTGTGTTTTGTGGCCCACTTGCTCAAGATATTCTACCTCGTACCCGAAAACAGGGCCAAAATGGTGTACATCGAGACCTGGGCCAGGTCCAAGACGATGAGTCTGACGGGGAAGTTGTTTCTAAAGACGGGCATTGCTGATGTTGTCGGTGTGCAGCACGAGAGTCTGGCGAGGATATTCAAGGGTAGTCAGTATATCGGGCCGGTGTCTGCCGGCTTTCTTCAAAGATAGGCGACCAGGCTCCTGAATCACATGTACTTGTACAAAGTCTCTTGCCCTCTCTATATGTACAAAGAGACGTGATATTCTTACACTTGTGCACGAGTGGGCCGGCATCGTCTTTCCCCGACACGGATGGGTATCAGCCACGCTACACCACTCCTTCCCTCCCTTTTTACTCCAACTCGTTGCCTTAATTCTGCGCGAGCAGCTCATCCTCCTCAGATTCCTCGAGCGCAGAGTTGTCGACGACATTGGTGTACATGGAAGCCCTGGCAGATTCCTGGCGGGCGATCTCGGTCGTGGCCCACTTCTTCCAGCTCTCATACGTCTTGTTCTCGAGCTCCATGCCGACCGTCAGAAGGTCCTTGCCAAAGTAGCCACCAACCATGCGGGCCTCCTCGACGGCTATCCTGCGCTCCATCTGCTCCAACTGCCTCAACTTGTAGAACTCGTGGCGCGCCTTGTCGTAGGCTTCCTGCTTGGTCATGCCCTGATTCTCCATAAGCCAGAGCTGACGTTGAACGACACTATAGTGTGCAATTCGGGTTAGCATCCAATTTCCATGCCTGTCCGCCGGGCTTTTGCGCCATGTGCAATGCGCTCATCCAACAACGTACCTCTCGCCGGACAAGGGCATGCCGCGTTGCCTGAGGCCCTTGGACCAGTCAAGGAAACGGGCGTCCTTGCCATCCAACTCGATAATCATCCTCGGCCTGGCCAACTCCCAAGGGTGGTCGCGGTAGAAGTCGCGGCGCAACTCATCTTCGGGATAGACGATCTTGGTGGGCCTAAAGAGGTTGCGTGGCTTGCGCGCTCGCGGGTTCGGCGGAGAGTGCTGGATCGGATACGGCCTGGTGTTGATCTCAGCGGGAGGGATGGACTCAATGGCCTTGAGCCACAGTGGTGGGTTCCGTGGTGGCAGGCCAGAGACCATGTTGGTGGCAGCAGCCTCGCTGGCCCTCTGGTAGACCTTTGCGGCCTGGAAGATGCGCCCCTTGCCCATCTTGTCCGGTCGTCGCTGGCGGCGTTTGGGTGTTAGGTTATGGAGGGAATTACTGGCGATAATCGACGGCAGCGGTGGTGTTGGCTGAGATCAGAGGACCATTTGGCTGATTCGGCGGTCCTTTCGTCCCTCAAGATTCCCTCCCAAGGCAAAGGCAAGGCTAGACTACGAGGTTACGGGGTGTGTATACCTGTGTAAGGTAATGATAATACACTGCGCTGCGCTGCGTAGGTACAATGGATTCCCTCACCCGCCAAACCTATCGTTATCGCTATTTGCTTAGCTTTGTCCAAAGTGGAGCTGTGCCTTTTGGAGACAGGCACGATCCGACACGACCTTGATGGAGGTTTGTTGCCGGTAACCCGCGCCGCGACCTGCTGTCCCGCCTGCCGCGAGCGAGCAACTATTGGAAGGACGTGCCGGCAAAAAAAAAAATGTTCCCCGCCCCGCCATTAAGCGACCAGAGGGAAGTACCTACCAGCTAGGTGCTTATCGATAACAAAAGGTCTGGAGCCCGCCCGGCTGAGACTGGACCCCATTCCCGTCCAGCTTCCCCTCTTTCGTAGAGGCAGGGGTGGGGTATGCTCCCGGCAAGGTACCTGGAGCTGTGCCTCGTCCATGTACACTACATACCCCAACTTTTTCTCATTCATCGCGTCGCTCACCCGACCCCAGTTTCCTGCCACATCCCTCCTCACTTCATGACTCGAGTTCTCCCCGTTCTCCCCATACTTCCCCGCCCTCCACGAATCTGACGCCCTGACCACATCGACCTGATTACGATCCAATTCGCCAGTAACCGCGATCGCATCGAGTGCCAATCGAGTGCGCAGCAGCCAGCAGCTTGTGATTGCGTTTGCTCTGAGCTCTCCTTCATCGAATTGCGGCCGACACTCGCGGGGAACAGGCAAGAAGGGGTTGGCTGAATGGGCAGGTCATCATGTTGGACGGCGGCAGCTCATGAAAGTCTCCAGCCGATTTGAAGGGTCGATATGCGGCACCATCTTCTTGCATCGTCCGTCGTGGAATTGGTCTGCCATTGCCGCCTCCGCAACCGCAATTGCTGCCACCAGTTCCGTGTCGCAAACCACAGCATCCATCCAGCTCGGTGACCAAGGCAGCGGACGAAGAAGACAGGTTGCGACAGCAGGCCTCGGCCCAGTACAACAACGACGGCGCTTCCACGGCAGCTGGAGCTCCCAAAGTGGTGGCCTTGTCGATGGGGTCGCGAGGAGACCCATAGGAGGCTCCACCGGTTGCCCGCTACTGACCACCCCATCCCTGCGAGCGACTCCCACCAGTCTGTCCGGCACGAACAGCAGACGAGCACTCGACTCCAACTTCTTCCGCCATTCGGTCTCTGCTCCTCAAAAGCAGAGCCACACGGCGGCGGCGGCGGCGGCGGCGGCAGCCCCGGTCCCTGAGCTCGTTGCTCAAGCTGGCCCCGAACCCTGTGCCGATCAGAAGCCCGCCGACTCCGTCTTCTCGGCCCCATCCGCGCTACATGACGATCTGTCGACCGAGTCCCACTCGGGCGCAAACCCACAATCACAAGAGCTGCCCGAATCCCATAGTGTGAAGCTCGGTCATCTCACCAAAGAAGAGCTGCTTGAACTGGTAGATCCCTATCATGATCTAAACGGAACGGTCGAAGACTACCTCAAGTTCATTCGCGATCCTTACATGCATAATTATGCGCCCGCTGACAGGCCCCGGTTCACCTTTGTACAAAATGAAGATGACTACGAGTATCCAGGCCCGGACGAAGTGGTTGGCCTGGACGAATATGGCCAACACACACTGAGCGATCTCAGGTTTGCTGTACTCGTGCGGCTGCGCACTCCACACAAGGTAGACCTTGACACGATCTACGACCTCTACCAACAACTGCCGGAACCGCGCATGCCCTACATCAATGGTCGGTTGCGACATCAGCTCCTAAAAGCATTAGGGCAGCCTCAGCGGAGAAACTCCAAGTCCATGCTGCGGTACTTCGCCGTCATAGCGGATGTGAGGAACTGCAGCATGCCCTTGACGGCAGGGGAGTGGAATTGCGCCATCTCTTTTGCAAGCCGATATGTTGGCACTGTCACCGAAACCCAGGCGCAGTCTGCCATGAGACTGTGGCGCGAGATGGAAGTCGACGCTGGCATTAAGGCGACCGAGGTAACCTTCAACATTTTGTTTGATGTGGCCTCGAAGGCTGGCAACTTCACTCTCGCTGAAATGATTTACCAGGAAATGGTCAGTCGTGGGCACTATTTCAACCGCTATCACCACGTAAGCTTGATCCATTTCTTTGGGCTCAAGAGGGAGACTGGTGGACTGCGCGCCGCGTTTCGGGAGATGGTTGAGGCCGGCGAGATGATTGACACGGTTGTCCTCAACGCCGTCATATCTGGACTGTTGCGATCGGGCGAGGAAGCAGGGGCCGAGCGTATTTATGCTCGCATGGTGGCTTCCATCGCGAAGTGGTCGGACGTGTCATTCCCAACCCGGAGCTATGCCAGCGATCGCGCCATCACCCAGGCGCTGAAGATGATGGCCCGGGTTGCAAAGAAAGCTCCCGAGTTGCAACACAGCTTTCAAGAGATGGTACCAATGCATCCGAACCTTCGGACGTATAGCATTCTGGTCAAGTATTACGGCGTTCGGTGCGGAGATCTCTCCCGCGTGGCCAAGTACATCGACGATATGAAGCTGTTTGATATCCCTGTTCACGGCTCCATCTTCAAGGTTTTGTTCAGAGCTTTTGACCGTCATGGAGGTTACGCAACTTCGGCATGGAGCGCGAGGCGGTTAGAATCAATCTATTCGGCCCTGCTAGAAGCCGTAGACGCTGGACGGACACTTATTCATGACTCGGCCCCCCCACCAGTTGACGAGGAAGCGTTTACTGATGATCAAGCTCAAGAAACCCAATCTTATGAGCCAGTTCAGGTCCAGCCAGATCATATCCAGGAGGAACACCATCCTGATATTTACGACGATGAAGCCGAACTCCCCTTCGAAGAGGAGGAGTACCAACAAAAGAAGGAATGGGGTGTCGACCGGCCAGGCATAGAGATCAAGACCTGGCTGGCCATTTGGGTCCTGCGCGCATTCATGCGATGCACAAACGGCGACAGAGTCGTCGAAGTCTACGACCAACTCAGGGCCCGCTGGGAGCTCAGTGACAAGGACGAACTATTCATGGCGGACTTTCTGTCTTCGCTGCTCATCAACGGATCGAGAAGAGGAAAATGGTAATACAGTACAAACACATCACGACAGAATATTGAGACAGACACAGAGACAGACAAAGAGGTCTGGCAACGGGACACAGAACGTCACGGACATTACCATGAGCTAATGATGCTTAGGCACAGATTTTACATGGTTATAGAGAGTTGTTGTTGCTTGTTTTTTTTTTTTTATAATGGCGTCGGTGGTGGTTGGACGTCACTGTTTCTTGTATATTGCTTTCTTCTTTTTCTTTTTTCTTCCCTCAGACGCGGACCAGTCGCGTAGTATCTATCGGCATTTGCATGTTTGGGTCGAACCAGAAGGGCACGCTTAGCGAGCCGGAATTTGGACTCTGAAGAATATTTATGTGGTTGCATGAATGATGGAAGTTGAAGGCAGCATTTCAAGTGACGGATAACCACCCACCATTAGACTGGCCTGCTGTTCTCTTATTTACTCTCGAAATGTCTTCGCTGTAGCTTACAAAAGCTGGTATCATTATATGCATAGAACTTCCAACTCCCTTCCCGACTTCCGTACCTACTACAGTCCAATTCCAAGAATCTCACATCATTAAACCTATCTATTTTCAACCCAGGATGACTATCGCGTGTCCCCTTATTTGACCTTGCTCATGATAGTTTCCGGCCCTCTGACAACGTCCATCTGGGCGGCCCTAGCCTTGACCGCGTTCAACATGCTTCTCTCAAAATCGTCTCTGGACCTTAACACTGCCTCGACCCAGCTGATCTGCAAATCCCAATACTGGCTCTTGAACTCGGCAAACGCGTCCGGCACCGCCTCTTTATCGACCGTCAACAACTGTAAGAACGGTTCCGACACGCGCCACGTCTCCTTGATGGCATTGCCCACATCGGGGTTCGGCAAGTTGTTGAAGAAGTCAAAGGCGGTCGAGAGATCGTCAAAGATCTTGTCTTGGAAGTTATCCTGCCTGCGGAACTTGGCGCCCTTGTTGCGGACCGATGACAGGTAGCGGATGAGCAGCTCCTCGGCAAAGATCTCGATGAAGATGTCGACGAGCGAGTGGTGCAGCACCATTTTGTAGTCGGACACGTACTCCTCGAACGTGGCAATCATGCGCGCCATGGCGTTGGTCGTGTACCAGCGGGGGGTGAAGAAGTCGGGCATGACGGTGCGGAAGTCGACCGCGAACACCAGTTGGGCAAACTTGGTCATGCACCACGTGCTCAGGTCGACGTAGCCGTCGCGCAGAGCCGTGATTTCCGTCTCGGCCCGGTCCATGTACTGCGGCGACACGAGCGTGCTGAATTTACGCCGGAAGTCGGAGAGGTACGCCATCCGGCCTTCATCCTCGTTGTCATCGATGCAGGCGATTTGGTCGTTGGCTGTCGCCACGAGCCAGTCCTGCAGTGGCTGGAAGCCGTCCAGCTCTGGTTGGCCTTGTGGGGGTTGCACCTCGTACCGCGCGGCTTCGTCCTCGAGCATCTTCTGCCAGGACTGCTGGCGGGCGCGCAAGCGCTGAAACATGGTGTCGATGACGCCTTCCACAACATCGGCACGCTTCGAGTTGCCCGCGGCATCGACCTGTTCGCGGAGCATGCGCCACAGATCGACCAGGTTCTTGGTGCGGAAGTATCCATACTCGTCCTGGTCGAGGTTGCCACCCTCGACGTTGCGGTCGACAAAGTCCTTGCACTCTTGCTTGTAGATACGGTCGATCCATTCGTCGAGGAACTTGATGATGAGGGCGCGGAAGTCGCGCACCAGTTCTGCCTCGCGGTTGTCGATCACATGTGGTGTTAGTTCGTCCTGCTTCATTCCCAACTTGGTCATCTTGCGATAGTAAGCCTCAGGCCAGCTGATAATGGCTAAAGTATGTGCCGAGCTAGTCTCGGGATCGTCGATGAGCCCGATGAGATAGTCATGCATCAAGCCGTGGTAAATGGTAGCCCATGTCTTGAATATCTTCCACTTCTTGGGCATAAGCGGCGTCATGCCGATCTTGACGGCGTTCAGGTCGTTGAAGTACCATTTCAAGGACTTGTCGAGCATATCCGGATCACCCAAGAACTTCTCCTTGCTCTCTTTGAACTGGTCCTCGGCAAAGGTCTTAATAGCCTTCAAAAACTTGTCCTTATAGCCCCTGACCGTCTTGGCGCCGTCGGTTATGCTCTGGAAGCGCGTGGCCATTTCCTTGTGATCCTTCAGCGCTTCTTGCAAGGCCAAAACCCTCTGATCGCTCTTTTCCTCAGCTTCTATTATCAGTGCGAAACGTACGACCAGACTGTTGTTGTCCGCAATAACCAGGTTGATCAAACTCATGGCGACGAGGGTGATATTCACATCAAACCACTCAATGTATTTATCCAGGCGGGAGAAGTAATCCTCTAGTGTGGACTGCAGGCCTGGATCGTCGCCCCTCTGTATTTGCTCGATGGCATCGTCTCGGATATTACGGAGCTGCGTCAACTCGTAGTGAATAGCCAGTAGGTTGGGCATGTTTTCGGGGTCCTCGTCGTCCTCGTTTAACATCCTGTCGATAGCGTCCAGGCGCTCGCTGAAAGTCTCGAGGTTGCGGCGCATAGTCTCGACGGCGCCAAAGTTGCGGTGGGCTTGGGACACCAGGTTGATGGTAGCAAAGTCGGTGATCATGTCTTGCGACTCGGAACAAATCTTGTCGATTTTCATCATCTCCTCCTTGATTTGCTGTACCGTCCTTTGCCCGTCAGCCAGGCCGTTCATGCCGGCCTGTGTCGTCTCGAGCTGCTCTCGCAGGCCGCTGCGCAGTTGGGAGTCGACAGCTGCCTTTTTCCGCATGAACTCGGCCTTCAGGGTGGTGATCTTGTCGAGATCATCGGGGTGCCGAAGCAGCTCGGCGAGGTTGACGGGCGGTAAGTCCATTTTCGTGTATGAGTGTATGTATGTGTGTGTGTGTGTATACGTATTATTCGCGTGGTGGTGGAAAGTCCGCTGTTGGATATGTTGTGTTTCTCCTTGACGTCGTCTTCGGTGATCCGTATAACGTGTTGCCTGGACGGCAAGTCTGCATGTTCGCTTCACCTCATACCATGTCGCGCAAAGTGTTCAGCGTACAGTTTCTGTCGCAAGACGGGTGTTAGAAGATGCAGGTGGTCATCTCTAGGCGTTCCGTCGTGGTGTTTGGGTGGTGGTAGTAGTGTAGCGCTAATCGGTGTTGTGTTTTGTTGCGGCTCCTGCTCCTGGCAGGTGGAATCGATGGAATGGCGGTTGACGTTGTGATCTTTGAGGGGGGGAACCGGCGGCGTCGTGGGTACCCTAGAGGTAGCGGACCCTGGGTAAGTACCTGGCACTAACAGACAGGGGGCGAGCTCCGAAAGGGTACCTTCGCTCTGCTCTGGCGCAAAGTATCTGGAATGCATTTACACGGGACAACGGAAGCTGGCCGATTGGCTTGTGCGCATAGCTGCATATCTGCAACCTTAGTGTAACGAGGGCGGTGTCCTGAGTGTGAAACATAGGTAGGCTGTGCCGAGGACTCTCCGATCAGGGGCTTTGTTTACATTGGTCGTTGGTCTTTTCCTGATAGCTACACTATAGCAACCGTCTTGTCCTCCGGCGCCCAAGTCGTCGCCTCCATCCGGTGCCAAGGTCGATGTCGATATGAGATGGGGCATGATTAGAGTAGGTGGAATTCCATCACTGCTGTCTATTATGCCTACGAGCAGCTGACCGGGAAGCTGCTGGCAGCAATACCCTGAAAACGTGACCATGTAGCTACATCCTTGAGCTCGCATTGTCGCCTTTATTCTGAAAGTGACATATTTGAGCTCCAGAACTCTACCGCAGCAGTGAATACGTCAGAAGCACCGATTTTCCCGCCTTGGAGTGCTGTTCTCAAGACACCTTACCTGAGAAGACTTACCATAACGCCACTCAATACAGAGGCAGTCAGTTAATGGTGCTCTACGTAGCTTGCTCACCTCACACCATTGACGAAGCAGTCAATGGCTTCCAGGTCGTCCCATGCCAGATCTCATCCCAGCAAGCTTTCCCTCCATCCATGATCAGAGCTTCAACCAGGAGCCCCAGCACCCATTGCCACCCTCCATCTTCCCCTTATCAAAGTCAGAAGGTTTACCAGAGCCAATGGTTCTCGTAGGGTCCAAAGAGAGAGAAACGTCGGGGTCGATGATGATGATGATGATGATGATGGTGGTTTCTATCCGTGTCGTATCATATACAGAAGAGCGCCCGGACAGTCCGGACTACCTGCGACTATATTCGTGCCGGTCAATTCTTTGCGTTTCCCCCCTCTCGGCATTGTCCCCCTTATTACGCACGCATCAACCTCATCGCCCGCTCAAACTTCCCAATCATATCGGCACCCGCATAACAGCTAGTAGCGAGCCGTTTAAGAGCGGGGGCGGTAGGTCTGCCAGACTGTTGTGTTCGGAATCAGGTTACGTCAGTGGGACCGTATACTTTTCGCTCTCGGACAGGGAGAAATCACGCACCGGCAATGGCAACAGGGGAGCCGAAGCCGACGACGCAGTACATCAGGTAACGGAACCAGAAGAAGCGGGTCTTGGGGTTGAAGGGAAGGTTGGAGCGGGGACCCTCGGGGTAGTGGTAGGGCGACGAGAGCTGGGCGCGGGTGGTCTGGAAGGTGCGGCGAGCAACGAGGCTGAAGGGCTGTTGGCGGGGAGCCGCGCGGAGGGCAACACGGGAGAACATCTTTTTTCTCGCAAGCAATTCACACGCAGTCAGCTATCCAAAATTCAAGGGTGCAGTTGGGAGCAGAGCTCAGGGCGATCTGCAGAGTGATATCACAAGGAGAACGGCATACCTTGAGTGGAAATTTGGCGATTCCTTGCTCGGTGAGAAGCTGATGTCAAGGAGAGTCGAGGTGGGAAAGCACTTGGAGTGTGGTGATGAAACTGGAGGAGCTGCCCGAGGTGGTCCGTGACGCTACTGCGGAATCTTGACATTCGGAATTGGGAATAAGCTAGGCTGTCTCAGCTGGCCATACAGCTCTGGCAGCTGTGCATAGTGGGTATCGTATCTGACCAGTCGCAGGCCATTGGTTGTGGTGGCCTGACTTTTTGCGCATCTGACAGAATGGCTCGCCGTACAGGTACTTAAACACCGCGAATGGATCTCCCTCCCAAATTCGGGTTCTTCCAGCTGCCAAGTACCCTCGGCTGAAACGGGCCCTAGCTCTACAGGTTGAGCACTTCTGGGTACAAAGCACGTCACAGCCAGTTCTATCTTATCGGAGTACATTCCATAGGCGCTTGTCGCATTCTTGCTTTTTGTCTTCGCCTATCTCGGCGGTTATTTGATGTCCTCAACTTGCACCCAAGAGACAATAAACACAACATAAATTGGTATCTCGCGAGTGTTTATGTTCAGGTATCATTTCCAACTTTTGCTTCTAATAAGGCTGCCACACTACGAATAAACACCATCTTCCAAACATGCAGAGGTATATCCGGTTTAAATAGGTACAAATCAATGAAAACCACCCTTTTCGCCTATCCGCACTCTGTTTACTTGAGGGTCACCAACTCCTCAGCGCTGGTGGGGTGAATAGCCACGCAGTTGTCGAAGTCGGCCTTGGTCGCGCCCATGTTGATGGCCACACCGAAGCCCTGGAGGATCTCGCCGCTGCCAAGGCCGATAATGTGCAGACCAACAACCTTCTCCTCGGGGCCAGCGCAAATGAGCTTGTAGGCGGTCGGTGCCTTATCCTCAGGCTTCATCATGGCGTAGTACATGGCAGTGAAGCTAGACTTGTAGATTTTGAGGTTCTCGGCGCCGTACTTGGCAACCGCCTCGGGCTCGGTAAGGCCAATGGAACCGATTTCAGGATGGGCGAACACAACGGATGGCACATTATCATAATTCAGCTTGAGTGTCCTGAACTCCTCGGGGCCAAACAGACGGGCGGCCAGCTTGCGACCGGCAGCAATGGCGACGGGGGTCAACTCAACCTGACCGCACACATCACCAACGGCGTAGATGTTTTCGGTGCTGGTGTTCTGGTACTCGTCCACCTCGATGTAGCCCTTTTCGTTGGTCTTGACACCCGCCTTGTCCAAGCCGAGACCCTCGACCGCCGGCGTGCGACCAACAGCCCAGATGAGATGGTCGACGTCGGAAATAGACTGCTCGCCCTCACCCTCTTTGAAGTTGATAGCTAGCTTGCCCGCCGCATCCTTCTCGACACGGGTGAGTTGGCTCTTCTTGTGGACCTTGACCCCGATGCGCTCATACTCTTTGACCGACACCTGCTGGATCATAGGATCGAAGCTACGAAGGAAGGTATCGTGGCGGATGAAGAGATGAGTCTCAACGCCGAGGGCGTTCAACATGCCAGCAAACTCGACAGCAATATAGCCGGCGCCAACAAGGGCGACCTTCTTGGGGAGGGTGTCGATGTCGAAGAAGCCGTCGCTGTTGGTACCATATTCTGAGCCGGGGATATGGGGAGGGATGGTCGGGTTGCCGCCCACGGCGATCAGGATCTTCTTGGCGTTGACGACCGACTTGGTACCGTCATCGAGAGTAACCTCAACCGAGTTGGGGGACAGGAGCTTGGCCCAGCCGTGCACATACTCGACCTTGTCGTTGGCGAGGTTGCGCTCATAGATGCCGTTGAGACGGGCGACATAAGCGTCGCGCTTTTGCTTGAAGGTAGGCCAGTCAAAGGGAGCAGTTTGCTCGACGCTGAAGCCGTAGTCCTTGGCCTGGTGAATGGTTTCGGCAATAAGAGCGGCGTAGAAGGTGACCTTTTTGGGTACGCAGCTACAAGAGGAAGAGAGATTGTTAGAGCTTGACCTTTCGAGCAAGACGGACGCAATGACAAAAATTGGAAGGCGACTTGCCCAACGTTGACGCATGTACCTCCCAAACGCTTGGCCTCGACTACCATGGACTTGATGCCATACTTGCCAGCAGCAGCGCGGGCAGTCGCAATGCCACCACTGCCACCACCAATGACGAGAAAATCGGTTTCTTTAGAGATGGGAGCCATGTTGAGAGCTGTGACGGAGAAATGTCTAGACAAAGAACCAACTCGGCCTGAAGCTAGTCTGGACGAGACAACAGAAGGTCGAACAAGAAAGGACAGAGAGGGCATGGACGAAAGATATAAACCACCACAACGGTGTCCGGGCTGGTATCGCAAAAAATAAAGAGTGGTCTGGGGGACGAAGCGAGGGTCAGGAAGCAAGTAAAAGACAAGCCGCGGGGTACGGTTGCGACAGCTGCGGTTGGTAATCCTTGGGGCGCGGTTCCATGCGGTGGTGCTGGTGCGGGTAGTAGGTAGTTACCTTAGTTGTCTGTGTCTGCGAGGACTGTGCAGGTTGGCGGCCCCAGGATTTGGAATATGTACGCTAGTGTCGGCACATTGTCTCAATCGAAGTGGGGGACTACCCTGCTCCAATTGCGACAGGCCCGATCTAGAATGTCTTTAACCCAAATGCGTTTTGACACTACACCGAGAGACTGGGGAACCACATTGGATGTGCTATCTATTTGAGATTTGTATTTGGAATGGTGACATGACTTGGACCCTATCTGACGCAAGCGTGGCCGTGTCCACCTCAAGTAAGCATGCCGAAGTTGGCGGCGGCGGTACGATTAGTAGTGTATCTAATTCGAGTATCAGTCCAAGTACCTACACAACCAACAGAGAGAACAGAGAGAATCGTGACGTGTATATACTATACTGTAAATCGCAAATGTTTGCCTCTTTCACGGCTTCTTCGTCTCTGTCCCCTTTCGTCATCATCTGAGTAATGATATCATGGGGACCATCTCCCTCTACAAAGTACACAGAAGTTATGTACAGGGAGACAGTACGGAAAAAAGTGGAAGATGGATTGGCAAGTGTGGGTTGCAGTAAGTAAGCAACGCGAAATGCCGAATCGCGTAGAAGTCGATCATGTAAGCAAAGTCTCTCTCCATCGAAGTTCTCACAGAGTCCGCAAGGGAAAAGAAAGTTTATAGATAGGCTGTCGGTTATAAAAGAAACTTGAAAAATGTAAAATACGACCGAGGGCTTTTGAACTTGAACTAAGTGTGCAAAAGTCAGCTTGGACCCCACGAGATGTTGGGATGAAAGGCTGGAACACGGCCTTTCTTTGGTCAATTGCATCGATGCCGCTGGAAGATCAGAAGAAAAGGGCGTCAAACAAACTGAAGGGACCTTCCGTTCGCATCTGATGTGCCCGCGACCCGAATCAAACTGTCAGGTTTGCCTGCCGCCGACTGCCCCGTGCCAGCAAGGTTCTTAAAAGTCCGGCAGGCATTCAAGCTACGATGTAATGGAATCCTTGGCAAGCATTGACCAAGCCCGCCGTAGAGTACAGGCAAATTGGTGCTTTTCTGTACTGTAATGTACCCAGCGACATCAGCCACACGGTAACAAACAGTGTTGTACTGGGTACCATAGACGAGACGTCCAGGATAGTAGTGTGGTATTCTCAACTTCATCTACAAACTTCCATCATTTTGGGGCAACAAGAGACGGAATCGACACAACACAGAACCCGCTATCTAACCTCGCTTGGGGCATCTCACGACTCTCCAGCTCAATAACTCAAGAGAGAGAGGCACTCAACTGATCAACCACTACACTGATTTGTGGTGAGCAATCGAAGAGAGTCAAGCGTAGAATATCAGCTCAAGCCACTCGAAGCAGTCGACTGCTAGGGAAGGCCCGGTTCCAACAGATGGCTGTATTGGCAGAAGCTTGTGAGGAATTTCTGGCTTGAGTTGAGTCCGGTATCACCGGCTAGTTGTACATCATGGCGGGTAAGCCGTCCGTGTTGGCCAAGTTGTCCGTCGGCCAGCTGCAGGAGCTCATGGTCCGGTGTGGTCTGCCAAAGACTGGTGCAAAGCTTCTCCTATACAACCGTATTCGGACCGCGGCTAGAGAGCACAAACCTTTGGCTCCCAACTCTCGCATTCTCAGCATCGACATGGGTCTCAAGAACTTCGCCTACAGTGTTCTCACTCCAGTCATGCAAGACAGCAAGGCCATGGCCGAAGAGTATCCTTTGCCTGGAGACGGAGGGATCGGGATCAACAAGCCCAAGGACGGAGAAGTCAGGATCAACAGACCCAAGGACGGGGAAATTATGTTCAAGAGGCCCAAAGGCGGAGAAATTGTTGACACGGCTAGTTTCTTCGGGATGCTTGAAGGGACCAAGGACGGGAAGAATGGCGTCCTCGGGTCCACATTCGAACAAAATCTCAACACTCAACAGTCTTATAATATAAAGAATACTACAAGGCGTGTGGCCGACTTGCACGCATGGCGCCACCTCAACCTTCTCCCCTGGCTTGAGGTGAGCAATATCGATGGGAAGAATACGGACGCCGTCAGCGAGAACTTTGCCCCTAACGCCATGGCTGACATGGCCTACCGTCTTATCACGGAGCATATTCTGCCCCAAAAGCCAACCCACATCCTCATTGAGCGTCAGCGCTTCCGTACCGCCAATGCAGCCGGCATCTTTGAGTGGACCGTCCGTGTAAACATGCTCGAATCCATGATCTACGCCATCCTGCGCGTCATGCAAAACCGCGGCGAGTTCAAGGGCGTCGTGGTTGCCGTGCCGCCCAAGCGCGTGGTCAACTACCTCGTGGACAAGTACGGGCATGAGATACCCACACCTCGCGATCTGGTGAATCCTAAGAGGGCCAAGATAAAGCCAAAATCGAAACGAGGCTTCTCGAGGTTAGAGAACGAAATTCCACCCGAGGAGGACAAGGATGACGAGCTTCTCAACCCATTCGAGGAGCCCATCAACGTTGACGAAAAGGAAACCAATAAAAAGATCAAGGACGTCAAGAAGGCCCGGATGTGCCTTTTGGGTTCGTGGTTGAAGAACCAGGAAAAGCTCGGTCTCGTAAACCGTGAGATGCAGCGCATGGCCGACTACTTCGTAAGGGCCGTTCCCGTCGCCGTCAACAATTTGTTAGGTCTGACCAAGCAGAAATTGAGGAACAGCGCCGTAGAAATGCCGGCTCCCGCGCACCTCCCGGAGTCCCTCGGCGTCGGCACGTTGATGGGCAAGAGAGAAGAGAGGACGGAGCGTGTTACCAAGGGCGAACACATTGACAAGATGGACGACTTATGCGACTCGGTCACCCAGGGACTCGCCTGGCTGGAGTGGGGGTTACAGTTGGAGGAAGCTATGAAGAGAATGCCGTGGATTATGGAAAACAATGAGGAACCGGAGAGACCCAAGCTGGGAATCCCTGTGAGGAAGAGGACAACGGGCGGGGGTCTATAGAATTTTTCTAGATGTACGATAAAGTGTTGCCAAGATACCTACCTGTCACTGAAAATGCATAAACTGCGTTTCCCTCATTGTGTTGCCCACTCAATGTTGCCGGAACCACTGCCTTGCAAGGATGAGATTATTGATACAGCGCGCAAGATTATGAATGGAATCATGGGTATCATATTAATTTAGACCTCAAACACTGCGTCAACCAAGAGATCAACCAGTTAGCAAACTCCAAAGCTCCAAGTTCAACCCTACTCACTCCAATATTCATCGTACATGCCCTCTTCCCGCTGAGTACTAACCCATTCCTCACTCGCCAACCCCCTCGCCATCCTCCTCTTCAGTCCCTGCGGATCCTTATGCCAGTCACACGCGTAATCGCACGCAGGCACTTGCGTCTCCCCAAAATACCTGCAAATCGCCGCATGCCGACAAGAACCGGTATCCTCACAATACGCCACCAGCCTACCAAGACTCATCTGCCTCGCCTGTTTATTGATGATGCCATCCGCGGACGCGTTTTTCGACACTGGCTCCCTCATGACCAAGTTACAAACCCTATCCCGGTCCTCACGGCTATAGTAAAGAAAACAATAACTCGCATTCCCATCACGACCCGCCCGCCCGGCCTCTTGGTAATAGCCCTCAAACGACTTGGGCAGCCGCCAGTGTACGACGAACCGCACGTTCTCCTTGTCGATTCCCATGCCGAAGGCCGTCGTAGCCACGATGACGTCGTACCCCGGATCGTTGGCAATCCACTTGGCCAACGTCTCCTCCTTCACCTGGTTCGGCAATTTCGCGTGGAAGGGCCGCGCGCCAATACCGTCGTGTCGTAAGGCGGCCGCGAGCGACTCGACTTCGTCGCGGGAGATGGTGTAGATAATCCCCGGTACGTTCTCGACGCGCTCGCCGGTGGCGTCTAGCTCGGCTTTTCGATCCGCGGCCGCTCGACGGTCGTACACGCCCTTGAGCCAGGTGACAAAGTCGTCGTAGCGGTCGTTGGCTTCGTCGCTGGTGAAACGCACTTCGAGGTGCAGGTTCGGTCGGTGGGCTGTCATGCTGAAGATCTTGAGTTTGCCGGGCGTCTTGTCCAGCCCTAGCGTGGTAAGCACATCGTGACGGACTTGCTCGTTGGCTGTGGCGGTGAGACACATGACTGGTACATCGGGAAAGGTTTCGCGGAACCAGGAGAGCCGTTTGAAGTCTTTGCGGAAGTCGTGGCCCCATTCTGAGATGCAATGGGCTTCGTCAACCACGATACGCGCCAGCTCGTGCTGTTCGTAGACCAGTTTCAGTTTCCGCCGGAAGTGGTCGCCCGAACACAGCTCGGGAGTCACATAGAGGAGCCGCATGAGGGGATGCCCAGTTGCGAGATCAGCGTAGATGTAGTCTCGCTCTGGCAGGGTAGTGTTGCTGTTCAAAGTACGAGCGTCCACATCTGATGCCTTGAGGGCTTCGACTTGGTTCATCTGAAGGGCAATCAGTAAGTCGCTTGGACCCATATGTCTGAGGAGTGATGCCTACCATGAGACTCAGTAATGGAGAGATCACGATGGTGACTGTATAGAAAAGGTCAGATTGGGCTAACTTGAACCGTCAGTTGCTTTGGAAAGGCGGAACAGACTTCCACGGTCTATAACTGCTGGCAGTTGGAAGCATAGACTCTTGCCGAAGGAGGTGGCTGCCTGGACGAAAACATCATGACCGTCGAGGGCAGCCTCGATGATCTCTCTCTGATGTGGTCTGCGAATATCGGTCAGAATGGAATCACACGTACTCGACAGCCCATTCATCATACCTAAAGTTTTCTTTGCCGAATTGTCGACGAAGAGTGAAGTCAATGTCTTTGAAGGAGTCGCTCCTTAGGAGAGGCATCGCTGCTTTCGCCGATGCTGAATTCGTGCCCCGCGTCGCAGCTATCGTGCCGCTCTGATTTCCATGAGATGGTGCAGTGGCAAAGAGATCTAGTCTAAGCCTTGCAGCTTTACTTTCTAATCAGGGGTCAAGAGCTCGCGAGGGTGACGAATTCATCCCATCACGTCGGCTTAGTCGCGCCTGTTGTTTGTGGACTTGACTTCCATTCATTGTTGTGCATCTGAAGCAACCTGGAACCTAAGTGCCAGAAGTTCTGTTTGTTTTGGCCCAAAGTTCCTGGGTGTAGGGGGTTCCCAGTGTTAGTTGGCGGCTTATGGCCGCGCCAAGCCACTGTAAGCAGCGGTCCCCACCACCTGCAGTTCAGCACCGGGCGATGCGGGTGCAATTCCGTTCGGGTTCCTGTAAATCCTCGGGCACAGGGCAGCTCGTCCAAGCTTCGTTGAGGTTCTCGTCATAATCACACTTGGCAACTGACTCTATTGGTATCTCGAGATCATACACATAACACATGATCATGGGCTCCTTGACGTGGCAGTTCAATAATTGATCATAATTGTGATGCCGACTCAAGTAATGCTACCAGCCGTCCATGTTCTTCCTTCCCTCTTACCTTGGTTCCGTCGCTTTCCAATCCACCATCAAAACATGGGAGATGCAAAGCTCACCAAACCCCCGGAATAACCGCCCACTTCTTGCTAATCTTCTCCTCCCCAAACTTCTCCATATACCACTGCCTCCCCTTCACCGCCCTCGGCAACATGGCCGCCACCTCATTCAGCAAAAAACACCTCGCCGGCAGACATCCCCAGCCAGCCGCCATGTAAAACCCAAGCCACTCAACCCATTCGCAAAAGTAGTGCGGGTAAAGCATCACCTTGAACAGTCCCGCCTTGGGGATCTCGTAGTGCTTCTCTACCTTCTTCCCCGGCTGTCCCTTTTGCCCATTCTGCTTCGCCAGCCTTTCCTGCCTGCGGTTTTCCCGGCGTCTGATCTCCCGCAGCTCGTCATCGTGGTAGAAGTTCGCCATCAGACCGACGTAAAACAGCGCAATTCCGCAAGTAAATTGCAGCGTGGGGAACGAGCTAAAGAGCTGCCTGTCCCACGCCGCGTGACTCGTGGGACCGTAGGCGGCGAGCCAAGCACCGATCAACGTTCCGTTGATAATCTGGAAGCTAAGCGCAGAGAGCCAGATGGCGATGTGTATGGGCGCCATGCTGGGCTGCAGAAAAGGAAAGGCGAGGGCGCGATAGGAATAGTGAAATACAAAGAGGCCGGCGAGCACCTTGTTTTGCCAGGGCAGGTCGCTGAGGGTGAAGCCATGTTGGGCGGGGAGGGTGCGCATCATGTACACCAGGGTCATGAAGCCAGGTGCTTCCATGGTGAGCCAGCCAATTCGGCCGGGCAGGTTAAGGCGGCTGGTGACTGATGTCTTGCCCATCCCGTACCAGGAGACACCCCATTGAAGGGAGGCGGCCTGGTCAGTTGTGTCAGTTGTGATGTAGAGCATTCTCGTAGGGCCGCGACACATACCACGGGGAACCACTTCCATAAGGAGAGAATGAGCTCGTAATTCTCCCTTGTGGGAGGATACCAGTTGTCGATCAGACCTACGGTACTAGTCGTCATTTTTTTATTCAATCCGTTGGCGCTGGGCCAACAATTTATCTAGTGAGTTGGTCAAGTCGAAGGCGAACGGCAACTTCAAAGTGATTGAGGTGATCGGCGTACGGGTGATGATTTAGTTCAGAACCGTCTTGTTGCACTAGATTGGGGTGCTAATTCCCCACATTCCCAAGTAGGTATGGTCATAGGGAAAGAACGAGAGAGAGAAAGTGCAAGGCAAGAGAAAGACAAGTGAGAAACAGACCACGGACAGTTTGTAAGAGATGTTCATATTCGCTGTCACCGTGCTTGGATTACCATTTCCTGGAAGGGAAGCACTCTGCGATCATCCCAACAGGAGCAATCTAACCTGGTACATAACTAACGTTTGGCCTATTCCCCTCCAACCCCCCGGGCGCTGCCACAGGATTCACCCATCATGTAGAGTTGTAAATTTCAAACAAACAACACTGGACAGCATCGTTGCGGTTGCTACCACCCAGTTCGACCACATTTGTAACCGCTACACTTACTCTCTTCCAGGTAATATCTACCTACCTCTAGCCATCAGACTTATACTATGCAATTTAAAAAAAAAAAAAACCGCCCTAATAAGCAATACTAGGAACCATTTACCAACTCCAATCCTCCCTCTTTGGTATTATTCGTTCTTCATGATGACACTCCAACAAGACACGACAGACATCCTTGCGCCCGAACTTTAACACCAAACCACTCCAGCATGATTGCTTGACAGAGCATCCACACGTTAACCACCAGTCACATCATAACGCATTTATCTTCTCTCGGAATCCCAGGAACTGCAACCGCGGCAGGCGGAATCCCCTGCCTCATCGGCCTTGGGGCAGCCATGTTCGCGTTACCAGGAAATCCGGATTGGGGCCTACCAGCCTGGCTGATTGATGAATGTCCAGGAGCCTGGGACGGGTTTCTCAATCCCATTGAACCCGCGGTTGAACCCAACCTTTGCGGAGGACTTGCCGCTCCAGAGCGAGGAGGAGATGCGGCTCCCGCACCGTTGGCAATAGTGGCGCGAGCCACTGTAGGGCTGCTCGTGGGATGACTGGGATGCCCTTCGGGAGGAATGTACGGTGCCTGTGTAGCAGCGACATCATAGCTAGGCGGAGCGTCTTCTACTCCTTCATCCGCTGGGCGGTTTGTGAATGGCTGTGACTGTTGACCAGGGAGAGGCGGAATGAGCGATCTCACTGTTTGACCCGAGGTTCTAACCCCGGTTCTGTTCGCTGTCGGACTAGCTTCTCCACCATTGTTCACAGAGACGTTCATCGAGCTGGTGCTTCGGCGCGTAGACGCAGCCGTGGAGGAAACCGACAGTGAGCTGCGTGATGCCAAGGCCGCCGCTCTTTGGCTCCCAAGACTTGCGGTACTGCCACCTCTGCCGGCCCGTAAGCTACCACCTCCACCAAGACTACCACCACGGGCATGTCCCTGACCGCGACCCTGGTTTTGCTGTCCGTTCGAAGTGCGTGCTTGCTGCTCGATAAACTGCTCCGAGAGTTCTCGTTCCCGGCGTCTACGTTCTTGTTCTTCTCTATGACGCTGCTCCTCCTCTTCCTGCAGTTGCAGTGCTAGAGCAAGGTCGTGGTCCTCCTGTTCATGTGATGGAGATGTTGGGGCATCTTCGTGCATATTCCCACTCTGTGTCCGTCCCCTACGGCCTTGAACCGTCGTCCATCCACTGCCCTCTCCCGAGGTACCATATGATGAGCTGTCGGTGTAGCTTGATCCCCGCGGGCCTGCAGGATTGGTGCTGGGGTCATGCGAAGCGCCGCCGACAGGGCGGAAGTCACCAGAAAAGAACTCGGCTCGTTCACCGTTCACGTCCACCAGCGATTCCCATACTATCTCGTCATGGGTGGCGTATCCTGCATCCGTGACAAGTGTCATGAGTTTTCCATTCTGCGGGTGCTTGTACAAAGTGGCGAAATGGTCGTTCCGGAAGAGAATCGCTACAGACGCTGGCTTCATCGAACTTCTAATGACATCAAGTCCCCATGTGGTAAGTTGTGTGGCTGATATTTTCCAGAAATCTTTGATGGCGAAAATATCCTGGAGCATTTGCTGTTCATCTTCGGTCAAGCCCTGTTCATCGCGGCTGCTCAGCTTGGCCTCCAGCTCCTCTTCACGGAACAGAAGGTTCTGGGCGTCATCATACGACGCCGCTTGTCTCTCAAATGCACCATACACCGGATCACTTCTAGGCGGAAGCCAACCATGGATCAAGGGAATGGAGAAAATGGAATACAATCTCATCTCCCGCGTACTCTCGAACGTCCCCGGAATCTGACCACCTCTCTCCGTCGGGGGCAAATTGGTGAGTGATGTACGATTGAAGGCGTCTTCCATTTGCTTAGTCGGGACAAAGCGTGGGTTAACATTCATTCCGGTATGAAGGCTTTGCAGAAAGTTGTAGAGTTCGGTAACGTCCGGTAAAACGGCTTCACCCAATCGTCGCTCAGACATTAGTTCGTCAAAGACGGCATCAATAAGCAGCCCAAGACTGATTTGCTCTCGTGATCGAAGGGTCTCCACAAGGACCGTATTGTCCTGATGTGCCGGAGTAGAGAGGATAAGCGCGTTAACGAGCGCAAGAAGCGGGCACGGCCCATTGGCGTTCTGAATCAGAATCGGCGACGTCCTCGGGTTGATCTCCGCTGTGGTGTCATACCAGTTAATCCTCTTGATTTGATATGTCTCGGATCTGTCAACCTGGCGTATTCGTTGCGCAGATAAACTGGCCTGCGCTTCGGTAGACCTAGGTGGTAAATCGGGTGCATCCTGTTCCATTCTTCTTTCAAGAAGTGGGGGAGCTTGTTCGACGGCAGGCGTTGAACTAGGGGGCACGGTAGATGTTGCAGTAGAAGATACGGCAGGCGGTGGTGTAGGAGGCACAGTAGCTGCTATTGTAGGAGGCGCGGCAGGTGCCGTAATGGCATTCTCGGTGACGGCCTTAGGAGAGCTCTCTTCGTCGTCGTCGTCGTCGGCGAAATCCTCCCAAGTGCTCTTTCGTGATGGGGGGCCGGGACGTATGTCAATATCGATCAAGTTCCAACCGTCTCCCGTGGTTGCAGGCGGGTTTCCCGGTGCCTTGTCTCTGGACATATCACTCAAGTCATCCCATGCGTGGGAACCATCAAGTGTCTCCTCTCCTGTAGTTGATGGTAGAAGCTCAGGAGCCTTGCTTGAACGTTGCTCACCCCACTTTGCAGAATCCTCCTGAGAAGGCAATGAGAGCAATGTTGGCGGGCTCGACGATGGTCCAGGGGTGGGCTGCTGAGATGCGTTTGTAGACTTCCAAGGGTCTCCTCCGATGTGATTTTGTTGCAGATCCGAAATCAACAGTGGTGCAGGGCTGTCTCCTCTTTGCTTCTGTAACGGTTGCCAGGGGTTTTTGCTCTGTTCGGCACCTTCAGACAAGCTCAAGTTCGAAAGGGACGGGAATAGTACAGGTGATACGGGTGGCAAATATGTTGGTTGTGCCAGGAAGGTGTCTTCTCTATCGTTGCCTGGCGTACTTCCTGACATCTTTTTCTTGAACGGATTAGTTTCTGGTTGTCCGTGGGAACCTCCTGGTCGCAGTACGGTTGGTATCCGGTTAATATCGCCTCCTACCTCATCTGAATCCATCGCACCGGACCTTGACAGTTGGGCGCTGCCGCCGGGCCTCAGAACGGTCGGCACCCGGCTAATGTCACCTGGCTGTCCAGCAGTCGCAGACTTGTTCCCCTCCGCGCTGTTATCGGCCCACACATTTTCGTTTTCGACGCCTGATAAGTTAGAGTAACTTGGACCGGGCCTTAGAGATCGTGGCACATCATCGACTTGTCCGTCTGATCCGCCCTGGCGTTGCTGTCCTTCGCGCTCGTCGTTCCACGCCATGTTTGCTTCCGAGTCCATGACGGAAGACCAGGTTGGTTCTCGTCGAACTGCCGGGTCCAGGGCAGCATTGGCTGGAAGAGGCTTTCTGGTCACCATGTCTCCAAGGGTTGGTAACGAATGTCGAAGGTAAAGCCAGTTATCGGGAAAGTGTTGGCGATCGATGGGATGTAAGCCCGAGGAAGCCGGCCAGCGCCTCTAAACTGTGATGGAATAGGATCCTGCTAAAGACTTTAAGAACCACGGGCTCCGGAACAGGTGTATACTGTATTTTCTTTCCGGCCTTCCAGAGAGATCCTAAGGCCCAAACAGTCCTAGCCGTGGAGATGCGGTTCAGCCGACAAAAGGTAGCCTTTCGTTGTGAAGGTCGAGGTCATGAGCGGTTCGAGGTTAAGTGAACAGTTGCGTCATTGGCGCGCGACGTACCCAGGTTCTAGGATGTTGCTGGGATAGCGCTGCAATTCTAGCACGAGACTGGGGCCTAACATGGGTATCGTCAGTGGATTGTGCACTAGATTCACTAGGATCCAGCGCAGAAGCGATTGGAGGATACTTGGTGAGTTTCTTCAAGTAGTGTAGGTTAAGTACTAACTTACAAGAGCAAGAGTTTGGGGTCAGCAGTTGTGCGTCCCTGAATGTAGCCAGTTCGGTGATGGGAGATGCAAGTTAGAAGTCACGAGTGACCGATTGTGTGTAGTTCGAGATGGTTTCCAATGCTGAAATCGCCAATGTGAAATGGAGAAAGAGACGAGACGGAATCCCAGCAGCTGGAAAAGTGGTGGCAGTGCGTAGCTGCAGCTGCGGACTTGGACCCCTCAAGGTTCCTGTCGTAGTGGGACGGGGGCTTTATCTAATCGTGGCGACCTCGGTGCCCCGTTGGCCGCAAGTGGAAAGGTGTTGACTTCAGTTGTAGACGGGAAGACGGGCTGACTGCTGCCACCAACTGAAAGGATAGTATAAAATGGTGATCGATAAGAAACGGCAGATTGCTGTTGGCAACGTCATGTTATACAACCTAATAGAAGGCTGGACAGTCGGAGGCTGGTGTAATGCTTGGCCGGGCATGAGGATCCGGGGGGAAGCAGCTTGCATAGGCGAATTACATTGTTGGCCACTCTGACGGCCTCCCACGCTCATGGTTCATTGCAGGCTGGCAGCAGCGGCAGCTACCCCTCACCAGGGCACTTCCCTTGCCCTCCCCGTAAGGCCTCGTCATCTCCTCTCCTGCCTAGGCGATCCAGCAGGCATCCATGCTGTGAAATGAACAATTCCACTTGACACTGGAACCCGGAATGTCTACATAGTGTACTATTTCCGCCTGCCACCGAGTTGTGGCCTAGAGGTAGGTACTGTAGTCCCATTGTATTGGGCGTAGAGGTAATCGATGACATCTCACGAAGACAATTGCTAGTAGGTATAATGGCTTATTCTAGGCCATGGCCCACGGCCCTCAGCAGCCTCAACACTTATGGCCATTTCCCGATTCAAAGGCAAGAATGTCACAAAGAAGGAGTGACCAGAAACCCCATGTAAATACACAGATAGTATTTATATTAGGATTACACAAACATCATTTCTCATAAGACGTTAGCCAGTACGCATTAAGTATACGTTTCGACTTCCGCTCCGTCTGTTGGTCTACTCAAGAAGGTCTCCCACGGAACTGCATGCTATGCCTACAGCTCACTAATACTGCCCAGCGTTTGGGCCCAACACAAAACAGCCTCCACATCACGACAACCCTCTCCGCAAGACAAATATCAACCTCCGTTTTAGTATTTCGATCCTGGAGAATAAAGGTTCTTGATCCTGATACAAGCTGGTGTCTCGAACCTTTCGGCCTTGGCCAACTTCTCTTGATCTGTACGGAACCACCCCTGGGCCTCCTCGATCAACCGCCGCTTCTCTGTCATCTCTCGTTCGCACTGTTGCTGTAGCTGCTGCACAAAGATGAGCTCGGCCTTCTGATCCAAGTTGTACAGCTTCGAGGCAGAATAATGCCTGACGTCGTTTGGGTTGACATAGTAATTGACCTTGACGTTGGGCATTTTACGTGCCATTGTGTAAGGGGGTATGGCCTGCTCAAAGGCCATGGCCGGTGTTGATGGCCCCGTTGTTGCTCCGGAGAACAGCGAAGAGATCATGGGGAAGATGAAGAGAATAATGATGGGCAAGAGGCTCATCAATGTGCTCCACATACTATTGCCTCCTTCTTGTTGCTGTCCAGCCTGCCGAGGACGAGTCCTGGGCCTTCCTCCGCCGAATTGGTGCACCCGAATACCAGGCCCGCCGCCAAAGTTGAAGACGAACTGCGGCCCTCCGTCGAAAGCTGCAGCGAGAAAATCATGTCAGTATACCGAAAACCCATGTCCTGTTGACTGAAGGTGGTGCACAAACCGGCTCCGAAGGGACCCCCACCAAAACCTCCCCCGCCAAAGAACCTCGCAAACATTTCCTCGGGGCTGATGTCTGCGTCGTCTCCCCACATGCCTCCCTGATGCGCCCTTGCTGCTCCCCTATTCGCAAAGCCGGCAAACGGATTCTGCTGCTGCGCGCTGGCAAACCTACTGTCCGGGTCGGTTCCGAAGCGGTCGTACTTGTCGCGTTTCTCCTTGTCACCCAGGACGCTGAAGGCGCGCGACACCATTTTGAATGCCTCGTCGGCGTGCTCGTGGCCGTTCTTGTCCGGATGTGTCAGCAGGGACTGCTTGCGGTAGGCCTTCTTGATCTCGGCGTCGGTACATGTCTTGGACACCTCGAGGATCTCGTAAAAGGCGGTGGGTTCGCATTTCCGGATTCGCAGGACCGCAGCCTTCTGCTCGGCTGTGTATTTGCGCTCTTGGTTGCCCTGGTTGTGCTGGCGGTTGTGGGCGGACGATCCGTTTGAGGCATCAGCCCCAGAGGTTGTGGCTGCGGGCATGATGTGCCCTTTGTCTTATGGTTCTAGTCTCAAATATTTTAAAAGGGTGTTGTCGATGACTATCTTCGAAAATCAAGGCAAAACGTGCTTTTGTAAAATCTAAACGTCGGATCGTCTGGTTGGCCGACCTTTCGTTGCGGAGGGCCGGGGAATGTACTAGTGACGCAACGAGGCAAAGGCGGTGTCCGTGACAACGTCGTGGTTTGTTGAAGCTGGACAAGGAGAAGCCGGGCGATAGGTCGGCGACAAATAATTGGTTGTTATTGGGATCACAGACCCTGGTGGAAGAACGATTTCTATAACGTTCTGATGCTAGATGCCGGGTTCAGGTCAGTCACGATTGTGTAAATGCATTGACAAGGAGGGCGGACAGGGGAGTCGAAAGCGTGGCTTTTTTTTTCGGGGAACCGCTGCAGCGGACGGTGGTGTGGTCCTTGTCCAAAAAAGTGTAGGTACGTATCGATTGGCGAGTCTTAATCATGGAGTGGAAGTCAGAGTGAGAGAGCACCTCATGTACAACAAAGTGTTTAACCATCGCTACCCTATAAAACCAGAACAATTACATTCAATACCTCTATGCTTCTGGACATGATTCTTGTGCTCACAAGTAGATTCGCTTGCATAGACGCGCGTAGCGACTACAGGAACATAAATCGAACGGATTGCCAAACCAATACTTAAACTCGGTGACTATTCAGTAGAGAGCTGTGGACAGCTTGCAGGTAAATTCCACGCTCACGTTTCTTCCATTCCCTTCACACATGGCTCGTGGCCCCGTGCGTTTGGCCAAAAAAATGGATAACGACCGATCGCAATCGTGAACTGGACGGGACCTAGCGGCAACAAGGAATGGATCCAGTTTGCTTAGTCATCCACCGGTGTTGTCACAACTGCCTTCGATTGACATGAGCCGATTCAAACTGCAGGTAGCTAAAATTTGGTAAACAGAAAAAGCTGGTGTCGAGATAATAAGAAAAATCAACAATCAAATCCTATACTCTCACACCCATCATGGCCACCGAAGAAACCAAGGCATCCATCGTGGACCGCGTCAGGGCTTGGGGATGTGAGTATCTCAACTACTTACTCACTCTACTCACAATCCTCACTTACATGCTCTTGATACTAACGCTCAAACATAGCCTCTTCCCTCCCCGGTATGGGCCTAGCAACCCTCATCACTGCCCTCCACTGGCGCCCCTTCCAGGCCATGCCCATGCTCCTCACTCCTCTCCTCATGTTCTCGAGCTACCTCAGCGTAGCTGGCTTCAAGATCGACAGCGCCGGCATGACGGCCGCCTGGAGCGGCATCTACTTCCTCCTCGCTGCCCGCCGCCGTCCCGCCGCGCTCAAGAACAAGTTTTCGGCTCGCGGCGCGGTGCGGGCTACGGCCATGGGTCTGAGCGCGGCCAACGTGATTGCGGGCACATACACCTATGTGACGGGTGATCGCAAGGCCGAGGAGCAGGAGAGGAAGGAGATGGACAAGTGGGGCATGTACAGCGATAGCGAATGAAGAATCCTCAGGCTTAGCGACGGCTGAGATGGTGTGGAGCAGTGCGTTCGCTGTGGTTGAGGAGAATCGGCCTGCCATACAGGAGCGAGTGTGCTCTGACGTGCTATAGTGGACAGCCCGAGGATATTCCACTACAAGTAACTGCACATCCGGAAGTTGCTGGAAGGTGAGGGACTAGACGGATTTGTTGTTTTGCAGGTTTTCTTTTGGCGGGAGAAGTTGTGTGTCTGTAACATACCTACTGTACCATAAAGAGCAAACATTTTGGCGGCGTCAAAGGGTGGAAAATGGCAGACAGGGAATACTCGGGAATGTGCAAAGTCACACTTCTGAATGTGTTCGCTTTGAGCAGCAGACGCCAAATGGGTGCTGGATTTCCTGCTCACTCTTCTGGGAGCTATGAGCTTGAATAGCGTATAACTAAATGCAAAAACCATAAACATGATTTGGACATATGAACATAGGAAACCGCCCTCATGTAAACCAAGGAACCACACGAACGCCAGGAGACACTCAGCACTTGATAGTCTCCGCTCTCCATCCTAGTTTATCTTTTCCATGCAAGTAAAAGCAATTGCAGGCCTGTCAGCTCCGGATCTGGGTTCGTGGCCATGTGATGCCCCTGAATAAAAGCCGTCTGCCAGCCCACCAGATTTCCCGTACCGAAAGATCCCATTGCAACGCCACGCCACTGTACCCACTCCGAAGCAGGATATTCGCTGGATCCCGTATTCCGATTTAACCAAAATCCTTCCACTTCATTCTCCTTTGACAATGGAATTCTCCTCGCCGCCTGATCAAGCTACGCTGAGTCTGTATGGTGCCTGTGGGGTTGTGGGGGCTAAAAAGTGTGATAACATGACCAAAAAGAACTGACGGGCATCCGAAGGCCACGCCGAAAAGCTACTGGGTGAGCAGCTTGCGATCCACCGCGTCCGAAGTTGGCAGCGGAATTCCGGAAAAATGGTACCAGAATAACAAGAAAATCATGGCCACGACCGTGGAGTGGGCGAACTTGGGCGACCCAAATCGCCATCGCCGCAAGTTCATGTCCTTGGAGAAGAGGTTCGAAATTTGAGCCATTTCGAATCCTTGGATGTAGTTGACATCGGTCTCGCGGACTTTGGGTTCGGCATAACTCCGGTATTCCTCAAGTATATTGCTCACGTCCCAGCCAAGAGTCTTACGAACGATCCCAACCACGCAGCCGGTGCGATGCTGCACAACCGAAATCAGCCTGACCGTTCCACCAAGTCAACATATCGTCGAGGGGAGGTTTACCTTTCCGTGGTTACAGTGAATCAAGAGCGGGTGATTGGCTTGGTTGAGTACCAGCCGGAGGATGGCCTTCATCGTCGTTATGGGAATGGCTTCTTTCTTGGTGCCCTTCATGTCAAAGACATGATGCTTGATTCCATTTCTGCTGAGAAAAGCACCATAGCCCTCGGGGAAGTCCTTCTGGACCAATGTGCTGGAAAACCCTTGTCAGTATGTTGGAAGAAAAAAAAGGGTTTTAATTCGGGTAACCAACACCATGGTCTTCAACTTGAGGCCCTCGATGAATGGGTAGTCCTCGGTCTGTGGAAAGCTACTTCGATATACCCCAGGAACAACGACACCGAAGTTCTTGGGGCGCCCCTCTGAGGGAATGAGCGGTAAAGTAGGATTTGGCCGCAAGGGAGCTTTGGCACTGTGACTGTAGGCTTGAACGGCATGTGGAGGCTCGATATCGCGAAGTGCGTCAGGGAGGCTAAAGTGTTCATCTTTGCTCAAATCTGACAGATCCGTATCCAATGACGTCGCGGCAGTCATGGGTGAGCACTCGAGGCTCGTTTGGCGGCTTGAGCGGCTGCTTTGACTTGTGAATGTGCCTATGGAGCCCTTCCTGTGCGGTCCCACGTCCGCCCTCTCATCTTCCTTCGCCAACCTTTCTGATTGAGGCCCAACCAGGGCCTGCTCTGTGTTGTCACCAACAAATGCTCTCGTGTTCCTCTTCATGACGGCCTTGTTGCCCCCGGCCATAGTAGCCAGGGCTGTCATGGTTTTCGATTGCAGCGGTTGGGTTACAGGACGCTCTTAGTCGACGAAGCAAGCGTTGAGGAGTCAGAGTGAATCATCAGAGAGCCAGAACCGGCCAGAAGCTAAGGAGATGCTCAAAGAGAGACAGGGGAAGCTGGTTTGACCGACGAAATAGTGCAGGGGTAGCAGATGGGTTGGCGGTTCGAATTGATCAGCACGGCGGCTTGTCGTTGACTGCAACGTTTTCGGTCTGGTAGACTGTTGGAGGTGGAAAATGGAGAAGATGCAACGGGCTACTGTTGGTAGTAGAAGTGGTACGGACGGTCTGGTTTCTGTGTTGACGAGCAGTGGAATCATAAGCGTCCCAGGGCACTTCTTTCTGGAGACTATGAGCTGCCCATTTTTGCTGATTTCCCAAATTGGTCCGGGGTTGTGTGGGGGTGTGTCGTGGATAGATATGTACCTGGGAAAGCCCGAGCTCGTCGGGCTTTCCTGCGAGGATATGCGAACGGGGAACTCGAGGTCCGGTGATACTTGAGTTGCCTCTGATCGAGGACGGTAAAAGAGGTCTCGTCGAGGGTTGTGGGCGGGACACGTGAGCGAGCGCCGAAGAGTGCAATGGGGAGATGCAAAGATCGGGATAACTCTGGTGTGAAAACCAGTTTCAAGATCGAGGGTAGCGTTATCGTTACTGTGATGGCGGTGGTGCCTGAAGGGGCGGGTGTTAAGTTGAGCGCATCAGAAATGTCGTTCAGACGAGTGGGTAGTGTTGAAGGAAAAGGCCGTCTTCCATGTGAGGGAATGGCCGGATTAAAAAGATGGGATTCATTGTCAAGTAAGACTTTAATTGCGGGCTTCGCCTACGGGCACAGTTGCCGCAGTGTGACGGGGGGGGTTCATGGCGGACTAGCGTAAAACTGTGTGGGGTCTAGGCCATTGATTGTTAGTGGCACTGGTACTTGACTCTACACTACGCTACTAGCTACCTCTGTGTACGTACCTCTGCACTACACCAGAGGTGTGGACATGCCGTTTCCTACCTGATGTACTGTGGTATGCAGCTGTACTACCCATTATTTTGTAGAGCACCGGACACGTCTGAGCAGCCAAGACCCGGTATGACGCCCGGTAGGCCAATCAATGAGTCAATTAGACTCGCTCGCCACTGAAAATTCAGTCGCCCTCTGTGGCAGACCCTACATTGGGAACATTTTACACGTGTATAGCTGGCACGGCTGGATCCCTGACCGGCCCTGCTTCGGTCGGCAGAAACCTGGCTTGCTGCTTCCCTTGTGAGAGCGAGTCGAAGTGTGAATCTCCAACTTGCACCTGTCAACGTCGGACGTCTGCCCATCGCACTCAGCCGCACAAGACCCAACGGTGTACGTACAGGCGCTGGTAGGCGTGGAGGTACCTGAGATACGAACCAGGATGAGAGAAGGCGGGTTGGCACCCCCTCACTGCCCCTGAATCGAAAGTCACAAAGATTCGGTCTCTTCATCTCAGTCATCGTGGTTGTCTGAAAGGCAAGGAAAGGGAGTCGGGCGCTTCTTCTATACCGTGGGCTCTGTCATCAAAAGACTCAGTCCCGTCCAGTGCGAGGAGTGCCTGAATCGGGATCGGCCTACGCCTGACATCACAGATATAAACAGCCACAAAACCCATCAGGAATAATGTAGCATCATATGTACACTACTGGAAATACCACTTGCCCGGAATGCCAAATACCGACTTCTTCCACTGCTTCCAACTCGCAGACAGGCTAGAGGTTGGAGGGTGAACGAATGCTGTGATCCTTTTGCAGCGCGATCCAACTAAGCCCAACTTAACCTCCCAGGCAGACGTGGACATGCGAGCGGAGACCGAGCAACGGACAAAGCGGTCCCAGAACATTCGATTTGTACAGCAGATATGTAATAATATACCGCTTACAGCATCCGAGTGCATTTCTGTATGCACATTTTTTCCATTCACGAAAAATCACTCACACTTTCTGCTCTTCTAGCCATCAGCTTGTTTGCTTGGGCCATGGATGTGCTAGGAAGTGCTGCGAAGTAAAACGTGTGTGTTCAACAAGATCAAGTGCAAGGTGCGATGAAAGCCCCAGAGAAAGAGGAAAAGGCTACACACGCGCATAGTGCCGCCAGACCTAATGATTCGAATATTGGTCACATTCTTTTGAGCACGGGCTTGAACGGCCAGGCCCAAGTTGGCTTTCAAGTTGGAAGACGTTTAAATTGAGTGTACTTGGCAAGAAGCAGAAAAAAGAAGAAGAAGAAAAAAGACTGCAGTGCAGTCAGGTCGCGTGAGCACGCAGGCTATAACGTCATTGTCTCCTCTGCTCGCTCGGCAACAGTCCACCTAGCCGCATAGTCCGAGCGCGGGTGGTACTGTTTCTTACCTTACAGTAAATTGGGAGCACTATGTAAGATCGTAAGTTAATATCAAACGCCGTACCGTACTCAATTGCTGCTCGAGGGTGATGGCACAAATGGCACACATCAAATGCTACCCTCCCTCTACAAGATAGTCACATCTGACACGCCCGGGTCCCATTTTTTTTACGAGACAGTGAGGCGGAAGTACTTACCTACATACCTTGCCTGGTAATGAGTGGTAGCATGACTGATACCATTCAGTTCCTCAAAGAGTTCGACACGTTCGCGGTTTCTGGCCCAAGGGTAGTAGCCTGGGTCAGAAGCGACCAGGGCGCCTCGCTAGGAAATTTCAATACATACACTAGGTCAGTAGGACCAACTTCCGCGGGTGGACAGTCGAAGATGCCGATCGCTACCTTGGGCGCTGCCAATCTGCCTGCCGAGTTGAACACCTAGGACAAGGAAACGAGATTGCCATTGAATTGGGAAGCCACCGATAACACCAAAGCAGAGTCTCTGGCAGATTCCCGGGCTTTTTGGAAAATATTTCTCGTGGCCATCCTGACGTTGTGAGGTCAGACATCAAATGGCGAATCAATTTTGATGAAAGAGACTTCGTCAAGACAAGAGGCCATCGGACAATCCCAGCAGATGAAAGGCATTTCCACAGATGCAACGGGATGCACCCCACACCGCTGCTACTATGGGTACCGTAGATCCTGACAGTGGAGGTTTCGCGATTGGTCAGAGGAGGGCCATCCCACTGTACAGCATCACTGTATCGTCAGCTGTTATGAACTGTAGTCCCCAGCTACCCGCGTTTCCCCAACTTCTCCTGAGACTTTCCCCCCACGTCTTCTTGCCTCGGCGCCCATGCTCTTACAAACACTGAACCTGGTCAGTCTTTGAGCTGAATTGTATTTCCCACCAGATTCTCTCTCAATTTCATAGGCCATGTGCCTGCGGTTTGTGTGTACTCGCGAGAGATCTCTTTCCGGTCTAGAGTAGAGGTGCCCGGGCAAGGAAGTCAGCTTTACCTGTCCATGGTAGCCATACAGCTAAAGGCGGGAGGGTTTGGCCTGGAGATGCTGTATCTAAGACTCCAAAAGGATGGTACACACTAATCTACATCAGTACGTACATGGCAATGCCGCTATACCCAGTCGGTGAAGACTTTACAACCTGGAGGGAGAAGTTGCCCCCTTTTTGACCGCCCGCGGTTTCGAGCAACGACTACAGTACACCCTTGTCGAAAACACATCATCACACTGTTTGCCCAAGCAAGGGATGCCAAATACTGCAAAAGTATGTGATTCCTTCCCGGTCAAGGTCACACTCACCCTAGTTATGATACCGTCCCAGTGGTCTACGCAATCTTGCCGGGCACATAAGGATGGCCAGAACTTAGACCACCATCCACCGCCCATGCTTGCGCGTTGACATAGCTACTCTCATCACTTCCCAGGAACAAGGCCACACGCGCAATCTCGTCAGCATGTCCACCCCTCCTGAGAGGGTTGAGCTGTCCAATCTTACCTTCGGTACCCCGAGCTCGTGCGCTGTCGAACACGGGCGCCGTCATAGCCGTCTCGATCAGGCCGGGGCAGAGAGCGTTGACCCGGATGTTGGTCCCGACCAGTTGGTAGGCAATGGTTTGTGCCATGCTGACGACGGCTGCCTTTGAAGCAGAGTATGGTGTCCCACCGGCGTTGGACCGCAAACCGGCTACCGAAGCTGTCATGATAATGCTCCCAGAGGACTTTGGCTTCTCCGCCGATGTTTTTTGCATGGCCGGCGCCGCGTATTTGGCGGCAAGAAAGGGGCTTTGATGGTACGCATGGTTAGCGATGCTCTACGAGATCAACCAGACAAGAAAGGGCAGTTCGGACGGAAAGAAAACCAGGCGTCCTACCCGAGCGCGTTGACCCGCATCGTCTCCATAAACTCATCAGCTTCAACGTCGGAGAACTTGGTATGAGGGCCAAGAATTCCGGCATTGGCAAAGAAGACATCGAGCTGTCCGTACCGGTCCAGAGCATCCTTGACAACCTCGCTGATGGCTTTTTCATCGGCAGCATCAAACTGTCGCGTGTGTACATTCGCGCTGGAATATAGTGTTTCGATCTCGCGCTTGTGTTCTTCGAGGTTGGAATCATCGTAGTCGCAGATGTAGACTGCCTTTGCCCCGTTCTGGGCAAACTGATGAGCAGATGCTCGGCCAATACCGAGAATGGAGTTTGCCCCTTCAGAACCGTTAGCCTCAACTCACGAAAAGCAAGCGGCCTACAGCAAGTACAAGTCGACTTACCGGTGATGATAACCACTTTCCCAGTTACTCTAGGTCCATTCGAGTCGCCAGCCATCTTGACAACGGGTGGGATGACTTTATTGGCGGCAAGATGGTTACCAATCGCCTGGACACGTTGCTTGGCGGACTCGGACATGGTGGGTTTTCTTCGAATCCTCAAAGTTCAAGTGCGCTTCTTTTTCTTTCGGTCCGTGAGTTAGAATAAACTCTAAGACATGACAGAAGACCGCATTTTAGAGTTGGGAACAAAATCAATTTTGGGACACAAACGCTGTGTCTACATCTATCATCTCACCGATGAGACATTGCCGGTTGAGCGCGGGGAAACCAAGCCTAGCACTAACAAATCCGGGGGCGGGCCGAGGTTCAACTTGCCGCCGGTTTTGTATTGGCTCGACCGTCCACGAATGTCCAAGAACGGATGACACTTCCCGTCGCGTCTGTTCCCTTTCCCTTTAGACCCTTCTCTTTACAATGGCACATCAGAACATCATAGTCCACTGTCTGGGCTTTTATCACGTCTAGTCCGCAACATTGCAGTTCAACTTCGGTTTCAAGTTCTTTGTCATGGCTGACGGACTGTCATGCCCCTTCCGCCACTTCCGCGGTGAAGGAATCGATGGCCTCCAGCAACCATGCCATGACGAGTCCACCTCATCAATCTATGCATTGTTACTACGGCCATGGTCTAGGAAATTGGTAACTGCCGCACTCGAGGACTTTTTGAGACGTCGCCACGTATCGAAGCTGAACAACAAAGTTCGTTTCGACCACGATGCCGAGCCCGGCTGAGCCTCGTGGTCACACACTGCATCGATCAACACCCGAACATAGCATATCTCCACGCCCCGACTGGCTGGCCGTTTTCGAGCCGAACATCTGGTGAAAAAAGAGGAGAGGCACAGATACGAAAGCCCTATTACGAGTCTACTTCAGTAGTTCTCTTTCTCTGCTTAAGACGTGGCCCTCACAACTATTTCCACTGGCCGCGAAAGCTGGGCTTCAGTCTGGGATCAGTCGTGTGGGACCAGGAACACGAGGCATGGTCGAACCAACAACTAGCTTCGGCTCTTGAGCTGACGCCATTGACGGATCTTTTCCAATGTATTCGTACTGGACGCGCCTCCACAGCTGTTCAGGAGTTTCATGGCCGTAATGGGGTATGCCTTTGCCTTGCTCGTGTCTTTTTACTCCTGGTCATATTTCTGACTGGCCATCGCATCAGTAGCACGGTCACCAACGATCATGGATTGACGGGCAAAGGTTCTTCCAGACGGAGGCTGATAGGGACCCGGCGAATTTACGAAGCCTCCTCCAAATGGTGTCATTGGCGGATAGTAACCTTCTTCCATCTCCGACCCTTGAACTACCTCCGCCGAACCTAGGGCCTGGGTTTTCGAGAAGGACTTGATTGGAAATCCCATATGAAATAATCTTCAGGCACCTGTTTGGCAACAGCCAATGGCTGAGACAGATGCCCCTGCCGCGCCCAAGTACGGCTTCTCGCTATGTTCTTGTGCGCTTATTTGGGATGGGTGCATTGCAAGGGGCCTAATCGCCGGCGATGCTGGCAATTGCGGTGCAAACTTGGAAGGGAACCGGCATGCCCAAAGACAGCCGTGAGACCATTCCTCAATCCACGTGTGCAAGATGTACCAGAGCTTTAAGCACGCCAAGCCAGCTGGAAAGAGAATCCAAAAGCAAACACCCCAAAAGTCTCACAGTGCGTCCCAAGCCCTGTTGGATTACACGCAACTACACAACACAAAGGTGTGACGGCATGACCATCTCACAAGTCTCTCTCACAGCTGTCTCACTATGGCTGTATAGGACTTATATCCTGTCACCTTACCGCGGATTCCATTGGGTATCCAGAAACGAGGGCCCCAGTCCGTCCCTTCCCTTTTGCAACCTGGCTCTATACATAATCTCGTGAAAGCCGGACCATACGACACGTATGTAACAGCCATGTTCAGCGCAGAGCAGCTTGGTTCATCAAGTGCGGACTCCATGAGGCTGTTGTGCTGTGAATACCTTCCTACAACGGCTGTCTATCCCGAGCTTGGATCCACGACTTGGTACCTCTGTCTGGCAATGCATGCAATGGGGGTGTCATATGTGACGTTATACCAACCCTATGGCTTCTCTCGGCTGATGGACTAGCTGTGCTAGCGGGAGTGGCCGGCTCATGATCAAGGCCGACATTTCCAGCCAGTGCTGCCGTCGTAAAAAATAATGGAATATATGTAAAAGAGAATGGAGAAAAAGGAATAAGAATTTATGAAAAAGGGCCTTCAGGCAGCCTTTCAGGGCGGCTTGAATCGTACGCCGTCCGACTAAACGGACTATCCAGTTTGCTTTACTAGTCAAGCTTTGGAAAGAGACAAAATCAGTTTCGACATCTTCAACCGCGCTGGAAAACGAAATAACGGACTACCACCTAAGCTCCCCTTTGCCCCGAGGGCAACCTTTTTCTCGCACTCTTATGCGTACTACAAGGCTTGTGCAACCGTGGGTGAGGACTCGACAGGGAAATCCTTCTCTTTGCGAAGCCCAGCGGATGCCTGCAGGCTCCAAACTTCCAGTGGCAAGACAACCTAACCCCTTCCCGGTCCTCATACGAGACTATTCTCGTCGGACTACGGAGACGCGCAGTAACGGTGTAACACGAAAACCCTCCTTTTCCAGGTGATGAGGATCTCCTTCTCTTCCGACTGATGCTTCATTTGTTCCAGCGCCAGTCTTCCTTCCTCTACCTGTCCTTTTGTCTCGCACTCTCACTCTTTCTTCACTCTACATAGTGTACATGTCTAGCAGCCCCTCCCGTAGTGACTCGAGCGATGTTGTGTTCCCGTTCCTCAGCATCATGGGCCTCTCCTATTTCTTATAGGACACATGACCCTAATGAGAAAGCGGTTCGGGTCGGATATATAGTCTCGCGCAGAACTTCACACCCGTTCCCGCGGGACTCTCAAGACCTTCAGCTCACTTTCTTATTTTCTACTTGAAGGAACGTCATTTATCGGTTGAGCAAGCGAGCTGGTTGTTGTTCCCATTGATCAGTTATTAACACTTTTCTTGATCACATGCTTTTTTTCGCTAAGCAGGCCCTCTGGTACCATTTGAGCACTTTTATCTCTATTCACTTTGGACACATCCTCACGCGATAAACCTACCTATCATATCGGTGTCTGGCCGTGCAGTTATGGTGAAGAAGCCAAGTCCTATGTATTTGACTTTACCATTGGCTTCTAGCTCGGCTTCGTACACATCCTGAGCACAAGTAGATGGCCTTGGTGGTAGCTGCGAAAATTATGGGGGGCTCAAGCGGCGATGAGGAATGCGGGTGCTATATGGAAGCGATCGAGATTCGAGGCGATTCACCAACAGCAGAAGCGAAACAGTGTTTGCAATCTTGCAGGGACCAGTTTCTAAGGACGGTATCGATCGACCACGAAACCCCCGAGGGCTGGAAATACATGTGCAAGGATCTAACGACCACGACACCCAGCTCTCGATTTTGGTCGTTGTATTGGTGCGACACAACGTTTTGCGGAGTCTGGATAAACCAGACGGGGGGGCTGCAGCAAGACCGTGAGTGGTAGCCGGAGAAGTAATCGTCAGTGGCTCGGGCTAAGTAGGACAACCAGCAAACGTCGACCTGATCATCAACAGCTGCCAGGAGTGAGTGAGCATTTCTAGCTGGTCGTCATGAGCTTGAGGGTACTTGCCATGCTAACGTGAGACGGCAGCATTGGATTTCACTCGGTATTAGATCCAGGACCACCACCCAGGGGCTTCGTCTGCCAAACTAGCAAGGGAGGAGTTGGGCCTTGTTCACAGACAGGCTTCAAAATCAACCCCGTGTCGGCCCCGTCCCCACTGGTGGTTCAAGAACCGATCTCCATCCCCTCAACTTCTGGAAGCACAACGTTCAGAAGCGCAACTGCGCCTTTGTCCCTATCAACGTCCTCAGCAACACCAACAACAACTGGCGATATCTCTCTCATAACGGACCCATCATGGCTATCAGCAACACCAGCCCGACCCACGGTTGCCGAGTCTTTTGGGGTAAACAATGGGACTACAACACTCAAAGGCGGGCTATCCATGGGAGTCAAGGCCGCAATTTCGGTTTGTTCGGTTACCGGGTTCATCGTTATGGTCGCTTTGGCCTTTTTGTGCCTGCACAGACGAAAAAAGCACCGGTGCGGCTTAGATGACGTTCGGGGACAGTCTCGTTCGAGGTTCGATAACGGAGTTGCTCCTAGAGGTCGGCCAACGCCGCTAATTGCGTCCAGCTATGATTCCAGGCCGCTGATACCCCCTCTCCGCCTCCGGGACCGCAGGCTGCTCCCTTCGATCCTACGTTCGGGTCACAACCAGTCGCCATCTCCGCCCCTGACGCCGCTCACCCCGGCACACAGCCATGGCGGCGGCCACTCCAACGTCACGTTTCCATCATCACCGATAACATCACCTACGACGAACAAGCTCGTACCACGGCACGAGGGCATGCCAAGGGTTTACGGCACTACTGGCAGTCTTCCTGGTCCACCGCCTCCGGCCTTGTTTGAGATGCATGGTTTTGGTGCGCCCGAAAGCCGGGGAAGTCTGAGTAGTTTCGGGGCAGGTTCGACAACAGGACCGTCATCTTTACGGAACGAAGCATTTTCCTTGTCTGGAACCACTTCTCCGCCGCCCACATCACCAACACGCCCTCCGCGACCGCATGAGGAGCCACTGGCGATACCCGACTTGGTGAAACCAGCATCCTTTCCCTTTGGTGCGAGAATGAATCGATCGATTCCATCAGTACCGTCGGCGCCCATTTCGCCGCTATCACATACATCATCCTTGGCCATGAGCGGCAGCAGTGTGAGCCCAATGTGGAACCAAGTGCGGGCTATCTCATCGCCAAGGGATGAACGGGAATCTGGCAACCATCACGCTACTGGGGAATACTCGGGCAAAGACCGTGGCAGCTGGGGGAGCTGGAGCGATAATGGGTACGGATACGGTTACGGCAACGGAAGTGGAAATGGTGCTAATGGAAGCGGAAACGAGAGCGGAAGGAAAGTGACCAGCGCGATTGTTGATAGTTTTGGTCATGCGGCTGGATCGCTGTTACCCGTAAGAGGCTCCAGATTCATCTCGAAGGGCGGAGTAAGCCCGCCGCCTAGACTACCGCTGAGGCCGATGGCTATTTCTACCATGTCCTCTCCTGTGGTCATTCGTGACGCCAGAGGCGGTGATCTTGGACCGATAGGGGTTGCGATGACGGGAGGGCCGGGAAGAACAGGCAACTCTGCGGCCGTGTCAACGTTGCACGAGGAAGATGGCGGATTGTTCTGAAGGCGGACAGTGCTCCATCCATGATCGGGTGGTAGTACATACGAAAGCGGCACGACCTTGAACGCCGAGACAGGATACAAGATTATAGGTACGTAAACGGGCAAAGAAAAGGCGTACAGGAAACATATCACAGGCGGACAGGATACTGGGCGCTGGGGCAGGGTTTTCAGCACAGCAGAGCAAAGCACAAAAGGATACCCATCTTGGTATATGATGTTTCACCCTTGATTCCATTCTTTTTCATTGTAACAAGGGCCAAAAATCAAAATAACAAATCGGCCGGCAGGGATGGTCTAGATGGAGTGAAAGCATTCGGCACAGGCGAGAATGGTTGATTGGCTTCGGAAAAGCGATACATACCTACACTGCATGACGGGATTGCATGTACGTAAAAATTGATGTCAGTTTTACGAAAAGAACTTGAAACAGTGCTAATGCAGGAAATCAAGGCACCAAAGAGACAAGCATTGTAAGTTGCCAGGAACGAAAACAGACCAAGCATCAAGGAACAGGAAAGAGATCGGACTTTGCCTGTAGATCTCTCTTTTTTTTCCTCCTCTTTTTTTTGGTGTACAAATTTCTTTGCCAGATTGTCCCGTGAGTTTGCAGTGCAGTGGCGCTCAAATCAAAAGGGACAACAACAACAACAACAACAACACCAACAACAGGGGCTGTTGTGGATGTAAATCTGGAAAGAATATCATCTCGCTGGAGGTATCTCAAAATCTTAAAAGAGCCGTGCAGTATATTATTACGTGTCACTCTTTCTCCCTGCCAATCCTGTCTTCTCGCCATTTCTGCTTCTCCCTGGACATCCGGTGCCAAAAAAAAACACGTGTGTCCACCGAGTGGAAGGCCGTCACGCCCACTGACATTTCAGACAACTATGTAGGAAAGGCACTCAAATGGAAAATGGCACGTACTGTGCAATGTAATCCAAACAGTTGGACCGCAATGAAGGGCGTCAAAACCATGCATCTACTTCACATCCTCAAAACAAGACACTGGATGTACCTGTACATCTGTAGGTCTACATGAGCGTTAGAATGACCGTGGGCTCATGGGTGAACGTGGGTATCTCTACCTACAGCCAGCCTCAGGCGGGGTATACTCCACGTGTCCCAGGTACTTACACCATAATACAGCAATCCATCCGAGTGGATATGGGCGTGTCGACACCCCTCTCAGCCCTGGTTTGATTATTCTTTTGCTCGTGTTGGCACATCACGGCCTCTCGCGGCACTCTGCCAGGCACCTCAGCCCAGACCCTTCGAGACCTGTCGTCTTCCTCCCGTCGTCTCCTTCCTGACCTCTACCATAGATATCCATTGCTGGTTCAGCTCAGTTGTTTGGACAGCTCGGCCGGACATGATTACAGCTACCTCTCCAGCCAGAAACCACCAGCTACCTACTTCCATCCTCTTTCGAATCTAGAGACGCTTCCTACGACTGGCGCACACTATCAAGTCGACCGAGGAAGGCCATGACATGAGGTGCGCTGCCCTTGTCCTGGTTCGACCGACTGGAAGACATGGAGGACACTACGCCGACCCCAACCACTCCAGCTGCGGTCATCGCTTCCGCTGCCGCCGTGGCTCCTCTTGAGCGCTCCGTGTCGCAACAGTCCGTCCTCTCAACCACCCGGAGCCATCGTTCCCGGGCTTCCAGCACTGCCCGCGCCCGCAAGAGGTTGACATCATACCCGTCGAGTTGTGCGTCTTCCATCGCCCCGTCCGACAAGTCGCTTACATCGTTCCCCTCCTTCTCGCCCGAGTCGCCTCGCCAGGAGCTGTCCTTCTTCGAGCTCAACCCTTCCTCCCTCTCGCCCTCCATCTCGCCTTCACGTCACTCGCGCAAGCTGTCCGATCCCGTTTCCGTCGCCGACTCCGTGGGCAACGACAGCGACCCGCGCCAGACCCCCGAAGCTCCACAGCCACAACGGATACGGCCCGCCTCTACTGTAGAAAACTTGGTCACGGCCGAATCCGAGCCAGACACACGCGACGCACTCTTCCAAGATGTACCTCTTACCGCCAACAAGATCCCTGGCTCCCTGCACCACGCTGATAATGCCCACATTGAGCGCCTGATTGCTCGCCATGGCGCTGTCAACCTCGTCCGACAGATATCTCGGGATTTGGCAGAGCGCGATGCTCAGATCGCCACTTTGCGGCGACGTGCCGACGACCGAGAACGCGCCTTGCGGAAGCTTATCTTGGAATGCGGTCTGTCCACCCTGGACCTGGAGACGCGCCTGCGCACAATCGAGCAGGATGCCAAACAGACAAATCTGGCCAGAAGGGGGACCGCTGGCGGCGGATTATCGGACCTCATGAACGAAGCCATGGCCCACGATCTCAGAGCCGTCGGCGCGAGCACAGGCCTCAATGACGCAACTATACGCGCTACCACCATATCGGTGCCCCCTGCAGCCGATACTGGAACCACAAAGGGTATGACCAAAGGCTGGAAAGACTTTCTGTGGGGTACTGGGGCGGCGGGAAAGAATTCAGGTCGGCCGAGCAGCGTGACCGGTGCAAGTGCTACGGAAACCTCCAAGACGGTCTTGAGAGGTAGTGGCTTGGGGCCAGAGCAGCGCCGCCCGACGCTGGCCGACGGTCTGTTCAACCCGCCCGAGATGGACTCGACAGACTCTGTGCGGAGCTCTAGTAGGGCATCCAGTATCAACTCTGCGAATGAGTCGCGGAAATCGTCGCTGGCCAGTCTTGCTTTACGGCTGGTCGCGGGTGGTGCAACCACGGGACGTAACGGTGACATGCGCGGCCGTGCCAGCACCGTACTGCAACCTGGGGGCTCCATGAGAACACCATCTACGTCGAGCCGCGCCGCAAGCTCCCTCTCAAGCCGTACAGTCTCGGGCGCCCAAACAGGCCCTAGATCGTTCATGGCAATGCGTCGCGCTACCGGCCCCACTAAACCTCTTGACGTGCCCCAGCGATACCAGCAGCAGGACCGATGGGATACCATGGGGTCCAGCCCCTCGAGAGACCTCGTGTCCCGCCAGCAGAGTTATGGTCCGGTCGAGATGGACACCATTCTTCCACCCGAGGTTCAGCCGCCAACGCTGACACACATATACAACAACCATCTTGGGTCCGAATTTCTCACTGACCGCTTTGGCTTCATCTATGACCAGCGGAGGAAAAAGCGGCAAAGAGAGGCCACCAGAATGGCGCGTCATGCAAAGAAGCCCAGCCGTACCGAGATGCTCAGCACTGGGCGGAACAGGTTATCCCCGGCCATGTTAGACGAGACCTCTAGTGGCAGAGGAGACACAGCGAATGAGGCCGGGCCGGAATCTCCTTCGGCTGAGGAGCAACGGGATGATTCTAAGCCAAGAAAGTGGCAAGATTACCTCAAGATCGCAACATTCCCAACCGAGCTCCTCTCTCACACCCCGTTGATTACTGTGCCAGGCTTCGAGTTGATGGAAGGTGGTGAAGTACCCGAAGCACCCAAATCGCCTGGCTTGATAACGTCGGAGGAGCGTGGATTCGTTCCGTCAGCTACTCCTGCCATCGCCGCTATCGCATTGCCGGAGAATGAGGATCAACCCTCCCCAGACGAAGGGGAGCAACAATCGTCGTCGGCGAGCATGGCGAAAGAGGATGCGGAACCAGTTAGGCTTCTGTTGCAGAACCTCAATCAGCTCCACGATACACTTCAGAGGGAAAAGACTGTGCGATGGAATGATTTCCTTCGTAAAGTCCGGGCGGAAAGAAGACGAGACGGGGAGGCTGCCGCTGCTGCTGCCGCCGCCGCCGCCGAGGCTAGGTTTCAAAGGGCCGAAGCAGTAATGCCTGAAACGAGATTAGGAGATGGTGAGCTGGTTGGCGTTGCAAGTTTGGGTATTCAAGGCAAGGTTGGACGTGCCAAGGCCAATGAGTTTAGGCAACTCATACTTGGTGGTATTCCTGTCGCCTACCGGTCCAAAATCTGGTCCGAATGTTGCGGGGCCAAAGCTTTGCGTATTCCAGGTTATTACGATGACCTTGTCAACCAGGCAGGGGACCAGGACGATCCGCAAGTCGTGGCACAAATCAAGGCCGACATCACTCGTACCCTTACGGATAACATCTTCTTCCGCAAAGGTCCAGGGGTCAACAAGCTCAACGAGGTACTACTTGCGTACGCCCGACGCAATCCAGATGTGGGTTACTGCCAGGGCATGAACCTCGTCGTCGCTAATCTCCTTCTTATCACCCCATGCGCCGAGGACGCCTTCTGGATTCTGGTATCCATTGTTGAGAATATCCTGCCGCCCAACTACTTTGACCATAGCCTTCTCGCCTCCAGGGCCGACCAGCAGGTCCTGCGCCAATATGTGTCTGAGGTTCTCCCCAAGCTCAGTGCTCACTTTGAAGAGCTTGGCATTACCCTCGAGACCATGACGTTTCAGTGGTTCCTGTCTGTTTTCACAGACTGCCTGTCTGCTGAGGCTCTCTTCCGCGTCTGGGACGTACTACTGTGCACCCATGACGGCGGCGTGTTTCTGTTTCAGGTTGCACTGGCTTTGCTCAAGCTGAATGAACGCCAGCTGCTTGCCTGTGACTCGGCGGCACACATCTACAGCTACATCAACCATCAGATGACCAATCATGCGATCAGTATTGATGGATTGATACAGGCTTCTGAGGCGCTGAGGAGGGTGGTGCAGAGAGATGAGGTGGAGGCAAGAAGGGCGAAGGCCGTTGACTTGGAGAGAGAAATGAGTCTGGCCAGGGAGAAGAGACGGGAGGAGATGCAACAGCAGATAAAGAGGCTGGCGGAAGCGCAGGCGCCAAAGACAGCGGGATCGCCGGCCGTCGCTGACCGGGCGGTGACATCTGTGAACGGATATTCCGATGATTTAAACTCACCGATGGTGGAGGCAGATGATGGGATAACAGGAACTATACAAGCAGCTGGAGGGATAACTGCATAACAAGTTGTGAGACAGAACATGGAATCAGGTAGTTGCATGAGGCGGCGTCATGTTGTATGTTTTCCGATCCATCCGCAACGACGGAATCGTCTATCGTTATTTCTCCTCTTACAGTTGGCAACTCTTTTTTTTAAATTTTTTTTCTCTTTTTTTCTTCTTTTTGTATTTCGGTGTACGGGCTGGATAGGTGCATATCTCGGATTGATACCAAGCAGCGCATGGAAGGGAGGTAAGGGCAAGCAAGTCAGGCTCACAAAATTTATTTATCATCGTCCGATTGATTCAGTCTCGATTTTCGGATGGAGCCGCAAAGTTCACATCTGCAAGAGCCAATGAGATGAGTCCAAACTTATCGCTCGTGGCTACACGTTGCATCCGTAAGTTGATGTCGCAATATCAAGGGATACTGATCAACGAGCATTGGGGTGCCCGTACAGTTTGAGTGGTCTAGGTATGTTGTTGCTCGACCAATTTCACCCAACAACCTGAAATGAGATTGTACAGTCGAGACAATGCAGTATAACTCCTTCGCAATCCTCATGGATGTGCGGACAAGGGATAACTAACCACTGGGCGACCACGTGCGTGTACTTGGGGGGAAAAAAAATATATGGACGAGAGAACAACAGAATGAAGAAGATCGCAAAAACAATAAAGATTGACCCCAACCCGATTTGAACGGATAACCTTTCGATCTGGAGTCGAACGCGCTACCGTTGCGCCATGAGGCCTTATTGAAAATTTAGTAATATTGTTGATTCTATAAGGGTATCCCAAAATGAGCTTGCAGCAATATCCTCTGTACATGACTGCTTGTCGATGTGCCGTCAAATCACCATATATAAACTTTGTGATCGCCGCACAGATCGAGTTCTCTCTTTTGAAGCCATTTGTATTTTAACGAGTCTATTTTTTCTGATCTCTCTACTGTGCACCACTTGACCACCTTACATTGTGGGTTGTGGACGTCTCGAGCCATAGACCCCGGCAAATACCACATAGAAGCGGACATAGGTCCTTGGCCTAATCTCCCTCAAAAGGCATTATGTTCCTCACCAAGTTATTCAGCTCTTGCTCTCCAGTTCTGTCATGGTCTCAATGGCTTCGTCAATGGCAGAACTTCGCGACTCGCTCACATGGCTCCGTAGTTCCCCAAGACGCCTCTTCCAAAAGTCCCATCGGTCTCGCGAGTACCCCGGCTGGCCTTGATATAGCTCTCCAGCTCTAAGCATTCTTGAATCAGTCTCATCCAAGTTTCCCGGCTTGCCTGAAAGGGAATGTTCCCAGATGAACTTTCCAGCATGCTTGATCCACAAGGTGGCAACCACAACCCGTGTGTCCTTACCTTCCTGGGAGAACTCCTCCACGCTCTCCTCCAGACCATCGCGAAGTTCCCATATGGGTAATTCCCGCCAGTTAATTGCGCCCGTGCTGAGCAAGATCGCTAGGAATGCGTTGAGGTTGCACCATCGTTCGTGGACCTCTGGATCGGTGGCAGATTCCAAGCTGAGGGTTGGATCTAGCTGGTGTTAGCAACCATGGATCTCAACCTGTCGGGCTCCGAGCTTGAATTGCATGGAATCTTCTTGTTTGCCTACCTTGCCATGCATCTCGGTTGCAGATGGCGAAGCCGTCCAAGCGCTGCCATGCCTACAGAATCAGTGTCAGCAACTCAACCCTTCCGGATAGATCCGTAACAGAAGACTAACAGGATGTCCATCCAGGCCAGCCAAATCATGTAAAACCAAAGCCAGCCGGTGATGCGCTTCATGGCCGGCGGGTACTAATTGCACTGCTGCCAACAAGGTGGTGTATACGTTATACCGAGCGTCCTCAACCTCCGATTCCATGTCCGCAGGGTCGTCGCGTGTGAGTATGGTGCTGTCTAGCTGGTCTGCGAGGCGCTTGGCAGCCTGGGGAATGAGAGCATCATCATTGATGTTGAGCGCAGCCTCTAAAGCATCAACAATCTGCGCATTTCTCTCCCCTATCTCTCTGGTTTTGTCCCGAAGGACTTGTAGACTAATTGGACCAGTCTTGGACATGTTTTCGGATGTCATTGGGATTATGGACTCTTGAACTGGCATTATGGTGATGAACGAAAGGAGAAGTTTGCAGGTAGCACAGAGGATGCGGGGTGGTTACTTTGGTTATCGAGTAGGAAACGTATAGATACCTAGGTCTACACAGAAACATCTGAGTTCCTGGTCGTGGCTGAGGTGGGCTCCCTCCATTCTTGCCCCGAGTTGCACGCCATTACATGATCCGCGCAGGCGCCGCCTACCTACACTAGATAAGGTGTCATTCTTGATGCCAAAGAAGGAAGGAGTTTGGGGTCGTCGTCCACTCCGGTGCGCTCTAGTCTAGCGCACGAATGCATGCACGGCACTAACTCCACCCAGCGTCATCCAATGACATGTGTCAAGTCAACAACATGTTAAGTTTTCCGAACGAGGCGGCAACCCCAACCTCACTTGTCACCAAGATATTTGGTTTTATCAGCGGCGATACGGGTTCCTTAAAAAAAAAAGACTAAATGATCCCTTCGATATTTGGTCCAAGCTCTTATTCAGGGGTATAAACAACGTCAAGCGCGGCCGGTATTTTGTGCTTTGCGAGACTCGGCATTGTCAACAATCGACTTGCCCAGAAGGGATAACGGATGCATCGCACCGAACCAAACCTTTGACCTTTTTTTTTAAAGATCTCGGGCTACGACTCTGAGAACCGGACAAGTCGAAAATCCGCTGGCATCTTGCAGGCTTCATACGCACACCCCGCAACGCCTCCAAGCATACGGAAATCTGGGAATGGAGGAGGCTTCCCAACTCCCGTTGTATGTCTTATAGTGTTCGAATCCTCTGTGACCCTCCGAGTAGTCGACCATGACTTTATCCGGCCGGGACAAGGCGGCCATCCGGCTATCTAAACTTGAATACCATGGAACGGCAGCCTCCGCTAAGTACTTTCATGCCGTATCGGGTCACGGAAGGAGCTCGATGAGGTTATGGCTTCCCATTGAAACATGTAGAGAGTGATGTGCATTGACGACCTGCGTCGCCTGACCGGGTATCAGGGAATGATATAGATGTTCAAAAGGGCCTTCATTCCCAACTTTCGATAGCTTGGGGTGAAAGGTCCAGCACCCAAGTCTTAACTTCAGGATCCTGTTGATTACGGAATTTCCACTGGCCCATTATGCTTCCCTCGATCTCTCTCCTCCTCGCCGCTGCACTCGGCACTAGCGCCCACTACACATTTCCCAAGGTGTGGGCAAACAGCGGAACAACTGCCGACTGGCAGTATGTTCGCAAGGCGGATAACTGGCAGAACAATGGCTTTGTCGACAATGTGAACTCGCAGCAAATTCGGTGCTTCCAGTCCTCCCACAGCCCTGCCCAGTCAACTCTCAGTGTCGCCGCTGGCACCACCATCACATACGGCGCAGCTCCCAGCGTCTACCACCCGGGGCCAATGCAGTTCTACCTGGCCAGAGTTCCGGACGGCCAGGATATTAACAGTTGGACCGGAGAAGGTGCTGTTTGGTTCAAGATCTATCACGAGCAACCCACATTTGGCTCACAGCTCACATGGTCTAGCAATGGTAAGAGTGCACGACTCATCACGATAGAGAGCAGCCACACATACTTGTCCAGATACTGACACTACATCTTTATCCATACAGGCAAGAGCTCTTTCCCCGTCAAAATTCCCAGTTGCATCAAGTCCGGCAGCTATCTCCTCCGTGCCGAGCACATTGGACTGCACGTCGCTCAGAGCTCAGGAGCTGCCCAGTTCTACATTTCATGCGCTCAGCTCAGCATCACCGGTAGCGGCAGCACTGAACCCGGCGCTAACTACAAAGTCTCATTTCCTGGGGCCTACAAGGCTTCCGATCCCGGTATTCTGATCAACATCAACTATCCCGTACCTACCTCGTACAAGAACCCTGGACCGAGTGTCTTTACCTGCTAAAAGCCGTCTGATATCGGCTTTCCAATGAGTGGATAAGGAACCCAAAAGAGGAGGAAAATACTTGGCCTTGGTTTATGAGACCTGAATACTGTATTGCATAGCTTTAAGGAACTCAAAACAACCACTGTTTATACTCGGCCCTTGACGCTACTCCATCCATATCTCCGGACCAGATATTGTCCCTGTCCACCTGAAACCTCACCCCGGGCCACTGGGACACTCGCTCTGTACTGGAACTGTTGAAAGCTACGTCCTGGGTAATACTTTGCTCCACGCAGTAATTATCACTACAAACTTGGTGTTCTGGTTGTGTACTACCAATCTTCACGCATCGGCAGTCACTCCTTGCATCACTAGACGTCAACGGATTAGGATCGGAACAAACGAATGCCGCAATAAATGGACTGCATTTACCCGACTACTCTATGGATGTATCATCAGACCTAATTGCGGCAGTCACTTTCCGCACATTTAGGATTGATTCCACGATAGTTCTGTTTGATGCCCGGAGAGAACACCCTTGATGGGTGAAGGACCTCGTCTCAGGATCTCGGTAGCGGCAAAAGACGTGTCAAGCTAGATAATTTTGGTCTAGTTAGAAATATATATCTCGGTTATCTTCTGGCCCCCAGGGCCAAGGTTACAACTTGCATCCTAGATACCTCTACATATTGGCATCGAACAATACCTACCTAGTGTAGGGATCAAGTTCCCAGTTAGCATCTCCCTGAGTGTAGGGGCCGTTCAGGCCCATTGTATTCAAATGTTTGTTAAACATGGCTGGAGCATTCCAGGCCACTTCAGATTAAAGCATCTATCAGACGCCTTTCTTAAGTTTCTGGTCAATGGCAAGCCGGGGAGAACAGCTGAACTGTCACTCGTATGACCAAGAACGTTCAAAGCAAGCAAGGAGTCGAAAGTGCAACAAGTGATAACATCCGTTACTACTCCTCGCAAGTGTCTGGAAGTTCTGCAACTGCTCCTACCGAGTCATCAGTTCACTATGTTTGAACAAAACAGACCAACTACCTAGGCCCAACACATTATTACCTCACTCAAAGTCCCGGATGACTCCTCCGTTACTACGTTCGATGGTTGAGGTGCCGTTTGGTTCGAAATTTTCACAACTATACCGACGATAAACAGAAACAAGCACCTCACTTAGCCAAGTCAATCTGTATATGAACTACATATCTCTTTGGATCTCAGCTTAAGAGCGTGATCCAGAACCTTTTTTTTTGCTGACTGCAGTCAGAAACCACTACTTTCGGTCAGAAAGCTGCACAGACCAGTGCTGACCGGTGCTGGCGCTGAAATATCCATTTTGCCAAGAATATTGCTTGTTTAGCGCGCCCCGCACGGTTAGAATCGTGATTTTTTACGTTGAAATCTAGATCTCGTAAAATTGGTTACATTTTACAGTATTATAGTTTCGAATGGTCTAGATTATTGTAATATTAAATCGGTGCGTATTTAAATAGTTATCAATATTGCTACTTTATTATTATATTCGCTAGTACTTGTTCTAGATAGTTGTAGTAATGTCCGAGGTTATTGCTGGTTGTAGATAAATATATAACGGATTTATTTTTAGTAATAAAAGAGGTATATATAATTTTTATATTTAACTACTATAGACTCCTCTTAATAGTATAACTTGTCGACTTAGTACTCTATAGCGACCTCTTAAGATTCTATTGTGTGTGCCGACTCCTAGCTATTCCAACTAGCTTTATTATTAGTTAGTCCCTCTTTTGCCTAAGTCTTCAAAAAGAGGAATAATAAGGCTAGTACCTCTAAAACCCGTTGGACTACGCAAGTAGAGCGCTACTTCCTGAAGATCCTTATAACTACTATTAACGAGGGGAGTGCTGGTTGGAATAGCTTTAAGGAAGCGATATACTATATGGTTATCAAGGATTTTACTAGTATTAACTTTAATGTAGGAATAAAGTAGGTGTGTAATAAATATAGTACTTTAAAAGTAAAATAGCGGTTCTAGGCCTTTATATAAGGTCTTTCTATATTCGGGCGCAATTAGGACTCGGGTTTGATTACGGCTGCTAATAATATTTAAGAATAATTAATTAGGGTAAGTATATTATTAACATTTTTTTGTATAGGATTTTACTAATAATATAAAAATAGTTATTCCTTAGCTGGAGCCGGATATAGCCAACGAAGATAGTAAAACGCTTATTATTGTAGTATAATAAATATTTAAGTTATTACAGGGCGAGAGGGCACCGTTGGGGGTAAGGTAGGATATGCGTTGTTGTGTGAAGAAGGAGAAAGGAAGTGTGCGTAGAGGACTAGCTATATGGGCGAGAGCCCAGTCTGAGCCAGTCCGTGCGCGTGCACACACGTGGGGCTGCACGTGACTAGAGCCGTCAATGGCTCTGGACTGGAGGCGTGCAGCATAACCACATTATAGGCTAACCCTATAATAAAGTAATTAAAAGTCTTGAAAATTAATAATATTATTCTAATATTTATATTTTTATATATATAATAAATAGTATATAAAATAGAATGAATAATAAATAATATATATTTATTTGCATAGCGGTGGGTGAGAACCGTTATAGCTGTAAGCAAAGTAGGAGCGGCGTGGGTAAGCTACGACCGAGATGAAGCTGGGGGTTTTCATTCGGCGGCGCTTAACGCCGTACGGTTTTTCCCTCCAAAGAACTGGAGAAGGACCCCATGCCAATAAGGCGCTATAGTTATATAGTTAGGGTAAAAAGAATGTTATTATATTTACTTGCAGGGGTCTCGCCGGCCCCCTGCACCCCCGCTACTAACCTTAACCCTAATTACTCTTTATATAAATAATCTATTTACAAGCGGGGGCCTCCCGCCGGGTCCCTGTACCCCCTGAGCTAACCCTAACCCTAACTAACCCTAACTCTAATTTATATCAGAGTATAAGCTATTTTTATTAATACTTAAAAATTTACTTCTATTTACTATTGTAAAAAAAAGAAAATATATATTTAAAACTTCTTATTTATTTATTGAGATAATAAATTTAGAATCTCTAATTTATTTCTCTTATATTTATATTATCCTCATATAACAGTTTCTAAATGTTTTCATTTTAGTAAATTATTTATTAGAAAGTTCTATTCATAAAAGAGTTCTATTTTCTTGTCTTAAAAAATAAAAACTCAACTCTATATTGGATTGAACAAACAACCTCTACAAAGATAGAGCAATATAATAACCATTAAGCCACTAAGGTTATTAAGTAACTAACTCAGATTATTGGAAAGGAGCGCCTTTTCTTCTCTCTATATTAAGAAGAAGGCCTAACAAAAAAAAAAAAAAAAACCCCAAATGCACAATTGTGAATTTTTTTTTTCATTTCTTTTCTTTTCTAGAGTTTTCGATTTTTAACCCTAACCCTAACCCCCTCTCAAGAAATCAGGGTTAAAGGCGCTATTATAACTAAAATCCTTCTTTTTATCTTCTTTTGTCTTTTTTTCGACAACCAGAGCGTGCACTACAATGCGACTAGTACCAAAATGACCGCCTTATTTTTCTCGTTATTTTGATACCCTGTGTACTTTCATGCACGCGACGGTTGAGGAGTAATATTAATTGCAAAGGAAAAAGTGGCTTTTTGTAACTGAAAGCACGGGCCTCGAGTTTGGCAAATGTTTTGAATTTCCTCTTTCGGATTTGGAGCTCCGCAATTAATAGTATTTGGACCACTATAAACAGAACCGCCGCGCCTTCCTCGCGACGATGTGGGGCCCATGGTACTACGACCTCTAGTGTGGATAATCTATAACACTTTTGGGCCCTGAATATCGCTCTCTGAAGTTATAGGCGTTTTAAGAATAGAAAAATTCTTAGGCTAATACTTCTCGTTATAATTAGTTTAATGTAAGGGCACAGTATAGGGTAAGTCGAAGGTAAAGCTAAGATTCTATTTATCATAGAAGATTTTAAGTAACTTATTTACGGGACCCCTAGAGCCGAATGTTATAGGGCTAGCGCCTAGGATTAAAGACTCGGTTTTGCTAAGTCTGTTAAGCCGGGATTAGCCGTATTAATAAGAATGCGAGCCTTCTGGTTAGTCGAATCTATATATTTGCCCGGCTCGTGCGGTCTTAGCGCCCTATACAAAACCTTCTCTAGATTGTACCCTTCTGGTGCAGTCTTCCCTCTCTTGCTTCCTTCGTTAAATATAATATTTCAACTACATACGACTGCTCGCTGTATAATACCCTAGTAGACCCGTTCTATTATATTTAATCCTCTTTTTTAAGCTAATACTATTGCCGACCTTTCGTAGGTACGCCCGAAGAGTCTCTCTATTTACGATAATAACGCCGACCGCCTTCCCTACGATCCTTTAGTTTTAAGATCCCTAAGAACGTTTGTAGTAATTTACGGCCGCCTTTTAAATGTTGTTGACTAAAGTTATTTCGAGGCCCGCCGTCTTTTAAAAGTAGGTGCTTTTCTAGTTCGAAAAGTTCGCTGGTAGTAAGGAAGATTTTAAAACTTAGATTTTAAGCGCGCAAGCGAAACTCTATATAGATAACCCCGCTATTAGCGATTTAGAAGTGCAATTCTATTATCTGCTCGCCTACCTATCGCCTGCTATTAAGAAGCCTCTCATTGTTTTTTTTAATTCCTTATCATTAAAATTGCTTACTACCCTTTTCGATAAGCTCCGGTTTACTTATAGCGATCCTAACGCTACGAAGCGCGCTAATTAAAAACTTTACCGATTTCGTTAGAAATTAGGCAAATTAATAATAGTTTTCCTTAGTTACTTTAAAGAAGTCTTTTACTATATTCGCGTTAATTTTTAGTTAAAAATAGTTAAAATTAATTAATTAACGGCCTTCCTAAGTAATAATTAGAAATAACGATTCTTAGAAAGAATCGACGTACCTAAATAGTATATATTATTATTTGAATACCTTCGCCGCCTTAATAGTAATACTGTTCTCGCCTCTTCGAGGCACCCGGTTAAAGATAACGGT